GTAACAGCACGTCACCTGGAGAAGAAGTACTGTTTCTTTTCTTGGCTTAATATTACAGCGCATTAATTTGCGAAATTTGACAGCATGGCACGCTCCCGAATAGTGAAAACTCGCCTCCGGACAGGAAGCGGCAGCGCCGTACACCTCCCCCCATGGAACAAACATCATCCATGGGTCCCGGGCCAGGATATCCGCACCCGCAACAGCAGGGTATGCCAGGCGGGCCACAACAAATGCCCAATGGCAACATGATGCGTCCAATGCAAGGCGCGCCCATGAATAACTTCCAGCCACATGGTGTTCCACCGAACATGGGTAATCCTGGTATGGGACTGCCTATGGGTGCTCCTGGTAATGCCATGAGCCCGGGCATGGTTCCAGGACCAGGTCATAACATGATGATGACCAATGCAGTAAGTTGTCGATTTTTGCTGCGGCCCTTGGCTACCCCTCAACTGTTCTGAAGGCCATGCAGTACCGACAGAGTATGACCGCAACGACAAAGACCCTATTAGCAGCGGCCGCTCCCGGTGCTTCTGAGCAAGGTTTCCATCCTGTGCAAGGTCAACAGCAGTTTGTTGGTTCTCAGAACAATCGAATCGGACAGAACTTGGCTCAAGCCAAACCTATGGGCGGCATGGCGCCGCCTGCGTCACCAGCTATCGGTGGTCCCATGAAAGATCAGAAGGACGTCAAACCTATGATCAATAACCCTTCAGGCATGCCAGAAGGGTCACCTCACAATGCTCCGGCTGCTCCAGGCCAGGGAGGGCCTTCATCCAATCCTACGGGGAGCGCACACGGCACTGCACCCCCGACTCCGAATACCATCAACTCAAGCATCACGCAGTCCCCCGCTCCAAACGGGACACCTTCAGTACCTCCGGCTTCAAATCCCGCGAGCCAACCACAACCCAATTTATCAGATCTACCACCTAATTTCATGTCTTCAGACTTCATGCAATCGATGTCAGCATTGGAGGACCTAGACCCATCCATGTTTCGGACAGACTTTGAGCAAGACTTCCGTGAATGGTTTGATCCGGGGGGTGTGGATCATCTCAAGTAAACGGCGGATGGAAGATATGATTTTTCGGGCTATGTGTTTGCTTCATCCCTCTTGCTTTTCGAACATTCTTCAACTTTTACGTGTACATGTTTTTTTTTGCGCTGACCCCTTGTTTTCTCTCTCTTCACGCGGAATCAGGATGTCTTATTTATTGCAAAAACTGCAGCGAGCAGTGACATCTTGGCTCCTCCCAGTTTAGATAGCTTATTTTTGTCGTCGACTTGTTGCGATAGTTCCGGTTGCTGTTTGTTACCTCGCTCGGTCACCCTCTCTCATCTTGCTGCATGTATAACTAATCTCATCATGATCTACTTCTCGCTCATCCGTGTTTCATAGTCAGGGCGTCGTCGTCGTCTATTAAGATCTGCACAGTGCAGACGCAGTTTAAAATTACGTATACGAACGACCTATTGCTACATATTCAAAGTGTCACATGCTGCAACATTCATCAACCAGTGTACCGCTTAGTGTTGGGTTATCTCACCTGCTCTGCTGGTTCCTCTTGAATGCTGTGAGTATCCAAGACGATAGCTAGGCAGGTTTATCAGCGTGACCCCACTAATGCCTGTGGTCTCATGGTTTTCAGGTGCCGGAGATAGCAGCCCTCCAAATGACAGCGTGTACCTGTCCTCGAGAAATTCGGCATTGGGCGCTGCAAGCGCTCGAGCAACATACAAAATGAATAGCTGACACGTCCTGCGGACAACTTTCCCCTCCGCAGTACTTTCACCGTCCCCTCCCCCTCATTCGTCTGGCTGTGACTTCAAGCCTGTGAAGCTTGGGTTGTATGCCGATCCACTAGTCATCGCGTTCAGATATCTGGACTTGCAAGTACAGTATTCGAAGGCGTACCGATTCAATGGTCTTTCCATCGAGCGTCCAGCATGAAGAATCCGTACCTATCCTTTCCGTTCATCTCGTCTCCTCGACATCAACCTCTGTCGATCATGATGTTCCAGATAGGATCAGTACATCTTTGTTGGGCGCATCTGATTTACCCAGCCCTTTTGCACAGGGGAGCGTTATAATGTCAGACGGATTCGCTCCCACGTTTCTACACACACCGGTTTCCCCCAACTCAGGCCCATACTTTTCGACTCCCAGTGTTCACAACTCGCAATCGGCCATTTCACGTATCGAGTTGCCGCGACTTGATATGAAGTATCTTCAGAGTGCGTCTGGCCAACTTCCCATCACGCCTGATTCCCCTGTACGCCCCTCCGATCTTGAGAAAACTATCGCACATGGTCATGATCAGATGGGGCATGGATATCTATCTCCGCCTCGTCCGAACGGCACAGTTCTTGTCGAAGGGAATAACAATCGTAAACGTGGATTTGCCAGTGATCTTTCTGGGATGCTTCCTACACCTATATCTCCCAAAACGCGATCTGGAAGGTGACGATTTGCTTGTCTATTTCCAGAGCCCTGCTAATGTACGTACAGCCCGACGACTCCTGTCGACTTGACAAGTTGGATTACTCGGAGTTACGGCCTTGATCCCATAGCTGGGGGTGCCTTTGGCAACGTCTGGAAATGTACCTACGATGATGGCACCAGGTGCATCCCGGTTCGTACATATGTGAATCGACGACAACGGTATCCTCATAAGGCGTCTGTTTCAGGTTGCTGTGAAAGGCTTCAGATTCCAAATTAACAGAAATACCTCGAAGGTTTGTCAGAGCACTGATCGCCCATACACACGGCCTGATAGTTATGTGTTATAGAGACTGAGGAGAGAAATGGGCATTTGGAGAAGACTCAATCACCCGAATGTCATGGAATTCATTGGCTATGCTTTCGGCTTTGGTATCTCGATGGCTCTTGTTGCCCCTTGGGCTGTGAATGGAACTTTGACCGATTACCTGGAGAAAAGTTGGTCGATCATTACTATTGCTGATCAACTTAGTTTGGTATGATCGCATCATTTACATTTGTTCACTATCTCTGACGGGATCGTTTGTTCAGTTAGACGACATCGTCTCTGGTCTCACTTACCGTCAGTCTCTTTTGACTCATCTTTGATTCATTCCGAGTATAATTCTACAGTGCACTCTTATCCTAATAATCCCGTGACCCACGGAGATCTCACTGGGGTACGTAACATCTCCTTTGCTTATCCCACACCGCAAACTTATTCTTCAAAGTCTAATGTTCTTATCCTCGGGGACAAGACTGCATGCATCGCCGATTTTGGACTATCAAGCATGCTTGGCGACCTGCAGACCGGTTCGACGTACCTCGCAGCTAGCGCTATGTATCCAGGCGCAGTACGATGGACAGCTCCCGAGTTCCTCCTGTCAGATGACGTCCAGCCGACGACGCTCAGCGACATCTACTCCCTCGGCAGTATCATGCTCCAAGTAAGTATTCAAAACCATCCTCAGCGTTCAGCAAAATTGACGATATGCTGCCTCGCAGGTCTTATCAGGCAGAGTACCCTGGCACGAAATCAAGCGGGAAGTGATCATCATACAGGAGATCCAACAAGGAAACACCCCTCGTTGTCCATCTCACTCTCCTCTCGTCGGTGAACTATGGCCATTTATCCGTGAGTGCTGGTCGTTATCACCAGCCTCACGACCCACAGCTGGCACCGCCCTCGAATTCATTCGAGACATTAGAATTAAATTACTCCCATTCCCTGTAGGTGACCACGACGCACCAGGTTCTACCACTGCACAGCCTGCAAGTAGTCCCGGTCCATCAAAAAGGCCACGCTTGAAAATAATTACGTAGGTGTTGGACTATAATAACGGAATCTATCGGTGCGAGAAGTGATGGTGATGGTGATAATGATGCAGACATACTTTTTCACGGACAGGCATCCAGGATTTTGTTTATTTTCGTATTAATCACTGCCAGCCAGTACACAGCCCCCTCACGCACATATATCGTAGATCCAAAGGGACTCGAAGGCTGTTTATAATATAATATTTGCACGCACACGCGTGCGTCTACTAGTACTAGTACTTTCTGTTGTATATAGTCATTCCTTTGCCTGGTTTCCTGTCTCATCGGAGCTGTGTCTGGCCGTCACACGATGATTAATGTCCGCCAAGCTCGTATTAAAATTGCTTGCACAAGGCAGCCGCGATTGCAATCGAGTGATGCTATGCAGAATTAATGAAGTTCACGACTCATATACGTAGATTCATCATTCCTGCTGATGTCCCTCGTACAAAAAACATGAATACCTCGCGCGTTCCGGATTTCCGGTCATCGCATCGCACCTAGGAAGCTGTGCATGAAGCTCGAGCCCGAGTTTAATATCCGAACTTGAAGTCAGTCAGTCCGCAGTCGAATACTTCGAAAGTAACAATCCATTGTATGTAATAGTTTCATTATCCCCCACCGCAGTCGATCCAGCCCCATGCCATCAAAGGTGAAAATTACATATGACGTTGATAATGAGATCCTGAGTCGAAGCCTCCTCCCCCAAGTTCCAATCAGAAAAACCAACCAACATTCGAAATAGAAGAGGGCAATTGAATTTCTAGAAAGAAAGGAACGTGGCGGGGCAACAGCCCAACAATACGTCTAAAAAAGGAGCGTTTGATGTATGTAAGTACTCGTGTCTAAAGCAGCTGGGGTAAGCGCATACAATATGTACTGGGATTGGGTGGTCGTGTATAGGATTGGTCTAGTACGGATTGAGCGTACGTCGTGGCGTGGCGTGGATGGGGTGCAGGTCACCTGGCGTAGCAGTAGCATGGCAAAGGAAGTTTGGCAAATAATGTGTGCCGGGTAGAAGGGAGGGGGAGGATGTGATACTGATAGAAATATACAGATAGAAGATAGGTGATAGGACGGGCGATATCGATAATAAGTTCTGAAGGAATACCATTTTTAAAGGAAGGAAAGACAGCAAGGATGAAACAAAACAAAAAACACAAGAAAAAAAAGAAAGAACAACACGCAAGCGTGAAGACGGAGACAAGTAACAGTAAAAGCAGATCAAAGAAAGAAAAAAGCGCGACACTTTCAAACACCAGGCATGAATCCCCGTCGTCGATCACCTCCCATACCCGCTCCCGCTCCTCGGTCGCCCCCAATTCGCAGTAAGTCCACCAACGCCAACACCCCCACCAGCACTAGTACCAGCATTCTGACCCGTAACCCACGTGGGCGCCGAATCGCTCCTCGCTCTTTGATGTTGCTGCTGCTGCTGCTTCTCACCACCACTCCCACCAACGTCCATATCCAAATCCAAACTCAAACTCATCTCCCCCTCAACATCATCTTCTCCCCCCATCGAAGCACCGCCAAGTCCAGAGACAGACCCTCCCACCATAGGAGAAACCATCGGAGATCCGCCGCCCATCGAAGACCCAACACTGCCCACACTAACGACACTCCCCGTCCTTCTCTGCCTCTTCTCCCTTCCTCCTCCCTCTCGCATGCCGTGTGCATCTACATCAGGAGTGGGCGTCAGGGTGATACTAGGCTGGCGCCCGTGTCCATGTCGACCAAAGGCAGAGAACTCGCTGGAGGTGGGAGAGGGAGTTGATGTGTGCAGGGCGTACTGGGGGATGCTGAGCATTGGGACTGAGGGGTGATGGCTGTGGCCATGACCCTGAGATGAGTGCGAATGGGAGGGGGAGTGTGCGTGTGAGGGGGATGGAGAAGGGGCTGAGGTGATGTAGATGTTGGGGCTGTGATCGCTTGGAATCGGGCTTGGAGGGACTGGGGAGGGGGAGGGGCTTGGGGCGTTCAGGGCGTTGAGTTCTTGGATTAGCGTTGGTGATACTGCGTGTAGGGTTAGTGATGAGTTGAGATTGAAAGGGAGAAACGCACCAGATCCGATCGTATCGCATAGGGTCCTTACGATCCCGGTCAATTTCTCCACTTTCCGTCGTTCACGGCGCATCTCGGCACCTGCCCAATTCATCCAAGCTTCGCCTCCTCCACCCATCCCCATACTGAAACCAGGTGCCATGACATTGAACGAAAATCCCTCCTCACTGCCATCTTCATCATCATCATCTCCCCCGATATGTAATTTCGGGGGGGAGGTACTAGCAGATTGGGAGAGGGTGTTAGCGATGTGAGAAGGGACGCGTCCGCCTAGACGTGAGATCTCGCGCCAGAGGGCCTTGTTCTCGTCTCGCATGTCATTTAGGAGACGAGCGACTTCGCCGGGGAGTTCAACGCTAGGGGTTAGATTAACTTTAATTTTGTGGTGGAGATTGAGCGGGGCTTACCGGCCACGTTCGCGAGGATCAGGCTCAAGAGCTTTGCGTTTGATGGCGTCCAACAGGTCTGGGCGTGCGCGGAGGAATTTGGGATGGCTGAATTCCCAAGTTTGAGATGTTGTAGATGTGCGTTGGGCGCGTGGTGTCTGTGTTATGAAATGTTAGATGATGAAATGAGTGGAGATAGGTACGGACTCTGTTGATTTTGTGAAAGCCGTACATGTTGAGTTGGCGCACAAAGCTTGAGAACTGTGGAGATGTGAGTTGTTTAAATAGTGGTGAAAAGGAGACCGACGTTGTTGTGTTTGAAATGAGAGCCAAGGATGCTCCTGCTGAATTCGCCTACGTTTGAAACGACGAAACTAGAAAGATTGAATGAGACAGAAAGTGAGAACGATGAAATAAGACTGACCTTGTTCCGAGTTCAGTCCATGCGATGAAAAGCTGACTCTTTGGATCGTTGATCATCCTGTAGATGTTGAATGACAGATATGAAAGGGTCAATTGAACGCACTGATAAAGCTTTGTTACAAAATTGTTGGTGCCCATTGGTTTACCGATGACGCCTAGACTAGGACCTGTTGCACTAGATTTCTGGCCTTCGTCGTCTGTGTCGGCTTGATCTGGCATTGAATAACCCGTTATGCCATCGGGATCATCGTATGTTGCGTTTATATCGATCTGATTTGAAGGCTGTGAACTAGCCGGTGTGAGCGGACCTTGTGAGGAAGGTTCGCTTATTGGAGGGGGTGATGAAGCTGTTGTTGTTATGATTGGATGTGGGAGTACGTGCCCTCCATAAGAATGAGAGTGCCCATGACTGTGATTAGTGGGTGGCGGAGGGGCGGTGTTTGTGAGACTTCGTTTACGCGGTACGCTCTTTTCTACTGCTAATTCGCTTGATGAAGTAGAGTGAGATCCTGTGCTCGGACGACGCTGTGCTAGTAAGAGAGATGAGTCGTCTGTCGGTTCAAAGTTGAATTGAAAGGTGGGAGGTTGTGGACTGAGATGAGCTGGACTGAAGTTTGGAGGAGATACAGGAGTTATAGGAGATACACCGTGATGAAGATGTGAAGATACTGAGAGGGAACTGAGGTTGAGCGTTAAATTGCTGCTAGTTGGTCTTGACGGTGATTGTTGCTGATTTGGAGTGTAATAGTAACCCGGTGAAGGTGATACGGGGGACGAGAAACCAGTAGAAGTTGTTGATGACCATTGTCTTGGTGATTGTTCTTGGTTTGAATAATCGTAGTCCATGTTCAAAGTAAAACAAAGTAACAACTTCCACAATCCTTTTAATCCCTAATTATGTCATCCCAAACGTGTACACTGCGTGCCATCTTATCCCCATTTAAACTAGTTAATTATTATTCCGAATATTGATCCGACCATGCAGTCTTTCACCCCCACATGCCTACCTGGAGGCTTCAGGAAACTTGGTCTACCTCAAATTAAATTTCAAATACACACCTCCTCTGAACTACCTCAGACTTGGAACACCAGTCCAACGCACTTACGGCTGTACTTCGGCCATTAATAGCGCCTCGCTCAAGACACTCGTGCAGTCCTGGCGGCTAGTAACCGGCGCAAGTTCATTCGCCATGTACCATTTCCAAACGGTGGTTAAATCTGAACCAGCTTCTGGTATGTATAGCCACTTCAGCCGATAATACATAATCGCGGGCGGAGGATAACTTAAGCTATCATCAGACTGAACGATCGATTGGCTATTACGCTCGCACTCATGCTGATCGTGAAAGGTAGCAGTTCACCTGCTCCCAGGCAGCGTTAAAGTCGTTCTCCGAAGCTTCGGAGACGTGGCAACTCAGAGGAGTCACAGTGGCCTGGCTACAATGAATACACCGGGTCGTAGGCGACACCGGTGGGTGAAAACTGCCGGTTACCGGTAGCCCTGACGATCTTCGGCTTATAGATGACTTTCCTGATTGTCTGCCAAGGATCATAATCAGTTCTTGTAGTTCTGCCGTGACAGGAAGACATGCGAACACGACAGGACAGATGGACACTGCCGATAATTTGGTTGCTGTTCGAAAAGGTGAAAGGTATGAATCCGTACCCCTGCGAATTCAACCATTTCGAACTCCCTGGGTATTCAACACGAATTATCAGGTTGTTTGATAAGAAGCTGACATATTTGTCGATGAGGCGGCCCGTTGGGGTCTCATGACACAGCGGGTAAACTGACATTTTACCACCATTTGCCGCCAGTGAAATTACATTCGAAAGGTAATTGTGTGACATTAATATTGTCAATTACTGCGATGACGAGGTTATCAGCTCATTGGCAAAACAACTCATAACAACTGGTTCCTCTACTTACATAAGTTCAGATACCGCCGCGACCTCTCCAGTTGTGCGGCCTCTAAATTTTTAAGCGTAAGCATTTATCGTACTTGCGCACTAGCATGGCACGGTAACCATGCTGGATGCCAAGCCTGGCTGGTCCCACCTTGACTTGACCCGGATGAGTCATATAGTTCCGAGTCCAACCGAAGGGCCAAACCCTCTAATTATCGATTGGTTACTTCCTCTTCCGAGGTAATATACAATTAGGGTGAGCAAAGGCAGTTCCAAAGAATTACCGATGCCGTCTTGGTGCATCTTCACCACTGACTTTCAGACAAGAGGCTTTAGGTCGATGCCGTCATCGGAACGGCCATCTCGGTATTTTTAATCCGAACTGACATCTGGGTGAGCAGATCAGGACAACAACATGACGATGTGACTAATCCCAGGAAGAGGTGGCGTTGGTCCCTTATGACTGTCTTATATCTCAGTGTGCGTAGCTTGCGTTATAGTGCAGTCAGCAACTCACAGTGTTTTCGAAATGTCATAGGTGCACTACATTGGAATACTACATGCTGGGTATGTTTGCAAGTCCAAAAAAGACTAGCGCTGTGCTAATAATCACCTTCCACAATCGGCATCAACATGCTGCGCAAGTCTACTGACATACACTGCGTGCATTCCTTCTAACTGGCGGCAGGCAGACAGTCTTCCATCATTCTCAGTGACAGGTATAGTGCGTATCCTGCATGCCTGCCTGCTTCCATTCAAACGCAATTAAATGCACCCCTATATAGGGTAGGTCATATTCCGAGTGACCACTATCTTGTTGGTTTAATATGACGACCGCAGCAGCTGTTATTTTGTTTAGAGTTTGATCCTCTGAAGCTCATCACTAACCGGTTTTATAGGCAAACATATGTTCTACATCAAGATTTCGTTACAAATGTTCATGCTGAGCGGTGAAATTGCCTCAAATGAAACGTGATGCAAGTCATTGTGATCGTTCGGTTATATACCATGCCTCAGTGATCTAGATTTTTTTTTTCATTACCATCTCTGGCCGAAATATACATGACACTATGTTCAGGAGGTGAGTTTCAACTACGGACAAAAGATTCAACTGCATCATGCTCATTGGAAAATACCAGAAGAACTTGTCCTCTTTCGCACCTATCAGCGTCCTCAGGCTTATGAGGGATATGTCCGATCTTTTAGCATAATAGATTGGGGGCTCAACGCTACGTGGGAGGTTCTCGCACTGTTTCTTGCTATGAGGATTGCTGTGAAACGCTTCTGCGAGCTGCGACGATTCAGATTATCGAAGGGACGTGCCACTGGGAACTACTCCACGGTATTATCACATGTACGTGTCATACTTTGCAAAGCGAGTTCGCATTTTCAATGTACTTATCTTTTCCCACTAAAGCTATGCACTCGCTAGCTTTGCTGCTGCTTCTTACCTCGATTTTACCTCAACCTCTCTCCAAACATCTTGGTACGTCGGCCTGCCGTGATATCTGTTCAGAGCCACTATTCTTCATTTTCTATGGAACTCAGGTATCATGGAGAGTCGGATTTATCGTGGCATTCCTGGATGTGTCGGGGTCATGTATTTTTTTGTGCTGGGACCACTCACATGACAATATATGCAAAGGACATCCTTTATTTTTGTCGCTAAAAGCAATATAAAGTCATATATTACGACATAAAGGCCCTGCAATCAACGTGTTCACTGGCAGTGTTGTGTTTGCACAAGAAATGCTGCAAGTGATTGGGTCTGTGCAGGGAGCGGGAAAATTTGTCTGGACTATCCGACAGTATAGGTTATAGTGTATCCCAGATGAAGTAATTTCTACATTTCTACATGTAGCATCCGCTTGGCTCAATTACGCTACTTCCGGAGTCTGTGCTGCGCTTCACAAAGTCATAGAAGTTCATGAGGATGAACACGTAGCCGTAGTACCCGCCGCAAATTCCATGAATTACTTCCCATCCAGTCGATACCATTGCAAGATCCCGATTTGACTTCGAATACTTAAGAGATGCTGAGAAGTGTTACTTTTCTCCTGATACGAGATGCGCACCCCAAAAATTAATATAATTACGTTCTGGTGCCTTCAAAGCGAACACAGGAACGGAAGGCCTGATGGCCGCTTAAGTAATCCCGACGTGCGGCGTTTGTTGGGTGCAGCTCGACAAAGACTGTTCATTTTAGACAAGGACCCCGGTTCAACCAATCTTATGTGTCATTAGCGCTCTGCAGGTCATACACAACTAAACAACGACAGTCTATCGATAGCATGGACAACTCACCTCTTCTGCCACGACCGATACACATAGACTCATCGAAACTGCAGAAAGGGCAACGCTTAGCGGACAAAGTACCCGATGACACCAATAAAAACAGAGTAATGTATTTGATGACGCAGCACCACGCTTTGAACTTACTGGTGTCTAGGCACCAGCTATACCTCGTGGAAAATTCAAAGAAAAGTGCGTCTCGACTGCGCGTACCTTCCCGTCTACTCACTACTTCGCCAGATTTCAAGTTATGAGGGAACGCTTCGATCAAGTTGTAGGGGTACGTATCTCAGCCGGAGCACTCTTGACGCAGTACGTTCAACCCCGCTAGTTACACGAGGAGCTTGTAAGAGATCTTGAGCTTGCAAATGCACGCATGCAGAAGCTTCAAGCTGAGAACGAGTGCGCCCGCTCTTGCTTTCTGGCCTGCGTTCCTGACATACTTGTTCGTTTGAAGCTTGCTTCTTGATGCTATAAATCTTACAGTTCCAGCAACGCCTTCCCTCATGCATCTCACGCGTCCCTCTCCGGCACTATATTCACACCCTGTAGCACCTCCAGCGGTACCGGCACCGCCTCCACCTCACCACATGAATGGGCACAGTGTTCCACATGCTAACGGGAGGTATCGCCCAGTAGACGTAGGCTCGCAAGTTACCCCCCGTCATCGCCATCTCTGATTTTTTTCTGGATAGCCACATGACATCACACCTTCGGAGCGGGATCGTGGTCGCGAATACCGGGATATTCCTCAGGAAACAGCGAACGGGCGCTTGTGAATACGAGCCGAATGCGTGACTTTCGATTGGAACCCGTTCATAACCTTAACGTTCTGTCACGCTCGTCTTTTGTGCGATTGGCTAACAAAGTGTCGGTTCTTGATCTCCCCTTATGCGGACTGGTGGAGGGAAAATAGTACTTCCTGCTGGTATAGAGATGAAACTTGACGATATACTTATCGGCCTCCAACTTGATCAAGCACCTTCATTTAGTCATCCATCAATGCTACCATGCGTGCGACACGCGCCTTGATTAATCCACACGGATAACTTTGATAGACTGTATATTTTTTACACCAACAATGTCAACGTCTCGACATTCAACGTTCAACGTTAGCCCAGCCACAGACACAGCGTGCCTAGCCCTACACACTTCATGATATAGTTACTTTTGGGTATAAGGGCAGCCTGACGGAATCAGGGCATCAATCAGCCTTCGCCCCTTGTCGCATCCAGGGGATAAATCAAAGCTTGGTACGTTTCGTAAACGTCGTATGTATAGATATATTTACTGAAGTTTTTGCTCCCTCGAGACCGATATGGTATTGGTGTACGGGCGTCAACACCAAGCGCTAATCCAACGCAAGCCACCGATAAGACTTCATTCCAAATCATATATGCTATAAATACGCCGAAGAACGTATGCTGCCAGGGAACAAATGGCTAATGAAACTTCTAGCCATGACGTTACAGCCCCTCATTCCGTGAAGTCCGGGCGGAATGTCTGTTCACCGGTAGTTGGCTATTGTTGACAGTGGGTTTGGTTGTACTAATGCGGACATGAAATGAGTGCAAACTGCCATTCGGTGCTCTCGTGCAATTTTCATACCCCGTGGAACACCGCCCACTACGATTTCACGAGGCGGGACAATTCTGGGCCTTATAAGTGTTGTACTCCGATGATCACTGGCATCAACTATTTGATATTGTCATGTCCGACCAAGATGCTGTCGCTGGCCTTCGCTGGAATAACAATATTTCGGGTTCGTCGGCTCCTTTCAAATGATCTATGGTAGAACTATCATACTCAACGTTGAATCCAGTGGTGACGATTACCCTGATATCCTATGAATACCGTCAGTAACCTTTAACATCTTGTACTTTTGCTGAAAGATTATCTAGTTCTTCACTTTGATAAAGAGGTAATGAGGTATTTCTTTCATGACGGTCATCTACTTACGGCTGTTATCGGTGCAGGTCAAATATGTCTGGGTCAGTATCCAACCCCAAATCTGCACAATGACACTAGCCTGGAGGCTAACTAGATCTCCAGAAACGACCCTGGTCACCGATGACATACCTTTATCTTGTTGTGAGTTCGCGCCGCCAGGGCGCTTCATGACTTTTTATCTATTTCCATACTAGGTTCGATATCTTGGACTTTCCCTTGCGCTGTACGTTGTTGTATTCTTCAAACGGTGCATTGTATGTTGACGTTGACCTTAGGCTTTGGGGTTTTTGTGCGTAATACTATGTTACTTGTATCATTATTCGCTGACTGGCTCTAGGGGGAGGACTGCTGTTTATGCCTACATCAGTGAGTTTAGCGATGCTTTCTTGACAGAGTTTTGGTTGACCTATATTTCAGCCGTACGTCTTTATTTCGATTGAAAACCCAGTCTCGATAATTGTCGATTTCTCATCTGTGTAGATGCGAGTATACCATCTTCAACCTAAACCGTCTTTATTCATCATGAACACAAAATAGGTCACGATCTTGTCGTTTTCATGGAATGGGGTTATTCCCTATATAGTTGCGTTGCAGAAGGTAAGTTATGCATTTTTTCACAACACATTGCACGTATCAAATCTGCACCCACAGTCATTCTTGTCTGGCGTCTTTATGCACTATACAACTGTTCAAAACTCCTACTTCGGATCCTGTTGGGGCTACTCGTACCCATCATCGCCGTATCGATAGGAACTGATATCTTTTTATATAGTCGACCTAGCATGTTCTCAGGTAGGTGCATGTTTATTGGTATCAACTGTGATCTGATCCCTGTCTCGTTGTAGTAAAAGAAATAATCACTACAGACGCCAAGTACTGCACGTTCTTTTTCAAAACGGGGCCTCTGCCTCTGACCTATTTGTCTATCCCTATGGTGTGTTATGATGTCCTCCTGCTTGTTCTTGCGACTGCAAGGCTTGTGAAACACCTCAAAGAACGGAAGAAGATCAACGCTAAGCCTAATACATCTGTATCTATTATTGTTCGACTTCATATCGTGTGCTTTGTACTGCAAGTTCCATCTCCCTTTGTCTAGTGTGATCTGAGAGTAACTGATCGAATTTTGATAGGAATTTGATGAACCAAATATTTTTGGTGATATTATGGGCTGACCTCTCGGTATGATACTTCTAACACCCTACAGAAATCTGCTCATGCCACAATTCAATCATTCACAGATCTCGTTGATGAACATCTCAGAGCTCATCAACAGTACCGTACCATATATTCTCGCGCCGCGTCTCACGATCAGTATCTGGGATACGCATGCCCATCGCAACTGCGTATATGTCAGTACGACGTTCGAGGATTGTGGATGTTGGGCTTCACCGGGAGTACCCGAGCAGCATGAGATGAATACCACCAGTACTCAGATGGAATCTGAAACGGATTCTTACATCGCATGATTTGGGATACTACTTGCGGGAAAGTGAGGGATCGCATTCGGATGAGCACGATCAGATTTTGACTAGGCAGAGCGCAGGACTCCGCTGCAGACGAAGAAGATGCTAGTTGAGATAACATGACAATATTACATAAAGTAATATACAAACATCACGATAGCGATAGATTCAAACACTATATGAGCGCAATGCAATCTAGTATGTAGCGAAGCATACCGAGGGTGAAGTAATACCAGTCCTCTTGAAAACTTGAATGTTTGATTCCGGTGAAATCGGCCTTGAAGCTTGAAGTATGATGCCGTACGTGTTTTTATCCATGATAAAATAATATGCGTTTCACCAAGTTGACACCAACGAGTCTATCATAGATAAGAACATGGACACACGCAGGGTAAATTTACTTTAGGAACGGTTACTGTTTCAAATTCAACAAGCCCCCCCTCAATAACCTGTAAGGGGGTACCTCCAATGGGTCATTTTGCCTTTTTAGGACCACTCACACCCTGACATATAGTCTTACCATGTGAGACTCCGTCGTCTGATACTACCGCCTCACGGATCCAGGCTCGTATACTAGTACTGATTTGGATATCATCCTGATACTCGCGCTCGCCAACTTGAGGGATAGTGGACTCGGTGCCTCTTTATGTTTCAACATCTACGTGCGACAGAGACGCGCTGACGTCCAAGTCCCTTCAAGAAATTGTATTCTCCAGCCCTGTATTTGCACAGCAACTGGCATGTCAGGGCCCTTTGAAAATATTGCAATAGATTGGCATAAGAGTCGGGGATCGCTAGGACGTCCATCACAGCTGATTCATCCAGGTTTTCAGTAATTTGGAAATTGTTTTTCAAAGTCCGGTATATGGATGTAGTCATCAACATCTATGAGTAATACTAGTGCTGTAAGGCCCTCTAAGTTACTTACTCATACTAAGTACTAGCATGACATCACGCACCACTACGACAACACTTGCCCCATTACCTTTGTTCAGTACTTTCAGTTCCCATGAATGTAGGACTCCCACCCAAGAAGGTTTGGTCTAAAGTCCGACGATTATCTAATAAGGTTACCATATTCATTTAATAGTGGTCATCATGGGCGTGGACCAAGCGTGTGCAGTGATCGTGCACCCGAATTTAGACATCTTCATCAAATGAAAACTTGCTGTTGTCCTCAACCTGATTTATGCTCACTCAGGCTGAAAGGCGGCGTGGTCATGTCTATCAATAGTAAGTGCCTAACAGACAAATACTGGATGGTGCACACCTGATAAGGCTCCACATTCTCTAGGCTATTATAAGCGTTCACCACGACGACTGCCATACCGTGCGAGTAGCGAAGAATCCAGCGAAAATATAACAGCTACCAGTACTCTCCGAGTCATCAGTCTTGAATTCGAGTGTGATGTTTATCGAGTCGTTGACAGCTCACTATAGAGGACATCAGCTTGAAATCGACAGGAAGCGCAGGCAAACTTGGTATACACCCTTTATTACATCTAGTTCCGAATCCTAGTGCGCCAGACGAGGGACGAACACTTCGGTCCCCACGACTCGGAAGCAATCGTGAGGCCACCGCAGGGAATTATGTGCCTTATCATAAGTCACTTCAGCAACCCTTTTCAAATTCTCTATTCCATCGCAGTGTCATGTCGCAAGGAGGGGCTGCTGCCGCTGGTCTCCGCTGGAACAACAATGTATCTGGTCTGTCAGCTCTCTAACCTGACCTGTCGCGTCATCGTACTGAACTTCGATTGCAGTAGCAGCTATTGCCCTGATATCGTATGAGTACCGTCAGTAGTCTTGGTCAACCTTGTACTCTCGCTGAGCGAAAGGTCATCTAGTTCTTCTGTTCGGCAAGGAGGTAATAAAGAACTCTTGCTCTATCGGTCGAGTGTTGATGGTTCTGATTATCGACATAGATTGAGTACGTTTGGGTCAGTGTCGAACCCCCTTATCTGGATGATAAAACTAACCCAAAGATTAATTGAATCCCCAGAAAAGACCATGGTCGTTTATGTCATGCCTATACCTTGTTGTGAGTTTCGCCCTGCCAGTGTTCAATCAAAGATACGATATTCTTCGCTAGGTTCGATATTTCGGGCTTTTCCTTGCAATGTACGTCGTCCCTTCACACTGTACACATCATGCTAACCAGTTTTCACACCAGTGTGTGCGCCTGCTGTATGTGTCACTAGCCCATGCCAACTCGAGCCATTATTGACTGACTTGCGCTAGGGGGAGGTCTGTTGTATATGCCTGAATCAGTAAGCATATATATGCCTTCCATCGTTCAAGAACTTTAGCTTAATACATCTTTCAGCCGTACGTCATCAGTTCATTTCACAGCTCACTAAGTCCCACTTGTCCTCTTATCTAGCTGTACGTATATCATTTCAACTTGAAGTGCACTTGCTCATCATACAATTGGAATAGGCTACGATCTTATCGTTCTGATTGAATGGGGGTTTTCAGTGTATTTTTGCTTTGCGGAAAGTAAGACATACATCTTGCATCTCGCTACGCGTACCAATCCCCCATCCGCAGTCATTCTTATTTGGCGTCTTTATGCCATAAGCAACCAATCCAAGCTCGTACTTCATGTTCTAGTGGGATTATTCGTGCCTATCGTTGCCCTGTCGATAGGGACAGACATCTTCTTGTATAGTCGACGCGATGTGTTCTCTGGTAAATTTGTATCCTGATTGCTTTGGCTGCAAGCTGACCCCACCTCCTTCCATAGTGAAAGAGGTAATAACTCCGGACGCCACTTACTGCACCCTTTCCTTCCACATAGGTCCTATGCTTGCGATTTATACTTCTATCCCCATCATGTGCTTTGATATATTACTCGTTATCCTCGCGGTCATCACCCTCGTGAAACATTTTATGGAACAGAGGAGGATCAAAATGAGGCCTAATACCTACATGGTAATGATTGTCCGCTATCATATCTTGTACTTTGCCCTGTAAGTTCCGCTTCATCCATCGGGTTCTAAAAGGAATAATCGTATCTTGCTAGGTGCCTGACAAACCAAATCTTATTGGTGATATTATGGGCTAATATTCCGGTATGAAACTTCCAAGTTATGCAGAGATCGATTAACGTATACACATTCGCAGACTCCAGCAATGAGTCTGGCGGAGCTCTTCAACGGTACGGCGCCCTTTATTCTTGCGCCCCGTCTCATCATCAGCATTTGGGATACGCATGCCAACGACGAGTGCGTGCATGTCAGCACGACGTTCGCCGATTGTGTATGCTGGACTTCGCCACCGGACTTTGAGCAGCACGAGATGAGTCCTGGCGTCGGGCATCCTGAATCCACGTTTAGCATGGACACAGAAGGCGTCGAGACTGCGTGACTTGAGGTCACACTAATATATGTATTCATGAATAAATTCCTTATGGCGATCACCTATGGTTATAAGAAGTTTATGCTTTTGCCTGGAATATGACCTTGCGAGATGTACCAACTTCGAAACCCGTAGAGACCCGGCGTTTATTTAATTGGTCATCTGAGCCTCGGTCAATGCTACAGTGACTAACCATGAGCTTGTTTTATTGTCTGTTACTAGCCGCCTTCCATCTAAGAGCTGATACAATTGGCAAACGAAAGGTCTATGTACATATGGGTTACAACTGTACAGCCGACTCAGCACGGAAGTGCCACCACTCAGGCGCGATGGTATACCATAATTAGCTGACATCTCTCAGATGCAGCTCCAGGAAAAGACGTGATCATCATTTCGGATACAGATCGAGTACCTATCCTATTTGACTTGATACTAAGCAGATGTGAAATCTCACGATGATACTCTTTGACTTTGGCCGAGTACAATATCATGGCTCCGCAGCCGACGGGCTTAGGCGCGTATTAATAGAAGACGAGTGCTGGGCTAGATAGAACGAACTCTAGTGAGTTCTATAGTAGCATCAGTAAGGAATGTAGTAGGTATACTGAAATATGACTTACCCCCAGTCGAATGTAAGAGACTGGGGGAAAACGAAGAACGAGCGTGTCGAAAGTACCGTGCGTGGAGTTGCCTAATATGGTAACTCCGCTGCAGAACGAGTGTTCGAGTCAAACGAAAAACGAAAAACGAAAGATATACTATGTACTGTATTGGCGGGTTGGATTTCCAACACGTATATCAAGCTATGTGAGTACATCCGAGAGGTACATATATGGTACGCACGAATTGCAATCTACTTGCGACGAGTTAGGTTTTGCCTGAGAGAAGCAAACACGCTGACGGTGCGAATGCGCATGAACATGGGAGGGTTTTCCTGATGACATCCGTCCGGCAGTGGCTCACGTTGAACGTAACGTATCCAAAGACGATGCCCAGGTTGCGCCAGTGATTACTGTATTTAAGGTTGGACCTCGAGTACATGAACTGGTCAGCGCCCTGTAGCTTCAGGATTAGTGAGATAGCCGCCTGCGAATTCTATGAAGGGCCCATGTAGTTGTCACACATCGAGCCCTTCGATGGTTGACAGAGACAAGTTTAGTGGAGGAGCATTTGATCGAGTCTCCGCCAATAGCTACAAGGACCAAGATAAGATGACTATTCAGCAAACAATCATTCACTAACCTTGACCAAGGAGACCCTCAATGATGTATGTGTAAGGAGAGACCCTGTACATCCATTTCCGCCAATCAAGTTCGTTAAATGGCTGGACTACGCCATCACTTATGGACCATCGGCATGGCGTAGTCTGGTTTAACGTGTGCATCTCACAAGATCATGACAAAAATGATGAGAGTCTCGAAGTACATGGGGTGGTTGGAGCCATGGACGCCATTCCTGCGGATCGCCCCAAGGCTTTTGGTCGGTGATAACTCGCTTTCCTGAGACGGAAGTACTAGGAGATCGAAATACCCCCAAATTCGCATCATCGTCATGCATCAAGACTAGGTAGAATATCAGGGACAACGCCGACATTAAGCGCCGATTACTGGGTGAGTCCGAGTAGTGACGTTGACTACTATGCCATTAGTGCGCGGCGGTTAGTAGAGAAAGAGCCGAAGTGGGCAGTCAATCCTACTTGCTGTACCTATTGGTTGCACCCCGCGGAGACCATCGCGGTGCAGAAACTAATGATAACGAAGCAGGTGATGTTACATAATCGTAAACCGGCTACTACTAGTAAGCGGCGGCATTAGTATGTTTGATGCTTGCCAGTGGCCACTCACCCGCCGCTTCGTCGATTCTCACTAGGCCAGTACTGCAGGGTCGCAGGAGGCTGTAAGTCATATCACTTCCATATATAACTATACGCACTGACTTATAGTCCAGCTGAGTGCATTCATTGAATATTTAGTTCTGAGTCCAGCTCATAAATGCCAATACACTATTTTCACCCAGCACCGCTCCAGGCAACTTCACCTCACGACATCATCTAAGTGAACGTGCATACGCTAATCTCACTGATGCGGCCAGATATCGTCCAGTTGATAGCAAACTTAGCTACTGCGGCGAACAGTTTGCGGACTTCTCAACAACTTCATCCGCTTCCCATCTCCTCTGCAATACCTACAATGACTGTGATGCCATCATGATCTAGCGCTAAGCACCATATAACCACCTGCCACGCTCTCATCCTAACCTTAATATAGTGTCATCGTGAAGCGAACATCAGAATCATGATGGCATTACTTACGGTCAGATGGGCTCAGAGCGCTACGCCTTGTACTGTTATTGTACTAGACACAGCATATCAAGCACTTTCGTTTATTGGCTGATAACTGCTAGCTGATACCTGTACACTTTATCGATTCTCACTGGCGGGAAACTTGATAAAATGTAAGTCATTCCAGCCATTTCTACATCTATCAATCACTCACCAAATTCCTCACTTCATACGAAACAGTGTCATGTCAGAACAACTCGAAGACAACATTGTTGGTCTCAAATGGAACGACAGTATATCTGGTTCGTCGGTCCCTTCAACTAGTTTGTGAATAAACCATCGTGCTGAATATCCGTTCCAGTGGCACTCTTCACAGTGATGTTCTACGAGTACCGTTAGTTGCCCTCATGAACTTTCGCACTACTGCTGAACGATGTATTATCCAGTTATTCTTTTTGACAAGGAGGTAACAAAGAACTTTCTTGCTGTCGGTTGGGTACTTATGTCATGGTTATTATCGGCGCAGCTTCAGTATGTCTGGGTCAGTATTCAACCTATACTATTTGCGCAAGGATACCAGCCTGGAAGTTGACTGAATCTCCAGAACAGACCGTGGTCACCAATGTCATGCCTGTACCTTGTTGTGAGTTCACCCTCCCACACTACTTTTTGGTCTATGTACTATTTCCTGCTATGCTAGGTTCGATATCTTGGTCTTTCCCTTTCAATGTACGTCGTGGTGATTTGTGTCTTTTATATTGTACACTAACACCGATGCTAGAGCTTGGGGCTGCTGTATGTAACACTATGCCGTTTGAACTATCCTTCGCTAACTAGCGCTAGGGGGAGGATTGTTTTATATGGCTGAATCAGTGAGTGCATTGATGCTCTCCATCTTTAGAGTATTCTAAGCTGAATCTTATTTAAGCCGTACGTCACAATACGTCTGTTTCACAGCCAGGTCCCAACGTTATTAACCTCTTTCATTCAGCTGCAAGTATAATTCATGTCTTCAAAATAAACTGTAATTTCCTCATCATGCAATAGGCTATAACATTCTTGTTGTACTGGAATGGGGTGCGTCTGTGTATTTTTGCTTTGCGGAAGGTAAGTCATGCAGTTAGTAACTCGTCGTGTGTACCGATTCATCATCTGCAGCCATTCTCATTTGGCGTCTTTACGCACTATGCAAGCAACCGAAACTCCTACTTTATGTTTATGTTGCAGTAGGATTGTTCTTGCCTATCGTCGCCCTTTTGATAGGCACAGACATCTATCTGTATAGTCGACCTCACGCGTTCTCAGGTGAATTTTCGCCCAGATCAAATTGACTGCAAGCTGAGGTTGTCTCGTTACAAAGTCAAAGAATTGATTACTCCGAACGCCAAGTACTGCACCTTTTCCTTCAACATTGGACCTATGTCTGCGATTTATATGTCCATCCCCATTGTGTGCTATGATGTCTTCCTAGTTGCTCTCGCAGCTGCCACTCTCGCAAGACACTTCAAGGAACGAAGGGAATACAACATGAGGCCTAATACCTATATGGTAATGATTGTCCGATATCATATCATGTACTTTGTCCTGTAGGTTCCTCTGTGTCTAGTGGTTTCTGAGGGTGCTAATTGAATTCCCGCTTAGCAATTTGACAAACCAAATCTTAATGGTGATATTATGGGCTCACATTTCAGTATGATACTCCCAAGATAATACAGATATCAGCTAACATGTACACTTGTAGGTCGAGGGGATGAGTCTCTCAGAGCTTTTCAGTAATACGATGCCATTTATTCTCGCTCCCCGTCTTATCATCAGCATTTGGGACACCCATGCCCAGGACGACTGCTTGCATGTCAGTACAACGTTCGAGGATTGCCTATGTTTGACTTCGATGCCGAGGTTCCAGCAGCACGAGATGATCGCTGACATCCCATTAACCCGGCATACTGGGGTGTCTTGCGAGAGTGTAGACCACGAGGAATGTTGAAAATATAGGTGCGTGAAATGAAACTTAAACGCTGTAAGAATGTAACATCAAGTACTTATGGGTAGTCGAACCAGCAGGGGTGACCCCATTTGCTGCTGCGGGTTCAACGGTGGAGGTTCGGGCTTTCGGCCGGTATCGTCAGATGCCTTCCGTGTCTATTTAAGCGAAGTTGCTGCATGAGTTGATCTTGTGTGGTCGGTCTGTACATTATGAACGTGATCCATCTGCGTCCATCCTTTCTTTATTATCTTGTCTAGTGGTTTATACGTACGTGTCTCTCATTGGTCCCCTCACATTTTCTCTCTTCGGGCTTCACCCTTGTATTTACCTAACCCCAATATCATTCTATGTTCCATCCACCTTCCAATGCCGGAGGATTTACAGCTGTCTCCACACACGTATTCACGCTCGGTCTGGTTTTGTTTCCGTCTCCTATCGTTCCGCCATTGCACTGAAGGTTTTTAGGTTCGATTTCACCGGAGTCTACCGTACTTGCATACCTTCTTGCTGGCCAAGTCAAGTTTAAACTCGCAACTTGTACCTCGAACAGCTTCAAACTTTCCTGTCAGAGCAAGGGCACTGTTCGTGCATTGTGCAAGGTAGTGAGGGCTGCCTGCCTTAATCCTGAACACAAAGTTGCAACGCCACAAGATATTTCTCCTCGAACAAATGCAGCACAGATATTCATAATTCACCGCCGACAACGTTCTTTTCATGAGGTACGTCCAACTACACGAGCATTATGCATATGACTCAATCAAGGTCGACCAATGTTGATGAAGTTCCTTTTGTAGGTTAAGGCTGCACGCTGCCCGACATCATTGGTCCATTGATGACCCTGTTTCGGCGCTTTCGGAGGTAAATTGGAACCTTGATCAAATATCTGGACAAATAACTCTGACCACAACCCTTGTCTGGTACGTTTCCACAATTAATGTTAAAGAGGCCCTTGCTGATCTTTCCGTTGTCCTCAGTCTGATTTCTGCTCCCTGAAAGGGTACCCGACCATGTTCTATCAAGAGGGTCAAACTATCTAAGCGCTTGTACATCGCAAACGCCTGCACAGGAATGTCAACCCTTATTTAAACCTCATTTCACGTTCTTTAGGCTATCAAGGCACTCTTACTGCCCACGGAACAAGGGGAACACGTTGGCTATGACATGTGAATGATGAAGACTCAGCCAAGATGTAACAGCCACTCTTGTCGGCCACGAATCTCGGAGTGACATTTGCCCATTCCTGGCTAACGACCGGGAAACCAGCCCTCAAGATTCTATGCCTTATAAGTATCGTATATCAATCATCAACAATTAACAGCCCACTAATCTCTTCAGACCCCCCATTTGATCTGCAGTCTCATGTCAGAACAAGAAATCATTGTTGGTCTCCTCTGGAACAACTATCTATCTGGTTCGTCAGTTCCACCGATGTGTAAGCAAACCATCGTGTTGAAACATAGGTCGCAGTGGCACTCATCACTCTGATGTCTTATGAATATCGTTAGTAATTTTTTGGAGCCCTGTGCTGTTGCTGAACGAAATATTATCTAGTTCTTTTGTTGGACAAGGAGGTAATCGAGGTTTTCTCTTCTGTCAGTCGATGCTTATGATTATTATGATTGGTGTAGGTTAGATATGTCTGGGTCAGTCTACCCCCATATTTGCACAATCATATGAGCTCGGAGATTGACTGATTCTCTAGAAACGACCATGGTCACTGATGTCATGTTTGTACCTCATCGTAGGTTTCGCCCTGTCAAGGAAGTTTATTTTATTTTATCTTGTTTTCTATGCCAGGTTCGATATTTCGGTCTTTTCCTGGCACTGTACGTCTTCCTGGCTTCTTGACACAGTGCATATGTATGTTGACACTCGCATTAGGCTTTGCGGCTTCTGTATGTAACCTTGTGCCTACAAGAGCTATCATCAACTGACTAGGTGCTAGGGGGAGGGCTATTGTATATATCTGAATCAGTCAGTGTATTGATTTTTTCCGTTTAAAGAGTTTTGGGCTGATGCACATTCTAGCCGTAAGTCTCAAGTTCGTCTTAGAGCCAGGTCTCGACAGTTGTCCTCTTTTATAGCTGCAAGTATATTGTTTTCAACCTGAAGCCCATTCACTTATCATTATGGCGAATTAGGCTACGATCTCGTCGTTCTAATTGAATGGGGATTTTCAGTGTATTTCTGGTTTGCGGAAGGTATGGTGTACATCGCATCTCACTATGGGTTTGAACCGTACGTCTGCAGCCATTCTCATTTGGCGTCTTTATGCCATATGCGATCAATCCAAGCTCCTACTTTATGTTCTGGTGGGATTGTTCTTGCCTATCGTCGCCCTCTCAATTGGGACGGACATCTATCTATACAGTCGACATAGTGCGTTTTCAGGTAATTTTTTTCTAAAATCGAATTGACTGCAAGCTGACCCCGCCTCATTGCATAGTGAAAGAAATCATAACTCCGAACGTCAAGTACTGCACGCTTTCTTTCAACATCGGACCTATGCCTGCGATCTATACTTCCATTCCGATTGTGTGCTATGATATCTTACTAGTTGTTCTTGCGGCTGCCATCCTCGTGAGGCACCTTAAGGAACGAAGAGGGACTCAAATGAGGGCTAATTCATATATGATCCTGATCGTTCGGTATCATATTCTGTACTTTGCCCTGTAAGTCTTCCCCTCATCCAGTAGGTTCTAAAATTATTCATCGATTCTCGTTAGGAATTTGACAAACCAAATCTTATTGGTTATATTATGGGCTCACATTCCGGTATGATCATTCCAAAGGGTCATACAGACGGATCGGCTAAACACTTACACTCCCTAGACCCCGGTGATGTGTATCTCAGAATTCTTCAATGATACTGCGCCGTTTATTCTCGCGCCCCGTCTCATCATCAGTATTTGGGATACGCATGCCCACGATGACTGCGTGGAAGTCAGTACAACATTCGAGGATTGTGTATGTTGGACTTCACCACTGAGGTTCGAGCAGCACGAGATGGATTCCGTTGTCGTGTAATTCTGGGGTGCTCAGGCTGGTTCCTCAGTATGAAGAAAAAGTAAATGGGGTCGAGTGAGGTAAATAAACAACTTAGAGCTTTGTGTAGCACCTGATAGTGTAGTACCTACATACCGTAATATGTAACGTTTGTGGACCGAATCGTTGAACATGAGTATATATAGTACGTCCTTGCAGAGTTGAGAATACTTTGCTGTTCCCCACAAACATGATATCACAGATCGTGTGACTGTCGAAATTAACTATACATCAGTGATGATATGCTGTCAAATTGTTTGCGAAATTTCTACAACAGAGCATCTTGAGGGTGTGCTGTCGAGTCTGAGAAGTTACTAGTCATATGTCGTTACTTACTGCAGTGACAGTAAAAGACGGTACACGGATGGCCCTTGAACCAGTACCACCACCATGGCGGTTTTTTCCCACGCAATTTTCGCGGGCAAGGTCGAGCGACGACGCTCACAGCTACCAGCTGGTCTCATAATAATAAAACAATATCTCCTCTACCAATCAACAGCAGACTGGAACCTACGCCAACCCTCACGTAAATCACCCAAAGACATGACCGCGTATTATCGCACCCAACCGCCTATCCACAATGTCCCAATGCCAAGTCTCCCTACACGTCAAACAAAACACCTTGAACTCATGTAAAGTAAACATAACCGACGTGCGACGTAAAAACACCCTCTAACAAAACCCTGCAAAAGATAACATATCACTGAAACCCACTAACTAAAATGAACTACCTCCCACAGGAATCAGATTAATAACCCTATCTGCCACCCCACATACGTATTATGGCGAACGCATCACAACAGCACACACCACCTGGACCAAAGCCCTACCAAACAGCACCCTCACGGAAACCACACCCCCCAGCTACTTAAAAGCCCCTCGAAAACGGAACGAAAACCCCAACCCCTCCAGCGAAATGAAGGACCAATCCACTGTCAAAGCAGCAAACATCAGTGCCTGTCCATCACCTATGGGAACCCGTCAACCCCTTCCCAGACCCCTTCGCTCCGGTTCCCACTTCTTCCCTCCTAACGTCCTGGACGACGAAGGAGACTCCATGGGATCACTGTCCCTACCCCCAACCCCTTCCCCCAATCCGAGGCCCCCGCCCCACTCACTAACCCAAGACGCTTCTGAAACCAGTGTGCCCACATCCCCCGCCCCTGCTCCCCCACTGGTTGAAGCAGGAGGTACCAGCCCTGACGAAGAGACCACCGTAGAGGACCTCTCTAACTCCATTCACACACCGAGCCCTGATGAAGACGCCGCGATGTCTGACAACTCCCCACCCACCTACTCATACCCCAGCCCCCCCAAACCAGCCACTTCCACTGAGGAGGACCTCCTCAGGGCCCACCTGGCCGTGGCAGAGACAAACCGTGCCATTGTCAAACCTAGCGGCACCAACTCCCTCACCATGATCCCCCAATTCACCCCCATCCCGGCAGGAGGGTTCCCAAAAATCCACCTTGCACACGCTGCCCAGCTCTTCGACTTCCAGGCCCCAAAAGTCATCACAGCATGGCTTAAGGTCCCCCACCCGAAAATCCTTATCAGAGTCTTTGACCATGACGGAAAGAACCCATCTGTAAAAGGTCCCATCCTAGTTGAACGCCTCCGCAAGGCAATCACGGACATTGCACAAACATTGCACAATCAAAGAAATTAAGGTATCCCCCCCCTGCCCCGAAGCCATCAAAGAAGAGGCAGATCAACCCCTCAGTTTCCTCGCATACAATATTTCGGAAGAAACCAAGAACACCATCCTTGTGCAGCGCATATGGTCCTCCCTCGACATCTCCTTCACAGCCCACCAGTTCAGCGTGAACACCCCACCCCTCCTCCTCTTCTGCCTCCATGGCTTCTCAACCTCGGACACTGCCACAGTGAAAGACGCTGTCTTCGAAACCTGGACGGATGAGTTCACCAGCTGGGAAATTGCGAAAATCCTCGCTGAAAGCGACATCCCCGCAGACGAAGTCCACAATGCCATGAGGGAATTCATCAAGACCCTCTGGGTCGAACGCCTAGACTTCAAGGCGAGTGGCGGCATATCCCTCCCCCGCTACAACATCTTTGCAGCAAGCCCCACTAGCATCCCATCCGTTTGGACCAAACTTCGTGCATACCTTCACTCTCTAACCTACCCTTCCGAACTCGAAGGAAACGGCACGGCCGTGAACTTCATGCCCTGTCCACTGTGCCATTCAATTGCTCACCCTCGTGGCCTATGCCCCTTCCCAGACATCCCGCTCTGGAACGGCCCGAAACATCACAACCCTAGAGCACCTACCTACAACCTGAGAGGGAGAGGACGAGGAAGGAGAAACATTGGCTAGAGACACCCGCTCCAGGTCTTTTGCACAAATTGTCTTATATAATCCACGACTCAATACATACATCCCCTTGCTACCCGCCGTTTAGTACTACCACCTATGCTACCACTAACTTTGAATACAATCCCCACTCCATGCCCTCACCCAAAGTCAAAATGAAAGTGTAAGAACGACGCAAACGTGACACTACACCTGACCGTATGTCACCAACCTGCTCCAAACAGTTTGCTGGGGCGCACTCTGAACCACCCCAACCCATGGCCCAAATATACTGACTGCCCTCGCAGGACAGGAAAGCCATGGCAGCCCCGAAGGCTAGTGCCAAAAGCGGAGACCTATTTAGGTCAAGGATTAGCCGCGCTGAGAAGCTGAAGCCACTGCCAGACGAGTAAGGTGACAGGACGCCTACCTCGAAAAGCACACGCATGTATCCACCATGGTTGCCTGGGATATGACAACCCGCTCTTTCCGATGGTCGTACCGGAAGATGTCGTCGTCTCGACCACCCCCCTGTCACTAAACTCCATTGATATCCCTCAAACTGGTAGTATACCTGGCCCCGGCACATTCCTCCCAAGTAGCAGAGAGGGAGGGCTTCAAGCCACTGGGCCCCCCCCTGAGGACGCTACTCAAGAGTTCGGAAGTGGAACCCCACAAACACCACACACGGCACAGCATAACCCTGCTATAAACAACCAAAACGGTGAAAACTACACTGAAAAAAGGAAAAAGATGAGAGCTAACGTACATATTGCGTCCCTGAACATGAAAGGACGGACGTCCACACAACTAGACCATAATGCAATATCTAAATGGTCAGTAATACACCAAGTAATGAGAAAAGAAAATCGGCATCCTCTGCCTACAAGAGACACACCTGACACAGGAGCACGAGAACCAGATAAATGCACTATACTCGCGACGACTCAAAATCCTAAACTCCAGAGACGAAGAGTGCCCGAGTACCTCAGCAGGCGTAGCATTCGTCCTAAATAGAGAATTAACAAACACTGACAACATTGAACTAAAGGAAATCATACCGGGAAGAGCCCTAGCACTAAAAACACGATGGCACAATAATGACGAACTAAACATCTTGAACGTCTATGCCCCGAACGACCCAACAAAACACTCCGACTTCTGGAAACAGATAACCGATGCCTGGACAGAGAGAGACGCACGAAGACTCGACATAATGTTAGGGGACTTCAACCTAACGGAAGATCCCCTAGATAGAGCTCCTGTGCGCACAGACAACGAAACAGCTATTGAAGCCCTAAGAGACCTAAGAGATAAACTAAATATCCATGACTCCTGGAGAAAAACGCACCCGGACTCCCGACTCTTCACCTACTACAGCAACACGAATTCATACTCGAGACTAGACAGGATATACTCATCGCCTGCCCACGACTGGTCATCATGCACTTCAGCCATCCCAACAGACCACCAAATGATACTAGTAAGATACGCACCTCCGAAAATGCCACACATTGGGAACGGTCGATGGTCATGGCCCCTCGGCCTTATAAATGATAAAACCCTGATAACAAAAATGAGCAACCTAGGATCAATAGCCCAACTAAGAATAGAAAGAAACTTACCAAACCCCACCGAAGAGAACGACCCACAATCCATCTGGGAAGACTTCAAAATGAAGATCTGACAAGAAGCAAGAAAGACAGCAAAAGAGCACCTGCATAAAATCAAAATCCGCACAAAACAACTCGAAAGAGACCTGAAACTCACCCTAAGTAAAAACGACATAGACACAAATTTGGACATGAGGCGCCATAAAGCGTGGCTAGAAAATGAAATTAATCACCTGGAAAAGAAACAATTCAAAAACCTACAAGCCCAGTCAAAAGCTAAATGGCATGCTGAAGGGGAAACCATAAGTAAGTACTGGTCCCAAATAAACACGCCTAAAAAGCCCCGAGACATAATACACCAACTAAGAATCCCGAACACGAACAAACTCACCTCACACTCCAGCAAAATGGCAGAGATCGCAAGGCAACATCACGAAGCCCTACAACAAAACGACCTAAACCCAGAACAACAAGTAAGCAGAACTGAAGCGAAACTACTATCCATGAGTAAGATACCAAACAAACAAAAACTCCACCACCCAGGCTCACCATTAAGCCGCCTCCTCGAAGAACACCACATCCGCGACGCGTTATACTCATTGAAAGCCAGCAGCGCGGCGGGAATAGACGGAATCCCGTATGAAGTATGGAAACTCCTACATGAAAATCACGTAGAGGACCTTGAGAACGATAGACCAAGCTTCAACATAATAAAAACACTCACCCTAGTTATTAATGACATACAAAAAAATGGAGTCAACGTGGAGACAACCTTCACCCTAGGCTGGATGTGCCCGATCTACAAAAAGAAAGACCCCTCCGAAATAGTGAACTATAGACCCATAACGTTGCTAAACACTGACTACAAAATATTAACAAAAGCATTAGCGATCCAACTAGCCAAAGATGCCCCGACCTTGATACACCCAGACCAGAGCGGTTTCATACCGAAGAGATCAATCTTCGATCCCATCCGCCTGGCAAAAATGATGATCAAATATGCAGACATCATGGAAGAAGACGGCACACTGATCGCACTTGACCAAGAAAAGGCCTACAACAGAATTAGCCATGATTACTTAATAGAAACATTGCGCACCTTTAAGCTCCCCCAAATGTTCACCGACATGATTGAAGCCCTGTACGCAAATGCCTATACCAAAGTGGCAATAAATGGAATGATGAGCGAACCCTTCAAAGTCACAAGAGGGGTCAGACAAGGTGACCCCCTGTCATGTCTACTATTCGACATAGCCATCGAGCCACTCGCATGCACCCTAAGAAACTCAGAATCAATACAAGGATACAACATCCCAGGAATTACCGACCAGATAATAGTAAACCTCTATGCTGATGACACAACAATATATCTAAACAAAAACGATAAGTATAGTGACCTCGAAAATATTCTGAACAAATGGTGCCTGGCCTCCAGTGCGAAATTTAACATGGAGAAAATGGAGATAATCCCAATAGGCTCCAAAACTCACCGAACTCAAGTCATCACCACAAGGAAACTCCACCCAAATGACCCCCCATTAAACAACTCAATCAGAATCGCCCCAGACGGACACCCAATAAGGTCCCTTGGCGCCTGGATAGGAAATGAAACAAACGACGCCACTCCCTGGGAACCTATCCTGGACAAAATCAACAAAACGCTGAAACACTGGAACAAAGGCCACCCAAACCTTGACAGCAAACGCCTAATAACACAAATGATCGCAGGAGGGATGTCGCAATTCCTCTCAAAAGCGCAAGGGATGCCGCAAAACATAGAAAATGCACTAATAAAAATCATCAGAAATATTTCATCTGGAATGACATTAGAACCCCCCCCATAAGCCTAGAACAGATGTACCTACCAAAAGAAAGCGGAGGAATAGGTCTCCTGGATATTAAAGCAAGAAATGAAGCTATAGAAATAACATGGTTAAGATCTTACCTTGACCTCACAGCATCACGCCCAGCCTGGGCCTTCGTGATGGATGTCCTCATCAACAACCTGAAACTGACCGGAATAGATAACTCAACGAACTTCAATGTGTTCCTCCAATCCTGGAACCCGATAACAAGGGGTCCAAAAACAAAAAACCTACCACGAGAAATAACAAACATGTTAAAAGTAGCCAAACGATATAACGCAACCTTCGCACCGATAAAACTCTCCAAGAACCTCAAAAAACAACTACCAGCTTGGTACCACCTTGGCGCACCCCCAAAAACATACCACAAACAGAAAAACAGCTGCCTGCAAAGGACCCACAATGCCCAAACCATCAAGAAACTAATCAAAATGAGTAAAAGAACGACCCTCTCCGCAGGTACGACCGAGATCGACGAGCGCCACTACCCCCGAAGGGACTGTGCGTGCACATATTGTGAAAAAGACCGACTCAAAGGGTGTGATAACCCACATAAGTGCGCAATGGCAGCGAAAGAGATACTAAACAAAATTACGCCTAAGTATAACACGAAAGTGAAACCAAAGAAGGACAATCTCTCCCTAACTCACCAGCGCAAAGAAAAGAACAGACAAGCACACCAAAACAGAAGGGGAGAGATCCTCTTCGACCCAACAGCCACAGTCCGATCGGAACTAACAGAATGCTTCAGAATTTTCACCGACCCACTAAAAAAATCCAACAACCCAGCTCACCGACTACAAGCCCCCGCCAGAGGGCTAAACCTCCTAGAAGACAAAATCATCATATACACCGATGGCTCGTGCCTGAACAATGGGAAAAATAATGCACGCTCTGGCAGCGGAATATGGATATCAGAAGAGAACGCCGGAAACAGAACGATTAGAATACCTGGGGAACAACACTCCAACCAAATAGCTGAACTAGTGGCAATCCTGGTCGCCCTACAACAGACTGAACCCTACATCCCAATAACATTCGTCACCGACTCAAGATATGTAATAGACGGACTTACGAAGAACATAAGCCAGTGGGAAGATAGAGGCTGGATAGATATCGCAAATAGTGAGTACATAAAAGCGACAGTGTATCACCTGAGAAAGAGATCAGCACAAACATCCTTTATATGGACAAAAGGTCACAACGGAAATCACGGAAACGAGCACGCAGACCGACTTGCCTTGGAAGGCGCTAACAAACCCACAGAAGACCACCTAGACCTAACGATACCGAATGAGTGGGACCTACAGGGAGCAAAAATCGCGTCAATAACACAAACACTAGCGTACAAAGGCGTGAGGACCAAATATAGAGAAAAGAACCTACCAAGAAGAACCACAACAAACAACCTTGACGTTGCCAGATATGCGATCCAAGAAATAACAGGAAACCTCGAAAACGATAGCGCAATATGGACCGGCTGCAGGAATAAAGACCTGCAGAAAAAGATACGTCAATTCATATTCAAATCTATGCATGGTGCATACCGAATAGGTGAATACTGGTCGAATATTCCTAACTTCGAACACCGGGCAAAATGCATACAATGCAACGCCGAAACAGAATCCCTAGAACACATAATGTTAGAATGCCCCGAAAACGCCCAGACCACCATATGGAAACTAGCAAGAGACCTCTGGCCAGAGGCATATGGTGCCTGGCCACGAATCTCTATAGGGACAATACTAGGATGCGGCAGCATCCACCTCAAACGACAGAACCCGGAGGAACCTGAAAACGAGGCCGACAATAGAGGAAACAAAATGAAGGGTGCATCGAGACTCCTACGAATACTAATATCTGAATCTGCATACCTAATATGGGTCATCAGATGCGACCGCACCATCAACGGAACAACACATACGATAAACAATGTCACAAAGCGATGGACAAACACACTGAACAATAGACTCCAATTAGACAGATTGTCAGCAAAAAAAATAATAAGAACCGAGAAATTCACCAAACTCGTCACACAAACCTGGTCAAACACCATTAACGCTGATACACAAATACCAACAAACTGGGCAACCGCCCTCGAGGTTTTAGTGGGTATTAGACCAACCCAGGCCCTCTGTGACCGAGGCCCCCAGGTAGTAAAGAGTCCCACACACCCCGCAAACCGCGGGAGTGCAGAAAGGCATTTTTCCTCAGACCGGTGTTTCTTTAGGAAACTCCGCTTCAGCGCGTATACGTAGAACTAGACTTAGTCAGTTGCTATCAATACACATTGCTTGTCTAAAAAAAAAAAAAAGACGGTACATATGGCGCTGGATCTGTTCAACTATTCTTCACACACAAAACTCACACACACGCACAGACGCGACACACACACAAACGAGACGCACACACATAATCATTCCTTCGCATACCAGTCGATGGAACGTGCAGTATCATCAGTGCAGTATCATGAGTGCTCGATAATGGGCGGCTCCTCGCAGGCAATAATGCGGCAGTGCTCATTATTGGCTGAACTACGCATCAATCTTATGTATTACATAAGCGTTGTGCCGCCTGAGTCTGTAGTAGTCAAGAGGCTAACACCAACGCCCAGGGATGAAATGCTGAAAGCGGGTCTCCTACTGCTGTCCCTGCTATTTTTGTGCATACAGTACCATCTAGAGTGCCAGTGGTGACGGAACCAAGATGGAACTTTCTCAACAAGATCTACGTACGCTCAATTTTCTCCAAGTCCTTTGTTTTCGCCAGGGAGTTGAAAGGGACCAATGCTGGTGACATTGAGACTCAAGGTACGTTTTGACTTTTTATCATTTTTCTATATTCTTACTGCGAAGCATCTTGCACTCCTGCAGTTACTATCTCTTGCGCCTACCCGTTCTCTCGTGAACCAATCAATGTCTACGGACCTATACTTCTGGTCCCTCACGCCCGTTCTCATGCTCGCTCTAACTCTTTTGTTTGTGCTCACTCTCTTGCACCCGTTCATGCTTGCTCTCTCATACCTGTTCTCTCGTGCTAACTCTCTCCCACTTGTTCTCTCATGCCGCGCCCCATCTCTCATGCCCTCCTACTTCTCGATGTCGCTCGGTATTGAGACCATCAACTGCGGCACCACAACAAGCGCCCGCCACGTCACCTGCATCTTTGCACACTGTCCACCAGCCGGTCCTCAAAAAGTTTCGAGGCTTTGCTCTCAATGCTGGCGACTTCGGTGCATTTTGTTTGCCCTTGGACTCTACTTGCTTTGCACTTATAGAAACCTTCATCATCGCTCTGAGACCTACTCACTTCTCATTGCTCTGTCTCGTCCACCGGCAGGCCTTGAAAAGATTCGAGGCTTTGCTGCCAATGCTGGCGGCTTCGGTGCATTTTGTTTGCCCCTTGGACTCTACAATTCTTCATTGGGGACCTTGTCTGCAATATAATTTGATTATTGAATCATGTCAGATCTAGTAGTGCAGTACTAATTTTTCTACGATACAAGAGTATGTATGCGAAGGAGTGATTATGTGTGTGCGTCTCGTTTGTGTGTGTGTCGCGTCTGTGCGTGTGTATGAGTTTTGTGTGTGAAGAATAGTTGAACAGATCCAGCGCCATAGGTACACGTCTAACTTAATACTAAGGACTTTGTAAGTTCCCAGTCAAGTGTAAAAAGAGACTGTATTGGGTACCGTCACAGTCGAGTGTAAAGAGATAGATGGTAACTCCGCCGGCGTAGTAGTGAATGAGCGAAACGATATGTACTAGCTGTGCTGACGGGTATACGACACTGTGCTACTAGTACTAAGTAAAATGATTTTGCAGAGTCTGAGAAACAGTTCCGGAAGCCGAAGCCAAAAGGGATGTTCCGGGTGGGGGTCTACAAGTCCCGTGCCGCAGTACCCTCGATTCATTTCTAGCGAACTCCTATTGAGATAGCAGTCCGTGATGCCGACATACGATAACTTACTCGGTAGCACCGTGTGGCACAGTTTCCATTCAACCATCACTCAATTAGCGGCCCATCAGTCACCTCTTCAGGCTCCCGTTCGATCTACACAGTCTCATGTCAGAACAAGAAGTTGTCGCTGGTCTCCGCTGGAATAACAATGCAGGTGGTTCGTTAGCGTATTCTAATTGATTTGCGACTATTGGGCTGAACATCGATTCCAGTGCCAATCATTACCCTGATGTTATATGAGTACCGTTAGTGGCCTTGGAAAACTCATCACTACTGCCGCTGATCAAAAAAATTGTCTAGTTCTTCTCTTAGACAAAGAGGTAAATCAAGTCTTTTCTTCTGTTGGTCAAGTACTTACCACTAGTATTATCGGCATAGGTTAATTATGTCTGGGTCAGTGTCCAACCCAGATCTGCACAATCACATCAGCCCGGAGATTGATTCAATCTCCAGAAACGACCGTTGTCGCTAATGTCATGCCTGTACCTCGTTGTGAGATTTGCCCTATTTGAAAGCGCTTAGATCTGTACCATATTATTTGCTATGCTAGGTTCGATATCTTGGTCTTTTCCTCGCACTGTACGTCATCATGGCTCCTTGACACGGCACGTATGCACGCTGACACTCACATCAGGCTGTGCGGTTTCTGTGCGTAACCCTGTGCCTACCCGACCCATTGTCAACTGACCAGCCCTAGGGGGAGGTCTGTTGTACATACCTGAATCAGTCAGTGTATTGATGTTTTCCATTTAGAGTATTTTTGGCTGACTCATGTTCTAGCCGTACGTCCCAAGGTAGTACGTCCCAAGAGTCAAGTCTCAAAAGTTGTTATCCTCTTATCATTATAGCTGCAAGTGTATTGTTTTCAACCTGATACCCATTCACTTATCATTATGGAGAATTAGGCTACGCTCTTATCGTTCTGATTGAATGGGGATTTTCAGTATATTTCTGGTTTGCGGAAGGTATGATATACATTGTTGCGTCTCACTATGGGTTTGAATCTTGCACTCGCAGCCATTCTCATTTGGCGGCTTTATGCCATATGCGATCAATCTAAGCTCCTACTTTATGTTCTGGTGGGATTGTTCTTGCCTATCGTCGCCCTCTCAATTGGGACGGACATCTATCTATACAGTCGACGTAGTGCGTTCTCGGGTAATTTTTCCCCGAAATTGACTTGGCTGCAAGCTGACCACGCCTCATTGCATAGTGAAAGAAATCATAACTCCGGACGCCAAGTACTGCACCCTTTCCTTCAACATTGGACCTATGCCTGCGATCTATACTTCCATTCCGATTGTGTGCTATGATATCTTACTAGTTGTTCTCGCGGCTGCCATCCTCGCAAGGCACCTTAAGGAACAGCGGGAAACTCATATGAGGATTAATACATATATGGTTATGATCGTTCGGTATCATATCCTGTACTTTGTCCTGTAAGTCCCCCTTCATCGAGTGGGTTGTAAGAGTATCCATCGTTTCCTGCTAGGAATCTGACAAACCAGATCTTGTTGGTGGTATTATGGGCTCATATTCCGGTATGATACTTCCCAAGAGTTATACAGAGATCAGCTAACATACGCGCTGGTACCACCTAGACCCCGGCAATGAGTCTCTCAGAGCTTTTCAACGATACCGCGCCATTTATTCTCGCACCCCGTCTCATCATCAGTATTTGGGATACGCATGCCAAGGATGACTGTGTAGAAGTTAGTACGACGTTCGAGGACTGCGTATGTCTCACTTCTCCACCGAGGTTCGAGCAGCACGAGATGGTCTCCATCGTTGTATAATTCTGGCATAATGATACTGGTTCCTCAGCATAAAGACAGAAATGATTTGGTTAGAGCGAGGCGGCCAATTTCTTTGGACGCCTCGCCTGATAGTGTAGTAGTCACCTTGATCTATTGAAAATGACATGGAGACCGAATGATGCAACAGTATGGTTCCCCGTAGGTACTAGTGCAGTTTTAATATGGCAGACCATCCATCGTCGCTCATGGTATGCTATTGGCTTGTGTTAACAATACTTACAACAAAGCAAAGGGTACGTCGATGAGTCTGAAATGCACCAACCGAAAATACACAGATATAAAGCAAGGTACGATCGCTACATATTGAAAGCATCAAATATAACAGCCTTCTATGCTGGCGGTGGCGGTGGAGGTGCACTGTCGCTTGGTGCAGGTGCAGCTGTTTGTCCAGCGTATGCTTGGTAATACTGCGCTTGCTGACTCGCAGCCCACTCCTTGAACTGCGCTGAGTTGACATCGTAGCCGTATTGTGCCCTACCGTCACGTGAGGACAAATACAGGAAGATATTCGAAGAAAAATTACCAGTATGCTGCATATGCATCTTGGGTATCTGGCCCTGGAGTGCCGGTTGGTGCACCTGGGTACGGTGGAGGTGCACTACCATCTGGAGGTGGGGGAGGCTGCTCTCCAGGTGGTGGCGGTGGAGGTGCGTTTTCAGGTGCAGGTGGTGGAACACCGTACCCACCCTAGGAATCAGATGTTAACTGAAGAACATTATGTGTAAGCAGAGGACTAAGCTTACCGCCGGGTACTGTGCAAATTGCATTTGTGCTTGGTGCAACTCCATTTGTTGTTGCATCATTGCTGACTGTGCTTTGGCATGCTCAGAGCGTACAACTTCGAGCAAGTCTTCTGTGAGCACTTTAGCGCGAGCTACTTGGTTTTCGTCTGGTCCGCTGCCGAGGTGTCAGTCATACAAGCAGTCAAATGCATGAAGTCTCACGTAATATGTATGTGCATAGGCTCATCTGACTCCCGACCGGTTTCCTGTTCTACAAAGCCTGAACCTTGACCCTTTATCTGCACACGCGTACTTGTTTCTTGTTGGATATATTTCACGAACATTCCCTGGCACAAGCGCTAATTCTTAAGAGTTCAATACAGAGGAAATTCAAACCTACCTGTGGCCCAACAACTTTGGCACGAACGTTGAAATTGCGAATGGTCTCGAGGCCCACAGGCATTTTCTCTTCCGGCCATTTACGCTGGGAGAGGAGTAAGCCAACGGTGAAACGTTAGAATAATTGCAAAACCTTTTCGCGCAATCTATCCTTCTTGTCCTCTACTAGTGGACCGAGATCAACCGCTATTAGCTCGTTAACCCTGTCAATTGCCTTTTGCAACATCTCCTTGCTTGAAGCCGAAAGGTGAAGGTATAATGGAGGGTCCTTCTCCGTTGCCTTTGATCGATCCGGGTACCACACACCCTTGGTACTGACTGAGGCACCCGTATCCTCGTGAATCTATTTGCGAGATTAGAAGCTAGCTGGCCATACAACCACCACTCAAAACACATACATCGGTCTGTGTAGAACCTTTTGTCAACATATACCGGTTCCGGACATCGTTGATGTCAATGTCGTGGGTGAAATCTCCATCATGCGGGTCCTTCTGTCCGATCTGTATACTCCCGGCGATGCCACCACCAGCACTGAACTGTGCGGCAATTTTGGCAGCAATAGCAGCAGCAGCGGCCGCAGCTTCAGAAGCAGTCTTCCCCTCGTCAGTTTTTTGCGCCTTTATAGGACTGTCCAATTCGAAAGGTGATGATTCAGGGGCAGCCTGGTCCCATTTGCGTTTTGACGACATAGCAAGACGCTGGACGGGGCTCTGGAGTCTGAATGTGGAGGGGAAAGAAATGTGACCGAACCCACACGTCACACCCGCGTGACACATAATATTCGATCTCCGCGGCGTCACCTTCCCGATCGAGTGATATCTCCTGGTGCTTGCAACGAGGTGGGGAAGACGTAAAAGATGCAAATGTCCTCCAACAAACGCCAACGTACGTTTTCGGCTTCGCGATTATCACTTCCATCTCAATCGACGACATCGACATCGGTATCACTAGAACCTGAACCCATGTATAAGTCTAGTCGCACCGCAGATGAGGCAACGGGGGATCGTCGTTTGCTCTGCACTCTGCCCCCGACGTGTAATCCGCCGCATAACCGCCCGACACCGATTGCAAACTCGAGAGATCTGGAGCTGCATTATGGAAAATATCACTGCGCAAGTTTGTGAGCAGAAGGGATGTGGGTTTGTGTTTCCCGATGCAAGATTGCTGGAGCTCGTGAGTGGACTGCACACGAGTGAGGTCGTCTGCGAGTGTGCTGACATCAACGATCGATGATCGATAGCATCAAACAGAATGCCATGATCCACTTGCTGCTGTTCGAAAAGATAGGGGGGATAAAATTGTGCGCTCTATTTCATTGCAGTGTCCTTGCTCTCACTTCCTCATCTGTCTCACAGTTTGCTTGTCATCTTGTATCATGTCCACGATTATTCCAGACGCCAAAAGCACGTCGATTACATCTTATCCAAACACACTCATACCCAAAAGAGTACTTTTTCGCTGTAACAAACAAAGGTGTGGGCGGTCTACTTAAACGCTGGGGAGATGGCGCCAGCATGATCAGAGGAACCTGGAAGCCCAGAGATAAGAAAAACGAGAAGGACTCGAAGATGATGAAATGGTCATAGATGAGGATGAAGAAGAAGATAGCGATGAAGGAGAAACTGAAGAGTCAAGCAGTGGTGACGAACAAAATGGAGAAGCAACACCAAAAATACGTCACCATCAAGAGCTTGAGGAAATACCCACACGAACTGCTATCTCACCACGGCGAGGAAATGGCGCAGTGCAGACTGCAGCTGACCATGACATAGACAAATTGGCAAATTCGATAAACTCTCTATCTTTGGTCCCACCATCCATACGGTTCGGAAGAGGTGGAAAGAATGGGGGATTTGTCCATCCAGAGATGCACAACCCGCAGGTTAGCAAATTTAATCCTCACACGTTCGGTCCAAGAGGTGGTAGAGGGAGAGCGAGGATAGCAACCGCGGTTCATCCCCGAGCTGGATCCCATAATGTACAGATTGGTGCGCCTCACCCCTCCGCAGAGGTTGATGTACAGCCTGGGATAGGGCCTGTATCGAGAGGTGTGTCCCCTCGCGGAAGAGCGGGGGTCATTCATGTCAGGGGAGGTTTCAGAGGCCGTGGTCGCGGGTCTTAGAGGGGGGGAAGTGCTGATATTGGCAGATACCACTGGGACCGATTCTGATGAAAATAACGTGCACGTGTATTCCAAGCAATGTACATCACCTCTTTTGTTTGATCGTCCATCATTTTATAAGGCTGTGAGTGAAGGGACTGCTTCCGGGCACTGCATTGGTGGTGTTGAGCGAGTCAGCGGATGCCAGCAAGTGTGGAAAAATTGGTAGCCACGGAAGGTCACGCACGTTTTCAACGAGCGACAATGATAATAAAATATGATAGAGTAGCTTGCATTTCTTGCCTTTCCAATTGTCCTTCTAACCAGTTGCTAATCGTGTGGCTAGTCAAGAGACTGATTTTGTACAGCAGTGCTGGCGTCGAGCTGCCTAGTTAGGCAAGCATTGTATTTATTAGCAGAGACCCTGATCACTCCTGTTAGCCGATATGGAATTTCAAGGAGCCTCGCTGGATGAGGTGCTGTTCCGGTTGCAAGAGTTGGGTGTAATACTCACAAATTTGATTCACATTTCCATCGAAGTTAACCATGGAGCAAATGCATTGAAGTCGGACAATGAGGACGGAAGCAGCCGACGTGAACAGAGTTTACGGTGTCCTGGGAAAAACAATGCCTTGTTGTGGGTGTGAGTTTACACAATACAAGCCGAGGCTAATTTGCCACGGCGCTTGTTAGTTTAGGTCACGACGATAAGTACTATTGTCCAAACAGTGGCCGTGGACTACAGCCTTTTGTCCAGGCTATCCCCTCAAAAGCAGACGCCTGGTGCAGTTCCAAACCCCATCTAGTACCGTTGAGCTAGCCTCGCGTCTGCTAATCAGGATCATCATCCAACTCTTCAGCACTCTCTTGCAACATTTTCATCTTTCTACTAATTCTTTGCAACGCTACCCAATTGTATATCATCCAGCATAGACCATCTGCACTATATTGCTCATTTATTTCTGTCTGCATTTATTCAAGAGACCATAACGTCCCCCGACTGTTCTTCCACGTCACTTGTAGGTTTCATGTCTCCGTTCTCGACAACGACCAACTAATGTGCGCCCAACGCAGAATAGACAGATACTTCCGTGAAGTCTCGTCCATATATCGATTTATTAGAACTTCACGCTCGTTCCGAGTCCGCATCCATGTCTACTAGTACTATCCCGTTCCATGCCAGTGCCTCAGGATATTATTATTCAAGCAGGTCATCGCCCGAAATACGCCTTCCTGGCTCATCCCCCACCCCCTAAAAAGCGTCCTACACAACCCCTGCCTTCACCACCTTCGTACGCCAGGATAGTTGTTCCTCAGGCCGCCCCGCGCATCCGCCCTCGCTCGAATACTTTTTCTACAATCACCGCTTGGGCAGCCCACGTCCAGCCTGGATCTCCTGCATCTCTTTCTCCGCGTTCTCCGCGTCGCCGTCCCTCGATCGGCCTGCGGTCGCAGAGCATCCATTACGTCCGCCCGTAGTTCAGCAGGCTGCTTCTTAAACGTTTTAGACACCCCTTCCACTGTCCATCGCAACGCCGCAACCCCCTCGATACAGAATTTTAAAGCCGACCTCACCACCGTCGGCTATACTTCTGCCTTTTTACAGTTCCCTAAGACTCCCATTCGCGTTCAAGCCTCACACTGCTGAGGCCGGGCATCAGATTCCAATACCTCCTGTGCCCACATCACCGACACGCAAATCTCGCGGGCTTACACGCCTACGTTCCCTGTCTGGACTCAAGTACCGCGGCAGATCCAAGTCCGCAGCGCCTTCGTCTCCCACAAAGATGAAGGCTAAAGCAGCAGCAGCGTCGTCTGCTGCTGTAGTCAAGCGCAAGAAGGCGAAGTACGCCTAACATGCGCCCTGCACCTCTTGCCAACGAGCTCGCGCTTATGCAATTTATTGACGGCGGCAGCATGGAATCCAACATCAAACGTGTCATGGAGGCTCAGGCCAGAGCTGGGGCTCCCGGTGTTAGTGATGTCTACCGTGATGGCGAAGGTGGTGTTTGGTGGGATCAGGACGAGGAATGGGAGTATGCCCATCTCCTCGCCGCCGGCGAGGATGGTGCCGCTGGCGGTATGGGTGACCTAGGGTGGGTTACTTTTGGCGGGGACAAATCATCCTCCGCTAACCCTGACGTTGACGAGGAGCGTCGCGGTAGCGTTTCAACCCAAGACTCTGACTTGGACACGCGCTACATCGTCCAGCCCACTGACCATCTTGACACGGATGATCTCGCTGTCTTCGGAAGCGCTCTTACACCCCTCGCTACTCGCAAGCCAGCAATGTCTGTCCTCGCGCTCCCATCTCGTCCTCGGCGCGCCGCTAAGCACCTTCACAAACCCGACTACCTTTTGAACGTCGCGTTTTCCGGGGGCTTCGCATCTCCCAAGAGTCCCGCTTTTGCGATGTCGGCATGTGCAAATGGTGTCGCTAAGCCCAAGGGCAAGGCGCGCAGACGCCCTGCGCCACTGACGCTCACCCCTCCCAGCCCTGCACTGAGGCAGCCGTCGAACTCTCCCATGGATGTTGAACGCACCCGCAAGGACTTTTTTGAGTCTTCGTTCGAGCCTATAGCTTCTGCTGTCCCTTCTGCTCCAGCTATGTACAAGGACGAGCGTGGCAAATTCCCTGCGCGCCTCGACCTCTTGCAGCCCAACAACAGCAACTCGCTGAGTTTTCCCTGCAAGAAGACTCTTGCCAAGAAGCCGTCGAGGCTCAACATGATAGGCTTCTTCAAGTCCTCGAAAAAGTAGGAGGGGGAGTGCACAGCTCATTCATTATCTTTCTGTCTTTTCAACATAAATAACGCTCATTAACGCTATCTTGTTGTATCTTGCTGTGCGTTTTTGTTTACGATTTTGTAGCACTAGTGGTTATATGGAGTTAGGTCTATAGAAGAATCTTGATAGTCAAACTTGCTAGCTTGTATACGTAGAAATACCTTACCTGTTACACATAATTCGAGAATTTGTTTCCTGATCTTTGATTGGCTGATACTTTGAGACACTGACTTGACCTGGCAGAACATGATCAATTTGCTCATCGGATCCAGCGTAGTTCACCATACACTTGTAACTCACGCTCCATATCATCTACTGTGTGTCATTCTAATTAGCCTTCAAGTCTAAGCTGAATAAATCTAGCTAGCAGAGATGAGTGAATCCATTCGTCGGGAGATCTAATACTAACTTTTGCGAGTCCAACAAATATGCGAGTCCAAATATGGAAATACTAGTCAAGTCGTCTGAGCGCTTCGGCGTGACCGGCGTGACCTCCTTTCGACCCGAACTCTTCAAAGCTTCGTATATACCTCAACATTACTGATGGCTGGCGATAAGGAAACGCTACTCAGCATGGGATTTGACCCAGCCCGTGTTGACTGTTCGTATTCTCTTGTCTCACCAGTCCGTGTTCTCTGGCTGATTGAAGCGCCACCGTGGACGCGCTATACGTAGGGGCATTGAGAGCGACTAACAATCGCGGTTTGCAGCCTGCAATGGATCACATTCTGGAGAACGAAGGGAAGCCTATTCTAGATCCGAACGCTGCTGCTCCTACAAGTGCATCGGGCAGTGCAGGGCAGCCCATGGACGTCGATGTCGATGTTGACGACGAAGATGAAGATGCCCTGCGGCGCTTGATAGGAACTAAAGCTGGCCCGGGTGCCACATCGAGCACTGAAGTAGATGCCAAGGTACGTTTATTTCAACTGCGGCCCTGAAGCCTCTATCTTCAATAAACTCACTTATTAGAGTATCAAATGCTCAGAATGCGGCAAGGTATTCAAGAACACGGCGTTGGCTAATTACCATGCCGAGAAGAGTGGCCATGATCAGTTTGAGGAGTCTACGGAAGAGGTTTGTGCCCCGTGTCGCGTGCCGTATCTCTCACCTCAGATGTCCCTCAGATAAAGCCACTTACGGAGGAAGAGAAGCGGCAGAAGTTGGCTGAACTCAGAGAAAAAATAGCTGCAAAGCGCAGCGTAAAGTCTCAACAAGAGGCCGAGGAAGCACGTGCGAATGAAGCTATTCGCCGCAAGTCTGGCAAGGTGAGTTTAGTCGCGTACTTGGTGGTTTTTGTGTTTCAGAAGTTCAATCAAACTAGGATATCAGCAAAGCAAAAGATGAGCTGAAAGCCAAGGAGCTCGTGAAAGAAGCTGAGCAGAAACGTAGAGGTGATTGCCATGCGCATGGATTCTGTCCATATTAATCCGATCTAACCACGTGTGGTAGAGAAGCTTGAGGATGCCAAGGCCAAGGCCGCGGTAAAGGCCCAGATTGAGGCTGATAAGAAAGCCCGTGCAGAAAAGGCTGCAAGGGAGAAAGCTTTACGTGACGGCCAACCAATTATTGACGCATCAGCCACTGCGTCAACGACTCCAGCAGTAACAGCGTCCTCGTCCAGCGGCACAAGTGGGAAGGACTTCAAAGACACTCGTCTCCAAATCCGTATGGCAAGTGGAGGGACGCCTTACACGACCACCTTGCCGAGTGATGCAAGTATGTCTCATCGCTTCCCTGCATACACGAACATCTTGTGAACTGACACATCTTGCAAGCGTTACGTGAGGTCGCTGAATTTATAGCTGCCCAGACGCTTTCCGTCGATGTAGAAACAGTCACATTCGCCCAGCATTTCCCCAGGTCAGTCTGCATCTTGTTGCGCGGTGTACCTGTACCGAGGATTCATGATTTTAACAATAGGAAAACATTCTCTCGCGATCAGTTTAGCAAAACACTGAGGGAACTCGGACTGACGCCGTCGGCGGTACGTGCTTTTCCGAGTATGGGATTATGACACGACATATATTGGTTTCTAGGTCCTCATTGCGTCCTAACGCGATATATCGGCTGTGACTTGGAATAATTGTGATCCTTTCGGAATGGAAACCTAGCAGGAATAAAACATGCAGCTGTACACCACCACAATGAATTTTCTTTCGTATATCATGGACAAGGGATATAAAGTGACAGACGAGAAAATGGCGAAATATGCTAGATGTGAGTTTGATGTGCGTGTGGAGAAGAATGTCCATGTCAAGACAATAATCAAAACAGAAGAAACCAAGTTAAAGATATTCTAATAGTGTTATCGTACCTTCCACACCACTGACCACAATTCTCCCAGACTCCTCATCAATCACTATCCCATTCCAACAGTTGCCGGCTTGTACCCTAAATGCTATGGAACGATGTGAGCCATGCTGGCTAGTCGGGGATCCTCCTGTAGTCGTCAGTATCTGTCCTGTAAGTCGCTGATGTTTGGAGTCCCTACACTCCATCCCGTCTGGGTCATGGTTGTCTAGATCTCTCTACGTCCATCAATAGCGCTCAGCGGAACGAATGCTGACTCAGGGTCTTTCTCTTCAAAGTCGATAGTGACTATTTCCGTTCTATGCTAGACAATCAGCAAGAATGTTAAAGCGGGTGTTACCATTTACACTCACACTGCTGGCTTGGACTGGATCACCATTATGGCTGGAGAAGAGGGATCGTCATTGATAACGACACGTTTGTATGTCTCATCCGTGTACGTCAATTTTGCTATGCACACAGGTTGTAGGACGGTAAGGTCCCAGCACTGGATGATACAATTTCTGGATGCCTCTATCGTGACAGAAACTAACCAACGATTTCCTCTGCCAGGGAGAAACTCCATTAGTAAAACGTCCGGATCTTTCACGGCCGCCCCAAAACGAATTTCTCTCTTCAGATTCGGACTAGGGTTAGTCCAGTTGATGCGAAGAGCAAGTGCACGACATGTAAACCGCTCGAGCTCTAAGGCTGACAGAGACTCTGGAGATTTCCCATCGAAAGAGGGTATAGGGATGTTTTGCTCCTGGACAAGAGTCCGCAGAAGGAGAGCCCAGAGACTGCGCAGACGGGTGATAGCATCAAAACTTTTACTAGTGTAGAAAATAAAAATCAGATTAGTAAAACACGCCGTGAGATGAAAACAGGGGCGTAAACCTGTCGTAGTGCCAGGACGCTTTGGATAGGAAGATGCTGAAATATACTGAAAAGTATGTCGAGAGGAATAGTATCAAGGGATGGCGAGCGATCCCTGATATATGAGCTAATAGTAAGTTCATCCATAGTGGACAGACGCAAATTGGGTCACTGACTCAACTGCTTTATTAGAGTGGCTGAGAAAGTCCGGAGGCTTCTGTTCAAAAATTCTTTCATCGGGGTTAAACTTGTTTAACCAAGTTGAATCAATTCGCAACGCTGGTAAGCCTCATGACTCAGCGTCATTCTTACAGGCCCCTTTTCATCTGGATATTTAAGTGTCTAACTGACGTGATCCGTTTTCACGTCGCACACTTGTCCCCTAAAGCACTTCTGCTCGTGCACGTTCTGCACTTTCTACTCTATATTTTCGTCGAGTCTTGAATTTAAACGCTGTTGAAATTCGGTCATACTTCCAAAACATATGTCAGACCCGAGTACATCAAACAATAATGCCGCCAACTCGTCACAAACACAATCTTCGCTTAGGGGACCAGGAATGCGAGGGACTTCGGTTGAGACCGACACTGATGGAGCACATCTACCCCAACAAGGTGTGGCGAAGAGGTGCCTCGACGTCGTCAGAGAGTTTAGAGCATGCAAGTGCACAAAGTTTGAAGCTTCCTACGTCATCTCCACAATCATCAAAGAAAGTCTACCCCTTGGATCAGGTGAAAATCCCATTACGGTTGCGGCTATCTACCTCGGAATGCTCGACGAATGGGAGTCGGAGCAAGACCAAGCCAACTACAGAGGAGCTGGAGCTGGAGCCGCTAGAGAACGTTCGGTTGAACCAACGTCGAACTTGCGGTTCGAAAAGGAGTCTCCAGCAGAGATTAGGAGTCGGGAAGTTAGCATTGAGCCAGGAGAACCTGCTCGAAAACGAGCAAAGCTCGACTTTACCTGTCTTGAACTTAAGCCATCAGTCCTCGAAGAACCCGCCAAACCATTATCACCCAATCTCAAACTCACCATCCGCATCTTACAGAACTGGGCACAGGATCAGAAACAAGCTAAGCTCAAACTCATGTACCATGAACGCAGCCCAGAATTCCACGAGTCAGGTTGGGCAGACATCGTTGCAGGACGAATCATCAATCTCGACGCCATCCACACCATTATCACCACTTCACGAGCCGTTGACAAGCACAAGGAGATCATTGGGGACGTTGAGCTCACCTATGGAGTATCAGAGACGGCCACAAAGAAGATCTCTACGCAAGGCCAATGGAACGCGGCATGGAACAGGGCTGCATGAGCCCTCAAATTCGCTTTCCCGTTCAGACAGGCTGAACTTGATGCCTACTCCGAGCACATCAACGAGCAGTTCGACCAACAATTGGAGAGTTACCATGGACGGGTCCTCCGATACGACAAATCAGTCAGATTTAGAGTCGGAAACACTCGAAGGTATGAGTTGTCCGACTTTGAATGTTTCAAAGACATCTACAGCTCCCATTTCTCCGCCGGGGGAAGGTTACACAACGACTCGGGAGAATCTAGCAAAGCCACGGGAGCTGGACGAGATCTTCTCATCAAAAGAGAACCATGTCGCAAATGGAATAGTGGTGAATGCACCCGCAGCGCTGCCACTTGCCGCTATGCCCATATCTGCAATATTGAACAGGACGGCCGGTTGTGTGGATGCTGTCATGTCAGATCAAAGCATAACGAGGATCAAACCAAGTCAAAATCAACATGAGGGATATCTCAAACACCCACGTTTTCGTCGAGGTTTGGTTTGGTCCCCCTTAGACGCCTCGTTCAGCCCAACTGCTCGGTCTACAGAGTATGCGGACCCTGTACCAACTGCGCCCACCTATTTAGCAGATAGTGATGCTGCCCACACGGTCGCGGCTCGCCCAGAACTCTTCAAGATAATAACACCAATCAATGTTGATCGGTTTCAATCCCTGTTGGAAAACCACCCTAATCAGCCCTTTGTTCTTTCAGTGTGTCGAGCGCTTCGAGAAGGATTCTGGCCATGGGCCGACGCTTCGGATAAAGCCTACCCTTCTGTTAACGATAACTCAATGCGCACTTGCATGAAGACTGAAGAGCAACAAAGATTCATTGATAAGCAGCTTGAAGAAGAAATACGACTGGGAAGAGTATCTGAAAGTTTCGGAACCGAACTGCTTCCAGGAATGTATAGTGTGCCGATGCATACTGTCCCCAAACCTAATTCTGATAAGCTGCGTCTCGTCGTGGACCACACTGCTGGTGAATTTTCACTCAACTCCATGATCGATTCAGATGCCATCAAAGGAACTAAGCTCGATGGTTTACATTCACTGGGAGCGTCGCTGCTTTAGTTTCGGCAACAGCACCCTCATGAACAACTAGTTCTATTCAAGTCGGACGTCTCGCAAGCTTTTCGTAGGTTACCAATGCACCCGCTGTGGCAGACCAAGCAGGTGCTAACGGTACGAGGACAACACCATGTAGATCGTAATAACAACTTTGGAGGAAGAGGATCCCCCAAAGTTTGGATCTCTTTCATGTCTCTGGTCGCTTGGATCGCTATCCATCACGCCTTAATTGAGGCACTCAAATTATATATGGACGACTCTTTTTCATTCGAACTCGCAGGGAAGACGTTATACTATGAACCCTATGAATGTTTCTACCCAGAAAAGCAAACTCGACTACTACATCTCTGGGACGAACTTGGTGTGCCGCATGATCGTCCAAAGCAAGTCTTTGGTTGTCCTCTGACAGTCATAGGCTTCGAAGTCGACCCTAATGCCATGTCCGCTACCTTACCATCACACAAGAAAGATGAGCTGGTGATGCACTTGCGTCAATTCGGTGGAAGAAACTTTCGGTGGACGCTTCGCGAGTATCAACAACTCGCGGGGTGGTGTGAATGGAGTTTTAATGTCTTTCCGTTACTCAAGCCTGGACTCTCAGCTATCTATGAGAAGATACGAGGGAAGGACCAACCACACGCTCATCTACATGTCAACAATGCCATCATCTTCGAATTGAACTGGATGGTGGATCATTTGGAGAGGCTGCCCGGGCTACTATTCTACAAAGCCTTGGACTTTAACCCACTGTCTGAGGACGTGGTAGTAGTGATGTCTCAGCTCCAAGCTGCATTTTTCAGAAAATGAGCATAACATGCTGAATAAAATTCCTAAATTCATGAAAATATTCATGGAAATAGATTGAGCCAAAAGCCGGGAGGCATCTAAGGGGAATTCATACTATAATGCATCATTGTCTTGCTATGAAGCAGCTCAGAAAATGACTCAAAATCCAAGCCATTTGCTGAGCTGCTTCATAGCAAGACAATGATGCATTATAGTACGAATTCCCCTTAGATGCCTCCTGGATTTTGGCTCAATCTATGTCCATAAATATTTTCATGAATTTAGGAATTTTATTCAGCATGTTATGCTCATTTTCTGAAAAATGCAGCTTGGAGCTGAGACATCACTACGTGGTAGTAGTCTACACAGACGCATCAGGATTAGGAATGGGTCTATGGTTTCCTCACGAGAACTTCGCCGGTCAGTCGCCGTTGCCCATTGAAGCTCCCAAAGACACCATCTTCTTCTTCGAGGCCCTTGCAGTGTGTTCGGCTATTCATGCCATACCGAACATGATGGAAAGCCCACCTAGGATGCTCATTTACACCGACAATTCCAACACAGTAGCGATGTTTAACTCGCTTCGTGCTCATCCCCCTTATAACTCCATCATACTAGTGGCAGTGGACATCCTGCTGGAGTATCAAGTAGACCTACGTGTCAAATTCATCCCTGGTTCGGAGAACAGGGTAGCCGATGCACTTTCGCGATTCCAGAACGAACATGTATTGGAGATAGCTCCCGCTGCGAGCTTCTTCGATTTCGAACCCCCTCGAGATGCGCTGGGGGCAGTGAAAAAATGATGAATGTATCCTCATCATCCAGGCAACCTGTGAGGGAAGCCTGGACACCTGAGCGCCTCTTGTATGAGCGCTCAGTAGCACTTGGTTTCGCTATTGACTCAACAACAGCATCGGTGTACAACTTGCATCTCAACTCTTACATCACCTTCTGTCGACTGCATCATCTGCCAATTGATCCAACAATTGATACATTATCTTTTTACGTGGTTTGGTTATCGCATCACATCGAACCACGCTCCGTCGACTCTTACCTTTCAGGAATCTCGAGTCAACTCGAAGACACATATCCTGACGTCTGTGCGGCTCGTTGTTCATCGCTCGTCATACAGACACTTCGTGGCTGCAAACACCGTTTGTCAAAACTGGTACAAAGGAAGTTACCTTTGAGTATCGACGACTTACAGCAGGTCCAAATGAAGCTCGGTTTGGAGTTAGAGCACGACGATAGTCTGTTCTTAGCTCTACTTTTCACTGGCTTTCTGACTCTGCAGCGACTGGGAGAGCTCACTTGGCCTGATGCAGTGAAGCATCAATCTTACAGAAAGGTCCCTCTTCGACACACTCTGTCGATCATGGCAAGAAGCATCTCCTACACGCTACCTTATCAGAAGAACGATGGCTTGGGGACTGGGAGCACCATCCTCTTGTTGATAATATCGTTACACTATGCTCATCAGAAAATTACAAGATCACAGCTGATATGCACCATTGGCAACACTTTCCTCCCGTTCCCACAGGAGTCTACTGAGAGTAACGAAATATGCGAGGTACAAGAAAAGCTAGCGCCTGATTCTGCGGAAAGAGCTTCGTATCTGAACAGACCTATTCATACTACTACAACATCGCATGCTCAAGCCTTGGTAACAATGGGACAAGCCTGGTTTGTTGTATTTCCAGCTTCTCGATGAAAAAGTACCTGCAATTCCAATCGGGTTGAGTGATGGTTCATACCAATGAGAAAGTTTTATTACCTTTGATTCTCGTAGCTCCAAGAATAGTTTGCTCGAGGCCAGTTTTTCAATCCGTCAAGGTACTCATTGACTAGGACGTCGACGAAAGGCCCCCATGAAGGAACCTTGGAAAGACTGTCGATAAATCGTTTCTGAACTCCAGCGTGATAATGTGCTGCCCAAGCAATCGCACCGCTTATGTCGAGGCCAAGTTCCAACATGATAACACTAATCAAGTTATGGTCTTCGTTCCCAGCTGCTCGCTCTTTGTTGTATGAGATCATGTCCTGTGAAAATTGTGAGCATACCGCAAAGAAGACACCCTTAATATCGATTCACATTATCGATCGAACTTAAGTCTGAAATGCATTTGATGAGATCCCTGATGATGGGATGGTAGAACACTTCATCAGGAAGGTCCATCCCCATTTCGTATATATCGATAAACATGGTGTTACACCAACTGTTTGCTGCCGGAGCTTCAGGTAGTCATGAATACTGCGCCTATGGCCTTCTTCACGATCACAAGCCTCGACAACCACTGCACGAAGGGGCACCAAAGGTTGCAAGGAAGTGACGTTGAGAAGACATGCTTGCGAATTGGATTACATGGACCCAAAACCTACCCAAAAGTTCCTTGTGCATCAGATAATCATCACACATTTTGGAAACACTTACAGTCGGACTTTTTCGCTGATGATGCATTCGCCTTCTGGTCGTATCTTTTGAGGATTGTGTAGGACATCGAGTATGATATCTGCGATTTCCTTTGTGACCGTCTCATTTGCCGATCGGTGTACCACTCGATAAGAAAGGATACAGTCATGTAATCACAGCCGATTCGAAAGTAATCGATTTTTTCAAGGTCGAAATCAGGGTTATGTTGTATGTTGATTGTCAAAGTACGAACCTCTTGGTGCATTTGGATAAGCCAGTGCTGCTAGGTGGGCTATAAACAAAGCAAGGTCAACCATCGTTATAACTGAGAGCTAGCGACATAAGTCGAACCGATCTCGCATTTAATGTATGACGCCTGGAACTCAGGACTCGGAGTGATATCACGGACCAACACATCGACTTCAGCTTTCACATCTTCAAAATGAGAATTGATGGTACGAGGCCAGGGCCAGTTAACCATAGTGTCTGGGAGGTATATCACCTTTGGACGAGCATCCATAGCCTGCAAAATATAGTTTATGATGAGGAGTGCGAAAGTTGAAAGAGCCTATATGGATTGTAGGAGAGGGCTAAGAATAAATAGTGTCCCTGTTCTACAGAAATTTATGGGATGCCCACCTGCGGTCCGCATCAGTGCGTTGATTAGTCTTACAGCTAACTTCATATCGTCAGAGGGGTGTCAGACGCAGCGTCAAACGAGTGGCATACCAGAAGTTGCGCCTCCCAGTACCATTCTGGGGTATCTCATATTGTAATAGGCGGGACCCACTTGTTTGTCCAGCTCCACAACTAGGTGGATGAACAAAAATGGATTCTGGCCTATCATTATGAAGTTAGCTGTAAGCTTGGTTTCTATCTCCTGCGTTAATAGTGGAGGCCGAGGAGGGACTCAGATTATCACTTACGGTGTCTTCTTAGATAGATGATCTATAGATAAACACCTATAAAAACAAATATCTCCACGGTCAGCGATTCAGACAAATACCAATGGCTGATAACGTGGTCGTTCGTGGGTGGCTGTTTACACTTCCCAAGCTATGTCAGACCACAGTACTTCTGTAAGGTCAGCAACAATGCAGTCAATCCAACAAAAATGAAACTGAAATGAAATCACTCCAACGGTATGGCAGTGATTGAAAGACGAAAGAAAACTAGTCAACCCAATGGTATGGTGATGACAAAAAGAAACAAAGAAAAAAAGACACCTCTTCAAACCTTCCTTCAACAACAATGCCTTGTAACAATCGTATCTCGAAAGAGTTGTGTGGAATTACAGCAATCAACCCCCTCAGCACAAACAGGTAGAATCAAAGGTCAAGACTAATCAATGCTCAGTAGAACTCTTAGCTCACTGTTGAACCTGCTGCCAAGGAACTCACGATGAGTATTAAACAGAATCAGGAACGGACGTCCTTGGTTTCAGTACCAAGTCCCCTATTCAACAACTAAAGTCTAGCAGACAAGGAAGATCCTGGCTCAGTATCACTACTCAGATGAGTGAGGTCAAGTGTTACTGTCAATCCCTAAAGTCTCCCCACTAAACTATTCGGAGTCTAGATGGACAAAAGAGACAACACAAAAGCTTCTGAAAATATGAATGAAAGCTTAGCACCGAAACTTGAAAGAGAAGAAAGAGAGAGGATCACAGAGAGAGAGAAGAGAGAGAAAGAGCGAAAGAACGAAAAAAAGAAAGAGAAAAACAAAAGAGTGACAGAAAAGAAAGACAAAGAAAGAATGAAAGAATGAAAGAATGAAAGAATGAAAGAATGAAAGAAAAGAAAGAGAAAAAGAGAGAAGAAAACTAGAAAATCAAAGAAGAAAAATTAAAAAAAAGTTCTGTCGGTCCTCAAGGTCTTGGTCATCGTTGGTGGTGATGAGCTAAGGGTGTTGCTGAATGCTGATGCTGATGAGCTTAGGGGCTTGCTGGTTACTGAAAGTTGCTGGCTGACTACTGGTTACAATGACTTTGCTGAAGGTACTTGACAGCCCTGGTCACTGTTGTTGACAATGATCACACTTCACACACAATTTTATTCTGAAAGTGGGGCTTAAAAGCTCTCTTCTTTGGGCAAAAATTTGGGTCTTATATACAAAAAAAAGGGTGGCTGTGCTACGTTTTCCTGCCATCTATGAGGGATGAGCTTAGTCAGCGGTACCAAAAATCATTTTGCAGGGGTTGCTTATGTTGCACCAAATGTTGAAAAGATGAAATGAAATATTTGTCTGAGCTGCATTCTGGCTTTAGAATAGAGGGAAATGGTTTTGTAGTGATTTCTAGGGTATTAGGCTCATGGGAGAGCATTAGTCATCCATGCACCGAACCAGTTTGGTGCAGGTCAACGGTACAGACTTAGTACTAGGAGTGAAGTAGAGTGCATTGCTAGCGTGTTACATGTTACAAGTGGAATGCAGATTTTCGGGTGGCCTAAGCTCGGTTAGTTACTTAGTTTGATATGGAAAGCCAGACAACTGCGCTCAACTTCTCTCGTGCATGCTTCTCCCGGGATACCATATAAGGCAGGTAGTTTCTGTGGGACCTTGAACACCCTTTTCAAACATTAAATAGTGCTATTGTTATTTTCCTTCTCATTCAAGTCTGAGCATATTTTTGAATTTTGAATTTTTATATTTGGCCATCTACGCTCACAAAATGGAAGGCACAGTCATGTGATCAAGAAAAAGTGCCATGTGGCTTGTGTCAGGTGACGATCGAACACTCGGGTGGGAATAAACTGTGGGAATCTAAGAAGTCTAAGAAGTCTAAGAAGTAAAGTACAACGGTTTTCGGAAACATTCGCGCACTCGCATGGCTTTCGCGTATTTCGCATGTTTCGCGTATCTCGCCAAAGGCCATGTGGTTTTCGCTTACCTTGCTTAACCTCGATTTGGCAGCTCGCGTGGTTTTGTCACGTGTTTTCGAACGCTGACTCAAATAGCGTCGCCCTTTGGGAACTTAGCACGACCTTGGTAACTGTATGTGTACATGGCATTAAATAATGAAAAAATATGTGTTTGAGCAGGGCAAGGGAGATGTGTGATTAGATTTGAGTGTTTTTCCTACTGTAATTGTTATGGTAGTATACATAGAGCAAATAATGGAACAACATATAATACAATGACAGACAGGGGGAAAACAAATATGAGATAAAAGAGATTGGGAGATGAATGACAGAAGGTTATGAAAAAAAATAAAAAGGGAGAAAAAGATCACTTAGAGACTCAAAAACTGGAAAATGGGAGGACAGGAAAATGGGAATGGGAAACTGGGAGAACCAGAGAACCAGAGGACGGGAGACGGGAGACGGGAGACGGGAGACGGGAGACGGGAGACGGGAGACGGGAGACGGGAGACGGGAGACGGGAGACGGGAGACGGGAGACGGGAGACGGGAGACGGGAGACGGGAGACGGGAGACGGGAGACGGGAGACGGGAGACGGGAGACGGGAGACGGGAGACGGGAGACGGGAGACGGGAGACGGGAGACGGGAGACGGGAGACGGGAGACGGGAGACGGGAGACGGGAGACGGGAGACGGGAGACGGGAGACGGGAGACGGGAGACGGGAGACAGGATTAGCATGGGTATACCCTAGGGTATCTGAGGTGAAACCCTTACCCTTACTTACCAATATACCATCACCCACAGTGTAAGTGTGGGTTTTTGAAGGGTACCAGAGATAGATACCATGGGTATACCCCAGGGTAACACTTTTTCCAATCACATATATTTTACCATTTGAAGGCAAATGTACAACTTCAAAATTTTATATGTATCCATCACTCCTATGGTAATCAATTTGGGGATATATTCCCAGGGGTACAGGGGTCTTCAGGTCCAAATTCCTACCCCTACCCTCAAGGGTTTCCCATACCCCTGCTGATCCCTAGATGGGAGATGGGAAGCAGGGAAAAATGGGAAAATGAATACATTCAATGATACTGTTACATATTTTTTTATTTTATGTTGTGTAGTAGATTGAGTTTTTTTGAAAAGCTGCTCATAAATGTATTTCAAAATCATTTAAAATGCACAATTTATTAGGATGCAGCCTGAGGCCAGGAAGCCAAAGGAGGGCATAGCCCTCCTTGGCTTCCTGTGACAAAGGAACAACACTCATTTTCCTCCCCTGAGGGAGCGTGTAGCGCTCCTTCAATTTGTGCCGAAGGCACAATGGGCATGAGCTCGTACATTGTTGTCTTACAAATATCTGCGAATCATATCTTGTCTCAGTGTCTTCAAGCGGAGTCGGGGATTGGTGCTCACGCCACTACGATGGAGTAATGTCAAGATCAAGAAATGTGCACTTTATCAAAGTACGATACACCAAGCCAACTGCCATCCTTCAACGCCTGCCTTTGTTTTGAAACTGTTCGCCATGGCCAGCAAATCACCACTCGTCCATTGCACCTGCTTCTTCGTCCGAAAATTCCCAAACAACAAGACCGGCATTGTCAGCCTCATGAGGGACATCTGGTTCGTCTTTGTGAGTAAGGTCATTGAGCAATTGATGATGACCATCATCTAGTCCAAGTCCTCCACGAACGCCACCCATATAATAATACCCATTAGTCTCTTCATGAAATGGCAGGTCTCGATGCTCCTGAAGGAGCAGCAATTCTTCATCTCCTTCAATACTGTCAGGGAGCGGCATCTGGGGTCGTGTTTCAATGAGGGTAGAAAATATATGAAGCAGTCCTAGATACACTGTCCAAGCTGATTTGCGATTGACGACAGGATGTCCCAAACATTCATAGCACATCTGGAGAGTGTCTCCAAGGTCACTGGGCACGAGATCGAACACAGGGTGTCCAGGTTTGATGTACGTCGCTCGCACATGATCCACAGTGGCCTTCTCTATCTTGATCTATTGACGAGTCAAGGTCAGCTCCCTAAGACAAAGATTAGATGGTGCGCACCTTGAAGTCAAGGGCACCAAAGTCTTCAGTGGACCGATAGATAAGTTCTGGGATTCCATGTGGCAGTACCTTGTTGCGATCACACCTTTTGGCGGTATGATTGATCCAGTCCTGGTAAGAGTCTAATTCACGCTGCAACCATGGGATGAAGACCCATTGAAAGACCATTCTGAAGAAACATTAATCAGTGTGACAGATTGAAACTCGAAACACGTACACTTGAAGTGTATTATCACTGTCATACCAGTCCTGTTCGACTCCGTGGTCCAGCAGGGACTCAAAACCTGGAGTGAATCGACGTCGCAGTTGCGACCACGCAATCTCCGGCATGACATTTTTCTTGGTTCGCATCCAGCGATGCTATAATGTGCCCTGTAGCGAAGGATCGTACCATTGATGCAACATGGTGTGGCCATTGGCGATCCCAAAATTTTTGGTCCCAGGGTCGCTCTGTGTAACCAAGGGCATATCTGTTGAGGACATTAGAACATTGTGACAATTTCCGAATCAAAGTACTCACAACCAAGGTTCTCAATAGTATCTAGATAGTAGCTCAGAATGAGCTGCAGATTTCGATTGGAATGCCAAACTTGCATCCACATGATGAGACCAGAGAAAGGTTCGATTCCGGTGTGCAATGCTAGACCGAACTGCAGCCATTTGTCATGCTGGTCCACTGCAACTATGTCATTTACTCCGGCAGCCCAAAAGCGCCTCCTTTGCAGGCGGCAGGCCTTTCATTGGCGAACAAGGTCAACTTCATAGATGGCGAAATAAGACTTTATGACACTCCTGTCGAAGTGTTCATTCGATGGGAATGATCAGAAAAGGTAAGTGTCCGTACCTTGATACACTCATACCCTCCTCGTGGTGTAGTAAGCTAATTATTTCTCTCATGCCGGCCTTGGGGTACATTTCGCGAAGTTCAAGCATGGCGTCATGAATGGACTCCACGGTATGGCCTTGCTGGCGTGTGCGCAGAAGCCCCATGTCCATACGAACCTGTATAAATTTAGTTAATCCAATTCCATAGCGTTCGGTATCGATTTCTTTTCGTAAGGCCTGGACTATCTGCTTGTCCGTGAGACGTGACTTCCACAGCCAAAGGATGTGGGGCGCTGTAGGGATTCATTTCTGGTTGGGCTTGTAGAGACTGTTTTTACCTTACCTTATGTTGGCACTTTTGTAGCTTACATAATCAAGCAATCTTTTCACCAGTTACCAGTATGAGTCTGAGTGCTCAGTATTTTTTTATGATATTTCCTCTCCTCTGAGCCTTGAGCCTGGTCCAGAAACCCTTTAGGGTCGAATAGCAGCTAGGTTCTGCAAGACCCAACACATTGTTCAGACTCACCATCTGAATTGTTGTACCTTCAGCGCGATGTCAGCCAAAGGTGCTAGAACGTCTGAGTCAGCGTCAATGCAAGGTCAAAGGTTGGAAGACGAACATATGGGTTTGTTCTGGTTAGGCATTGTCAATTGAGTGGCTTGAGCCCATGAAGGAGCCCATGAAGTTGGCATATTTATACTGACGATTCCTTGACCACTGTACATTGAAATGGTGTAGGAAATGTCTTACTAAACTTGTTTGCTGTGCATGGGAATTGCTTTGGAGGAGATAGGAGATTACTTACGTTCAGTAGTTGGCTGTGGCCATGTTCAATATTAGTTGTCTGCAGAGCGCTCATCCTCCCCTCTTACCTAGTTTGACATTCAGAAAGAGCACTCATCCTCCCCTCTTACCCATTCAGGGTCTGAATCTGGAGAGCGCTCAACTTCCCCTCTTACCCAAGCTTGACATTCTAGGCCTGGATCTAGAGAGCAGTTCCTGGGTCTGACTGTGACCGTGAGTTTCATGAGTAGCCTTGCAGCTTCTGACCGTAAACTTTACTCCGCAGCTAGATAACTCACTATTGCTTCTGACTGTGAGTTTCATGATTAGCCTTGCAGGGGCATCTCCAAATACCAATAGTGAGCAACCGCAACCTATAGTGCCAGCAACATTTCTAATAACAACACTAATGCCACTGCGAACAGTGCTGGCAACATTTCTAATAACAACGCCAATGCCACTGCGAACAGTGCTGGCAACATTTCTAATAACAACGCCAATGCCACTGCGAACAGTGCCAGCAACATTTCTAATGACAACGCCAATACCACTGCAAACAGTGCTGGCAACATTTTTAATAACAACGCCAATACCACTGCGAACACCAACTCGAACCCTAACAGGGCATCTCCAAATACCAATAGTGCCAGCAACATTTCTAATAACAACGCCAATGAATGCCAACAGCATGCTAGGTCTCGTCAAATTGTATATAGAATATACTATAACTGATCTCTCTGCAGCTCTCTGCTGCGCAACTTCCGGTGAACAATGTTCCGGATCCTTGTTAATCTCTCTGCAGTGCAACTCTCTGCACATCGTTATCTGTCTTGTTCTCTGCAGTGCAACTTCCAATGTCGGATATTTGGTATGTTTTCTTGTACATATACATATCTAAATTAAGTGGTTCATGGTGCATTTAAGCATCCTGGACATTGCGCTCTGAGCTTCAGTCTCCCTCTTCAACTACTATTCTTTGTGGCTATGTCTAACTACGAGCTTGTGTCTCAATACACCGAGGATGCCTTTGCAAAAGAGGACTGGTTGTGCCAGCATCCTGCATGTGGTGCCAATATCGCCAAGGGTGACCCTTGCTTCTATGTGGCCACCATAGAGCATGGTAAACCAGGGCACTATGTCTGTGGTCCCTGCCATGAATGCTATCAAAAGAAGGCAGCAACATCTGTGCGACCTGCTGGTAAGTCAAGTTCTGGCACAATGTCTATAACTAACAAGCATTTTCAGTTCGCCCTACTCCAGGCTCTGCCAGTAGTGGTAGTTCTGGCTTTGCTGGTTGAGGCCCTCCAGATCCACATGTCATTCGGCAGTCAGTGAACGCAGGCCAAAGAAAATGTAAGTCATTGTATCAATTACCTGGTGTAACTTGTGACTGATTTGCCAAGTGTCGGTCAATCCACCACCAGTGATACCTTTGTCCCATGGACGGTCCGAGTTTTCTGCAGGGCCTGACATTAGTGTTCCGTCACTGTGGCAGGTATCATCGCAGCCAACTCTGTGTAGTTCCACCAGATATACACCACACCATGCCCAGGCATCATCTCAGCAAACTATGCATAGTTCCACTGGATATACACCACATCATGCCCACTATGGCTCGGAGCGTGATCGTTGGGCAAAATTATCCTATGCTCCTCCTCCATCTCAAACGATCTCACTCGAAATTTCAGCTGTTCATGAGGGAGGTAGCCGGAAGAAGGGTGGGCGTGGTACACCTTTCGGGGTATGTGTTTGACTACTCTATTGCAATACAACCACTAATGCCAATCCAGAGTATCTGCAAAGGAAAAAAGGATATAGACGCTCAAATTGACGCCCCAGGTCTCATCAAAATAGCCCTCAATACCGTTTATCCGAAGATTCAATCATTCTGTCCTGCCTTTCAGTGGCAGTATGAGGAATTTGTCATCCGAGACTCACAATGGGTGGATCTATTGGGTCATCATGCACGCGAGCCATATTTTTACTCCCAATGCATTCAAGCTGGACGTAAAGGCTTAAAGTCACCGATATTCAAGACAAAACAGTTTGCACTCATGGTCGTCGTACCTGAGAGCCAGTGGCACGAATACGAAGAATGGACTGAGCGAGCTGAAGAGGTAATGCTACTACTTTTTCTTGTGCATCTAGGCTGACTTGGGACTCTTGTAGGATGAGGCTACCCGCCAAGCTCCAGTGGCTACTACAGCTATCTCCGAAGCCTCCGTTGATGTCTTCCAGGGCGGAGACTACCTTGCCACTGAGGTACCACTTCCTGAAGTTCCCTTAAAGAGGACCCACCTCCGTACAGCCAGTAGCCTTAGTTCTACATCCTCATCTACATCACCACCACTAAAGAAAGCTGCTTCTGCCAATATCTTTCAGTCACCTAATCGTAATGAGTTGAAAGAAGCACTCCGATCTGGTGGAATAGCAAATGTAGATGCGCAGAGTGGTGAGTTCCATATCTTGAGTATCTTGTTTGTGGCGCTAATGTCCTTTCAAAGTGTATGACCTGCAGAATGAAAATGTCCAGCTGTACTGGATTGCTACTCGCCCAATGTCCGAAATTCTGGAAAATAGCAAGTATCAGTCGTTCACGTTGCATACTGCAGAATCAGCAACTGGGCAACTGACAGTCGACACATCCTCTGCCAATCTCATTGGCCGAGGTGGATTCAAGACTGCCCATCCTGGGTGGTTAACACTCACGTCACACATTCCTACAACCGGACTAGGTTCAATCCTGCATCAGAAAGTCGTAGTCAAGAGACCTTTCATCAAGATATTTCCTCCAAATGGACCATCGGCAGGCACATACAAAGTTGGACATTACGCTGTGGCTGACGAATTGTCTAAGCAGTTCAAGGAAGCCAATGTCCTGTACTGGGCAAATTCGTTGTTAGATCTCACCTATGCATTCATTAACCGTTGTGTCGCAGCCTCGTCAAACCCCCCTCCTTTTGAGATTCCACATCTTCGTTTTATTCATGCTGGACTCACACTATCCTTCCTACCTGGCCAGATGATCGTTGCTAAACCGGGTGCTAAACCATGCTCTGTCCGTGCTGCATTTCTCTTAGAGGAACTTATTCCGGGTGGGCCCGATGCCTTCATGAAATTCATTCACAACACAGACTGCGATCCTCTCCTTGATCCTGGCGAGGACGGGTACAGTACAGCACTTTTCTTGGCATTTACTCAACACGTTCAGTATGAGAAGACCGGGGGATTGGCATATATCTCCGACTATCAGGGTGTGTAAAAGTTACTTGTGTTTGTTTTGTTGGCTCACATGGTGTACTACCACAGGTAGCACGGTGTCAGAACTTCCTAATTCGTATTTCAAGGCCCGACAATGGGTTTCAATGCCCAAATGCAGAACGAGTATTTAAATAGCTTGCTATAATAGAGTCGTCATTTAAATGACGGTTGCAATCGGAGCGAGTCATTGTCATCATCATTACATCATGTGCTCAATAGCCACCACTGTCATTGCAATGGTCTTTGCAACGACATTGCAAAGTAAATTTTGATGTATACACACAGCTTTGAAATGAGGATGCAATCTTGGAAATTTTATTGTGAGGCAGGTATCATTCATTTCATTGGGCGTATAATTAAATTATTACTATACATTTTACAATTACTAATAGTTACAGTAATTATTATACCCTAGTAGAAATTCTATATACCACGAGAATGAGACCGAGAGATGCATGTTTTGTACATCTGCAATCGTGTTGGCGATGGAGTTGAATGCCTTCAAGGGTTTGAGCAACACGGAGAATGTATCAATTGTATCAGAAAAAGATGGTAGGTTGTTGGTCGCAGAAGAAGCATCTTGGAGTATTGTTGGGAAGTGGCCGGCATCTGCGAGACTTTTGTTAGCATTGGCGATTCTATCGTGCACAACCTTTGGGTCGAGATGTTCGGCCTAAGGATAGACGTCAGCGCATTGTCAAAAGAGACGGATGAGAATATTCCGAACTTTGTTAGTAAAACTTCCTTCTATGATCGCTGAATTGGAAGGCTGCCCAAAATTTGGTTCGAGAGTGGGAGGGGTGAGATCCTGCAGAAGCGATGAGTACCAATCATGGCACACGACGTCGGGGCACATTTAGAGTTTAGATTACGCTTACCTTAGTTGACTGAACAGGTTGGGTGTCCTGCAGGCTGGAACTTACAGCCGTGGGTTCAGGGTTTGGGGATTGTCAAGCGCTTCGAGCGAAGCGCTTGGTCGCTTTGCCAAAGATCTTGAGAACTGACCCCGAACATCTTCCATGAGACCCATTCCTCGAAGGCGAGAGAGATGACGGCTGTAACAATAATAACAATTAGATATAATGTAGATGCTAAAATGAAAGTTCATACATCGATGTGACTGGCTGTGGTCTCTACCAAATGAGGCTCTGTGAAAAACTAAGATGCTAGATTTGAGTACCCGGAAGCGCCGACTGCTCAATTGGATGAAATTCTGAAAGCTTGGGAGTGAGACGCATGTATGCACTGAGGCGCTGGGAGGGTATACTGTTGAGGATGGCCACGGGTATGAGCATTTGAATGACTTGAAATTTAGTCGTAAAGTCTGAACGTTTGCATTTAAACTCCGAATGAATTATTTTAATGTATTAATTTTGATTCAAAGATTGCCAGCGAGCATTAATAATATTTGATATCCATTGCAAACATAGGACCGAGAGTATGTAGCGACAATGTAAAGAAATATTACTGACTATTTGCGAGACCGTCCTCAACGAACTGTGCCTCCAGAAGCTGCTGCCTTCCTCCCTCTCGTTTTTCCCCGCCCTTGTCCACTGTTGCTGATTGACCCTTCAACATCCGGGTCAGAAACATGTGAATCCTGGAGCTCTGAATCTCCTGCTTTGGTACTGGTGGTAGCATCAGGTTCAGTAAGGTTGGGGTCCTCGACAGGATTGTGCAACTCGGTGTCTGATTCAGAATCGCTGTCCATATCGAGCGCTGCAAGTGCGCGATTGATTGCATCTGCGTGATCATCTTGTTCAGCAGAATCGAAGGCTGAAGCTTTTGCAGCCTTGAAAATGTAATGATTGATGCTGGTGACAATGGTAGCAATGTGCTTCGTAGCCCACTTAGTTACGAGAACTTTCTTGTAGAGGTGGAACAGATTCCGGTAACAAATGTTGGATTTCTTCCCAGTGCCGCTGCTCGAATATTCAGTGTCCGGTGACAGTAAAAAGATTACCTGCAATAGTACATCTCAGAGGACTCGAAAAACATGTAATTAATAAAATGCCTTACGATGACTGCCGCCCACGCTATTGACCCTGGCGTGATTTGGTGGACACTCCATTTGAGAGAGTTAGTATGGGCGCCGCCACCACTCAACTCTTGATGGAGCGAGGCAACTCCATGCAATGAAGCTTTCAAAATCTAGATAGTAGTGCCATCACCAAAAAATGTCAGATAATCAACACCTTAACAGTAGTAATAGACGCACTCGAGCCAATAGCTCCCAATTTCCAAACACGGTCTTAAGCGACTTGTCTTCTATCAACTTCGGAAACAACACTGGGGGAAAAGTTTTGTAGACCACATTTGAAGTGGACGTAACGCCAAGTAGCTGTCAGATTTCGGGGACAGACGCTCTGTCGTATTGAGGATTGGTGAAATATTTTGCAGGAAGGCCAAAGATATCACCAGCGATGCCACGAAGCTTTTTGATTTTGTTAGCACGGGCGTCGGGAATACTTTTCAGTACCTACAATAAGAATGTTATTGTGTCAGTGATATAGCAAGTGAACGCGTGAAAACTCGACATACCAGATCACTAAAGTAAGAGCTTTCCATGACTTTGTGGAGCGATTCAGGGAAGTGACGATAAAGTTCATCTAAGAATGCAGATTCCTCCGTGGCTGCAGTCACATATCGTTCGGAGCTATCGAAAGCAGTCGGGGATGCTGGACATTTCTTGTTGAGGAGTTCACTGCTAGGAAACATTTCAACCATCATGCCATACTTGCAGGCATATATGGTAATGGTGTCCTCGTGGACGCTAAACTCATGCTGTGTATCGGCACATCGCTTCCGTTTGGGCTTGTCAGCATGCAGCGTCTTATTCTCCTCTTTGATACTCTTGTTCTCTGCTTGAAGCCGCTGCATTTGGACTTGCAGCGCTTTGAGAGTCTGAAGCAAATCGGGTCAGTAAATACTTGGACGGATTGAAGATTTCTTACCTCCAAGAGTTCCCCTTTAGATGCACTGGGGCCAGGTATAGAAATATGTTCTGGATCGCCACCCAGAACATCGAAGTCACTTTCCGTGTCTGACAGGTGCGTAGTACTCGTAGTAACGTGCGACATGTCTTCAGAAAAGTTCGAACAATGATTCTGTTGGAGGGTAACACGACGACACAAGATTGTTAGTCGCCCATGGCACTTTAAATGATGCTTGTGATGCCTACCCTGATGTCCGACGTAATAACACCTCCAGCAGCTTTACATGTCCGCAGTCGTGATCAAACCCTGATACACACAACCAGCGTTAATAAAGACATATTCATACTAGTACAATACATACCGTGTCCAACTATTATCAATGATCAATGCGCCACAGCCATGCGATAGCGTGCAAGATCGCCTAGAGCCTCGAGCCAGCCAGATTGGAATGAATGCAGAGTTGGCTCCTCAAGAAGGCCGGTATAGAAGGTGTAGGCGTAATATATAAAGTCTTGGAGGTGTTCAAGAGTGAGGGGCGAGGAAAACGAGGCACACCTCAAGACCTCCAGGAGTTTGTGGAATGCGTGTGTCCAGAGCACAGTGTATGATGGTATTGCTTGGGATTATCCAGAGGGATGCCGGAACACTTGATGCGAGGGAGATCTCCATCAGATTATGCATCATCTTGCTGGAGAATCACTTACTGTTTATGGTCTGAGATCAGCTTCGTCCATTTTTGTTGCTGGAGGTCTTTGTCGGCGCTAACCTCATGAGGCCAGATTGCTATCAAATAATGCGGACGATGCAGATGAGTTGTCTGCCATTCCAGAAGAAAGGGTGAAGCTCAATGTCAATGAATGAGCATATGAGGAAGTCGAGAACGCATATGATCTCCTGATGATTTAGGTGTAGGTGTAGGCCGGCCACCAGTTGATGATGGATGGGCTAGAAACAAGACTGCGAACCTTACAGGATCATCCTTCCTGTGGTCGAACAATTGACGGTTTGCTGGCGGGTCGAATGGAAAGTGGTGGGGTTGTGCGGTAGGGATGAACTAGTTTAACTTGCTGGGTCTGCTTTATGTGATGGTGGGGGTGCGGTGATGTAGATATCTTGAGGCGCCGTGAGGAGTCTTCTGGGTCTGATATTGCCGCTGGACATCAATCCAGAGATATGGGAACACAAGTGTGAGGTGAGCCTTGTGTGGAGATGTTGCTGTGGGAGGGAATGGGTGGCGGTTTGGAGGTTTGGAGGTTGTAGATGAGAAGTAGATGGAGATGAGTCCAAGGGCGTTCGCAGGGATGAGTTAGCATGATGTAATGACTCGGCCTGCTAGCTGTCAAATCAGACTCGTTGAAGATATGTCATATTATTAGTACTCACCAATCAAATGCGAACTACATGTCCAGCCTGCAAATGCATTTCCTTCACCCGGAGGAACATGTCGGTATCAACCGTGTCAACGACAAGGTAATCAAGGCTGGCACCATGCACTAGAAGTGCCCCACGAATGATCGACCTGACCGAGAAAAATTCGGCTTGTGCTCGTGGTTTTGCTCGAACCCTGAAAAGATTGAGCTGTCCGTCCTTTCGAAGTCGCGTACCTGTGCGAGCATCGAATGGATGGACAAGAGCAAGCAGAAACAGATCCTCTCCAACTGGGCAATCAAAAAGGAAGAGCAGACGTCCAATGATGACATTCGCACGGGTCTGAATGAAGACACAATCGAAGCGGGGTGCATTATAGAAGCATGGGTTGCACCGCAAGTAGTCCGTGTGTTGCCGCCAATCTACGAGGGACTCGAAGTTCACTCGCAGAAATTGATGTGCAGTAACCTCATTTGCATCATAATCAGCATGGTAATAAGCTAATAAAATGAAAACTTACTGCAACATCTGATTTGAGGTGAATTCTCTTTCCATCTGGAAGGGGTATGTTGCAGGCAGGGAGGAAGTCGTTTAGAAATGAGTTGAGCTTGACACGGAAGTTGGTGAATGCGTCATCGTTCTGGTGAGTATTCTCAATGAGAGCAAATGTCTGTGGAGCCTGGCTGGAACCGAGTTTCACATGCAGAGACCCATCGATGTTCAAACCAGGGAGGAAGTCACTCACAGGGCGCTGAGCATCTTCATCTTCATCTTTGTCATCATCATTGTTTGCTTGGCCTTGTGATGTGAACATTAGATGGTCATCTAAGTCCAAGAGACGACGACGAATATCGTCTGCAACATGAAACCAGTGATCTATTCGAAGGATCTATGATTGTAGTATATTAAGGACCAGTCAGGAAAAGTAAGACTTTAATGATAGGTAGCTGCCTCACCTGTTCTGCAAAATCTTTAAAGTTAGTTCGTTCCTGGTACCAGTCCTTCAACGGTCCGTGCATCTGCTCGTTTGGCTTTGTATTGTAATTCCTTGAAGCTCCTTTGGCCTCGATGTCGTCGAATAAGTGCATCAACATGTGCAACTTCGGAAAATTCCAATCCTTGTCTGATTCATCGTCATCCTCAGTTTTAATGATATATTGCTACTACGACGTTAGTCTACATATATCTAACACGTAGTTGCTAGAAAAATTGAATGCACCTTCATAAGTGCCGTCAGGGCCTGGACAGCACCTCTCCCTGCGCTGATTGTCGCAGTTGTGTGAACTTCAAATGCAGCATATATATCGGCCTCAAGGTAAAGTCGCACACATCGGAGCAAAAGGTATCCAAGTGGTAATTCGTCCTCCGTCAGGATGTTATGCGTAGCGTAGATGATCATCTGCAAATACATTGAATTTACTGAACAAACATATTGAAGTCACAACAAACCTTTGAAATATCTTCATGCATGGCACTGTCCACAAACGAAACATTCATCACTTGGTTCGGGTGCCGTAGATCCCGCCAGCGAGGGAATGCTTGATATCTAATATAAACGATGATTTGAATCAGATAGAAATAACACATTACATAGCCAAAAAAACAGACGCACGCCTTATCAACTTGTGATACTTTTGCTCGTCCGAGTCTTGCTATGTATTTCTGCAGTTCAACCCAATAGTGACGCGACCAAAGCCCGCCATGATTAAAGTGGCATCGGTCATGCGACAACGCCCTATGGACGTCTGAGTATTGTATGGCCCATAGTGCATTCTAACAATAGTAAATTTTAGTGTGTTTCAAGCAGAAATGAGATCACACCTCGATGTTACGTAGTCCTAGTACTTTTAGAACCTCCTCTTGCTCTTCTATGGTATCTTTTGCTCGTGCAGTTGTTACTGCAGCACGTGAATCATCCGCAGTCCGGCGCATGTACGTCTTCGAGGTATCGCTGAGTGCATCTCGAGGGACAAGACATATGGGACATGGCCATAGGCTCATGACTCCTCGTGTTAGCGACATCACGCACCTGTAGATCATTGTTAGCAAAAATCAGGGATACAGTCAGTACTCACTGCTCCTCATAGTCAGCAGACAAAATAAGCACAATAAGGAAAAACCAGCGTTCAACGCCATCCATGCAAGCGAACCATTGTCCCACCCTCGATTTCGATGCTAACGACGACGTGATTCTTCGAAACGACTCGTGCCAGACCGTGTTTTTGAAGTTTACCCAGCTGGGCTTTCCAGCATAGTCCTTATCTTCCTTTACCTATTTGTACACTGTCAGTCTGACAACAATGAGAGAAAATGTTAATTCCTACAATTGGTAGCCATCCTACCACGTAGCCGCTACCGGTGCCTCGTCCATTTCGAATACCAGTGGGCAGATTCGCTAAATGTGCAACCACAGGATAGCCCTTCACTGTCCCAAACGATGATAGTCTTGTTTTGTCAGTGTATAGTATGAAGGCCAAGGGCTTCCCGCCTGGCGGTAATTGTGACTACAAAAGCACAACATGATGTTATTCTAACAACACGCGACTAACAAACAGCGTTGATACATACTTGTACATCCCAGAAATCCTGCGCAGTGTATGGTTCGTCGACGAAGCGAACGAAAGTCTCCCCATCAAACTTAGATAAGTGTTGCACGTCAAACGTGAAATGTGGAAAATGTGAGGGTCCCCAAGTAGGTCACTAGCTAATCCCCAGAGATCCCTGTAATGTAGGTCGAAGTTCCACGTTTTGCCGTCATATGGGACCGAAATGACTTCCTTGGTAAACTGCACTTTGAAAACGATCAGAGTCTGAATTCTGAAGACGGAATGAGATACCACCTTAGTAATGCGAAAAGAACCCGCTTCCCACTTGACATGGATGTCTTTGTGGTTCTTGAATGTGAAATTTTCCTTCCCAACGGCGCAACGATGACATATTTTGATAAGTCGGTCGGTTTGTTCGTTATTTAAACCCGCCTCAAGGGCAAGTTCAGCGACTTCGAACTCAAGTCGGGAATGGAATGGACGCCAAGGCTCGGTATTAGAAGGGGGTTCCAAAGGGACCGCAGGACGACGTTTGAAATCATTAAACACATATACTTCTGCTTCAATATTGCTACTCGGGTGATGCTCCATCTTGATATCATCGCGTGAAAATGTGCGTGCAGGTTCGGGCTCATGTACTGGATAGTCTATATAATTTCAATGTCAATAGTATTGATGATTCAAGTTATGATATTGACTCACCAACATCATATGCGAAGTCGACGTGGTGGTCAACATTGATGGTCCTTTCGCTTGGTCCAGGTATTGGCGGCTGATTCTGATTTAGACGCCGTCCGTCTAACTCAGAACCGAGTGCTGAATTTGTTGCTGGATAACAGATCTTCAGCGTCGACATTGTAACACAAGGTTGACGTACCCTTCTCCTGCCTAATAGCATCTACGATAAGCTGATCTCGACGTCTCTTTTCCGCTATCACCTCACATGCCTTCCGGTGAGTGGTCCATCCTCGGGGTTTGATGTCCTGGGAGCATAGTTCACAGAGCCTGGTATGATCAGGGGCCATTTCACTGACGAAGACTTGACGAAGGGTTGGTGAAAGCGAAAAACGCACTGATGGGGGTCGATAATGGATTAAGACATCATATCAATCAGCTTGTAACGGATTGAAACTCAGCATGTAGCATTACTTAATCATTTCAGGGCGCATTGAAATGACATGTAAATAATGACTCATTGCAACGACTTTCGCAAATGTCCGACAGGAGTTGCTGACAGACCCGCAAATATTAACGCACCCATACGTACCCTAGCTGTGACCTTACTTTCAACTATTCATATTCATTCCAGGTCTGTTTCTGAAGGCAACGATCTTTTCGGTGATGGAAATATTGAAGATGTGGTAAGCCAGTTTGAGAAGAAACATGTGTGCAACCATTACTGTGAATGGTCCGGTTTCGAGTTGGAGGCATATGGGAGGCAAGCTTAATATTGAACACGCCGTATCTTAATGTTGTCACACCTGATGTAAACATTTGTACTATTGTCATTGAGTTTTTTTGGTCCAATAACCTCTCGCAAACTGCCGCCTGTGATTCGCGGTGGCAGATGTCCTGTAGAAGCGTATACCTTATATGGTGCGTCGGGAGAAGCATGCACATGAGAAATTGAGCGCGGTTGTCTGGCTTTCCATAGTTTGATGTAAATAAAGTTAAACTCTTACAAAGCTTATAAGACTTACGCCTACTTACACCTACTCAAATGAGCCACTTGCAGCCTAGACATCGCAATCCCTTCCATTCCTCGTACGTATTTCATATGCTATCTGGAGCCAACCTTTGTTTCACGTCAAGTAGAGTTCGTGCATAGAGACGGGGAAAGAACGACAAAACCTAAATGATCATGCGGGCAGTGTGATTTGCCACTGGTCTGATTGAATTTGGTCTAGGGAAGAGTCCGGGGGTCTTGTCGGTGTGAGTGATGCTATACCTTGTTTGCTTAGGGATTGAAGGCACCGAGGAAGGTCTTTGTCAGTGTACATCATGATCGATATGGTCCATCGTTCAATTGAGCTAGCACACGAAGAAGCAAGCTGCCGATCTTATATGAAGACGAACCAACATGTCTTGGTGCGACTATAATCCCTTCCCATACTCTCCACTGCTACTCTCGCTCTAGGGATATCGTGCATTATTGCCCTGCGTGTCGCTTCGGGTCTCATTCGCAGACGTGTCTACCCTTTACCTCTGCCACCTGGCCCTCATCCGATACCCTTTTTGGGCAACGTGCTACAAATGGATACTAAACGACCTTGGCTCATATATACTGCGTGGAGAAAGACATATGGTTGGTAGCAAACCAATGGCCTCTTTGCAAAGTTGTTGTATTTAATTCCATACCTGATCGATGATCATAGGAAATATCATTTACTGCTCCTTACTCGGAATCGACTTGATCATCATAAACTCCCAAACCATCGCGCAAGAGTTGCTAGAAAAACGTTCTGGGAATTACTCTACTCGCCCCGTTGTCTGCACCAACGAATTGTATGCATTGACATTGCCTGTTTTCATTCAATTTGTTTTTCATCCACTGATTGTGCAGAGCTGGACTGGATTTCATGGCTGCAGTGCTTCCGTATGGGGAGACTTTGCGACGACATCGTAGGATTTTCCATCAAGTCCTCAGGGCCGAAGTCTCGGTCTCATATCACAAGATGTACTCTTGCCATGCAAATAGACTGGTCATCAATCTCTTAGGTGCCACTTATGACCTACAGCAATATACTGAAGTGTTTGTACCCAATCCACTGGTGTCGTTGTGATGTATGGTCCAGTTGACGATCAATGCTTGTAACAGATACATGGGATCCCTAATCACAGCTGTGACATACGGACACCTTTCTCACAGCTCATATCTTACCCGGCGTGCGCACCAACTCACCGATATTGCAAAACAGATTGTTACTCCCGAGAAGACTGCCATGTTCATAGCCTTTCCTTTCCGTGAGTGCCTCTGTCGACGACATCATCTTGAATATTTAGCATGAGGTTGCAGTCGAAAAGTTGCCGTTTTGGTGCTTCGGTGGAGCATATTCCCAGATGGGACGCTGTAGAGAATTATCTCAACAGCTTTTTAATGAGCCCTTTAACGAAGTGAAGGCACAGATAGTACGTTTGCGCACAGTTGTGGATGAAAATTTCGCCTGATCTGTTTGCGTAAAGGCAAATGGCACTGCTTCACACTCATTAGTCACTGACTTTCTCAGCCAACCTCACGATGACGCTGACGAAGATACAATGAAGGCTGTTGCGTTGACGGGATACATGGGTAGGAGTCTTTATTTACCAGGACAGGATTCATCTATTGACGAGAATTCGGCATCTTAGCTGGCATGGAAACTGTGAGTCGCCACTTGAGCAGTCCTGATTCTTACTTTGATGTCCCGCAGACTGCATCCGTATTGCAGACATTCCTGCTGGCTATGGTGCTCTATCCTGACGTTCAAGCCCGGGCTCGTGCAGAAATTGATCAAGTTGTGAGGCATGATAAAATGCTGTGCCTTAATGACAGGGCGTCCCTGCCCTATCTTGATGCCATTCTCCGCGAGGTCATGAGATGGTATCCTGTCGCTCCCATAGGTTTGTCGGCAGTAATATAGCTTTGTGTTTGCATGACTTACCCCTTGCATAGCATTTCCACATACAACTTTAGATGATGATGTTTACGACGGGCATTTTATACCCAAAGGTTCGAAGTGGTATGAGTCAAGGTTGCCATTGACTCATCGGTAGTTCGATCAGGTACAGCAGTAATAGTCAATCAGTGGTATGTCATGGTGGAGTGCATGCAACGGTTTGAGCTGAACATTGCTCAGGGCACTGTCTCGGGATGAAGATATATTTCCCGATGCATCGCGCTTCGATCCTAGTCGCCATCTAACTGTTGACGGGAAGCTAAAGAGCCCTTTCGTCAACCATTTTGCCTTTGGTCACGGCAGGTGAATATACCACGCTTGCTATCATTTTCAATCATTCACCGACCCTTGCAGACGTATTTGTCCTGGTAGGCTGATCAATGATCTGGCAGTGCTGAAAATGACAAATGCCCTCGGTAGGTCGTTGGTTTGCAGAGAACAGTCTATGGACTGCGATTGCTGCCATACTCGCTGTCTTGCGCATCGACCATGCCAAAGACTCAAACGGAGACAGGATTGAGGTGAAACCAACGTTCACCACCGGCGTGGCGGTGTAAGGGACCTAGTATGCATCCAATAACTTTCGGGCTAACTCTGTCGAAGTCGGCCTGAACCATTTCACTGCTCTTTTGAAAGCGTGAGCAAAGCAAGAGAAGGACAGATCCGAGCAATGATGAATTCTGAGTAGACTTGGTTTGTACGATGAACAAGAGAATTGCTTTCGAATACATTGATTCCTCAGAAACTAGATCCGTTTCCAAAATCTCGTGACTCGGCGCTACCAGCAAGCAACCAGGCTGCATATTGTTGATCGGTTCACCAGCCTCACCGGCCTGCCACAGAATGCCGAATCGACAACAACCATTTGAATCTCCTTTCACGATGCGTGATGGGCTGTTGATTATCAAAGACATCGTCCGATCCAACTGGCAAAACCGGTATTCTGCGTTCCTGTATCGGGATTAAGGGTCATCTTTTGCAACCTGTCACAGAGAGGGCTTTTGTACAAGACTAATATACTGACGATTCAGAAATTCCTTTGTCTTGCTGTTGAACTACTCACAAATGCATATAGTCTGGGCATGTACCATGGAGCTCATAATCGATAGAATCACACTCAATTCTTCCTTTCCTCCCGGTGGTTCCAATATCTCCGGAACTTCTAACTTTCATCGGGATTGAGACCACAGCACATCAATCAAAATTGAAGCTCGAGCACTTTCTACATTTCCCACTTGTACACGACTGTTTGGTAGCTGCCCAACTTATTCCCTATCCTCAATATGCAAGACCTGCGCATCTTCGTCCAAAGACACAGCTCCGCGTTTACGCCTTGCACGGTAACCCTGCGACACGTTACGCGCATGTTTGAAGGCAACACCCAAAAGCCCAAGCAGGAACCATGGCACAGATGCCATCGTAGCAAGCGCACCAGGACCTGACTGGGGCGAATCGTCGTCTTCAGGTAAATGAATCGCCCTGTGTATCAACAGTGAGCATAGAACGGGCACATACTAAGTGAATATCACTCGCCCTCTCGCCATTTTACCTTTGTTGTACCAGCACCATGCAACGACAAGCGCTGTGATCGTGAAGGAGATTATAATCACCATAATCCAGAACATTGCTCTGTGGCCAGAAGTAGCGTGGTCGGGAACTTCAATGTCAGGGCACGGGTGTTGTGTGCCTTGGTCGATGCGGTCGCCACCCTCACAAGTAGAGTAGACGACCTTGCGGTAGGCCGTGCGCTCGTACCAATAGTCTTCACCATCGCGACATGAATTATCGGGAGCAAGCAGACTCGCGCCAGGTATAAGAACACATTCACCATCCCTATTACGAATATGATTGAATGCACTTTTCGTGACCAGATTTAAGTCAGCTCTGAGCGGGTAATATCACACCTATAACTCACCACTCAAAATCCTCTGATCTACATCTGCAGTTCCGCACGATGTTATCTGGTGCCTTGGGCGTGTGTCCAACAACGCAGTTCACATCACGTTTGCGGCGATGGTAGAGTGTCTGTACATGATGATATGGATGACAAAGGAAAAACTCAAGTCTGGGCAACTCACCTGCCGTCCGAACAAGCAGAGTTCGTCTCTTTCTTCGCTGGGGCTCCACAGCTCAAAGTCATGTCCAGGAATTTTCACATCCACGAGGCCTAGAAGGACGAGTTCAACATCAATCATTGAGCATAAGAGCACACTACTCACATTTTCTATGTGTGAGAGATGAGAAATCCAAGTGCACGATCACCGAGCCAGCTGTCCCAGGATACTGGCCCAGCAGTATAAACTTCCGACTTCTACCCTCCGGCGCTGTCATAATATCCTTCACTCTGATCTTGTCAAACGTGAACTTGAATTCTAGCCAACTAAGCCCCTGGTCTGTCGTAAACAAGACGTGGTCCGTCGGCTCTTCGTCATTCACGATCACGATAACAGAACCTGAGTCGCCGAACTTCCACAGGTGGGGGCCTTTGCGCACTTCTTCCCATATGAACCCGCCATCCCGTGATAGAAATGTATTGCTATCGGTGTAGGGGCCAAGTGCCTCGCCCACATTCCCGACTGCCATAACGACACCGATGACGGAAGGGCTACTGTATGTCACTCGGGCATCAGCGCGCTCTGTGAATCCGTGGACATGGAGTGCGCAGGCCTAGATAGTGCGGCAAAATTAGCCAGATGATAGTCTATGAAACATATATTTTATATACCAATGACAAACAAGGGTACTTCTGACCCAGCGAATCTACTGAAGGGGGCCGAAGTGCCTTCCAAGTGCCACCTGATGCACCAACCATCAACGAGCCGCAAAAGATAATCACAAAGCATACCATCATTATGTGTGATCCTCGTCTGCAGAGTTTTACGACCCGTGAATGCAGCCTCTGCAAGATTGGTCACCACATTGGCCATCGCAATTCCCTTCAAGCCTGCAAATTGTTCGAAGTCGATGAAGCCACCATTGTTCCTGTTCACATTCTCAATGGACACTCCAAAGTAAGTTCCGTTGGAGTCGGATCTGAGGATGTTGCCCCATGGCGTAGGCCACTCGTTCATTGTCATGTATATGAAGATGGTGTTGGTGCTGATATCAAGGATGCCGTATGACTATGAATGATCATGAGCAATTCCAGTGTTTTTCGAGTTGGAATTCTGCCTACATGAGAGTCTGGGTGCATACCAGGAGGGAAACTCGCAGAAGTAAATGTCTGTCCGTTCCGTGAAATTTTGAGGTCAAGTGTGCCCGTGGTCTGGAGGTACTACAAATACAGAAACATTGAATCATCCAGCACACGCACACAACACAAAAGAATCATCAAGACACACCTCTGCAACGATCAAAAACTGTGAAACCCTGACAAACCCCGCGACATTGTCAAACAACTTCGTCTTCTCTGCAAAACCATTTGCATTTGTCCCAGAGACGAGCTGCAATGCATTCTCTTTTCCGAAAAATACCTGCGAGCCCTGCTTGTTCTCATATGACTTACATAGGATCTTAAACGAATTGGTCCGCGGCTCCTCATCACATGCCCAGTCACAGTCGACAACGTAGTTCTCCACCAACTGCCAGGTACGCCCATTGTTGAATGTGTACTGGGCCTGTGCATGACAGTTTTCGTACCCCGGTTGGCAGTCCACATTGCCAATCCAGATGATGTATTCGGACCTGCGTTGGAAATGGAGCACTTTGGCTCCAAAGGAATTAGGAGGCGAAGGTGCGTTCATGGCATACCAGTAGCGGCCTAGGTCTGTTGTATAGTAGAACTTGTTGGTGTCGGTGATGAGGTATGCGCGGTCGGGGGTGTATGGGTGTATGTAGAACACTAAGAAACGTTCCTTTGGAAACTTTTGTACCCAAGTATGGCCCTCGTTGTTGGATTGCCATACTGAGAGGTCAGCGAGACGGACAAGGATGATCTACAGAAGAATATGCAAGCTGAGGTCTGATATGGTACACGTACAAGGTGCTCACTTTTGACCCCATGAAATACTCCCTCTGCACGATATCGCTGGGGAATGTATGCTATGATATCATAAGTCACCCACTAAAGACAAAGACAAAAACAACATACGATCAGGTGAACAACCTCTCCTTCAGCAGGTTCAGCTACAAACAATGCATCAGACAAACACTCCACCACCTTCAAAAATACTTGCCTCCATAACAATATTTGGACACGGGCTCGTCCTTACGAATGCCAGCCTCACATTTGTTCCCAGGGATCTTGCGATACCCTGATAATCCCATGTATCTTTCGTTGGGAGACCCGATAGTGCACTCTGTGTTGGGTATGCGCTCTGGACCCAAAGGAATACATTTACCGTTGCCTGATACGTCGTTATACCATACATAGTTATAGTCACTAGAGCAATATATGAGCGGGCGAGATGGGGAGACAGACGAGAAACGACAGTACCACTCATAATCATAGTCCTCGCATGGGCACTTATCATTATGACTCTCCTGGACCTAACTTCTCGCCCATGTAGCAATCTGCATTAGCCTTGCGCCTGTAGTACAGTTGCTTTGAAGTATATCAGCAAAATCTCACATGACAAGGTTTGCATCAGCAGCTGACCTTGGCGCCCATGATGCACTCAGAATTAAGACTGGCTCTTGCGTACCACAGCTCCTTGTCATCAGGGCCACACTTCAGACGTCCAAGGGTGGCAAAGTCGAGGTGGATGATAGCGCTGCGGCCGTTGCTGGGTTGTTGGGACTGTGAAATCACTTGGCCAAGGAGGAGGAACTTCTGAGACGTTGAATCCGATACCGCAGTTAAGCCCTTGACACGAAATTGGATGCCAATGTTGTATGTCTTCCTATAGGGTGGGGCGTTTCAGCAAGGTGAAATATATATACACACAAGGGCGCAAAGACGTACCAGGTATGGCCCATGTCCGTGGAGTACATGATGGAGTCTGTAGGTTGCTGGTCATCGGCGATGACGATGACACTTCCAGAATTGCCAAATTCAAATTTATATGGGCCTTCGCGGACCGTCTTCCATGTCAGGCCAGCGTCAGTGCTCATGTAGGTGTTGCTCTCCTCGTATGGCGCGAGCATCGCCCCGACTGAACCCACGCCCATGACAAAACCAGGGGCGGGGGACGAGAAAACTGAGCCATAGCTGTGCGTGTCTGACACTGAGTGCAGATGTAGCGAGCATGTCTGGGAGGAGCAGGTACCGCTAGGAGCGAGAAGAGGAGCCCATGAACTGCCTGCGAAGATATACAATCAATACAAAAGAAAACACTTAAGAGACATTATTTATCACCGTCATCGAATGTGATAACCGACCGTAATTGCTTGGCTGCCATCCACTTCGCGACGTCTTGCGCATTGGCAACGACATTGGCAATACCTACACCCTCAACGCCGTATACGTTCTCATAATCAACATACCCCACCACATTTCTGTTTATATCTTTCAAGCTCTCCACAAAGTAGGTGCCATTGGAGTCGCTGACGAACAGGGAACCAAAGGCTTCTGTATCGCGTAAGACAACATGTACTGCTAGGGTGTGGACTGTAGACTCGACGATGGAGTATGTGTTCTCCCGTAAGCGCACCTGGGAGGGGAAATGTGCCTTAACCCACTCTTTGACGTCTACAGAAACGTATAACAGCATGTCACCGCTGCTGCTGGGCGTCAAGTCCTTAAGTTCAACAACAGCAAACTTGGACATGATCGCAAATGTCACGACACCCTTGGCTTGTTTTCCAATGCCAAGATTCTCACTCTTCCTAGTGGCAAAGAAATCTGTGCTGGAATAAAGGCGGCTGTGTTCGATACTGCGCGAGTCGGATATTGCGGAAGAGTCATAGGCGACGCAGTAGATGAGGTCGTCATGAGCATCAGGTTGAAAGTCTTTGCTGCTGTGAGCGAATTGGCAGTGAGAGACATCATCTTGTAGTACTTCGGGTGTTGTGGTGAATCCGTCTTGTGTGTAGTATGTCTACATATAAATTTGGTTGCAATTGGTATGAGCTGGAAGAGAGGTACGCACCACGTCTTGACAACGCTCGCCCCAAGGAATTTGTATGCACTTGGTGGCCTGGAAAAGGGTATACTTCCACTTGCGGGGGTCTGAGTGGAAGGAGAGTGGTTTTGAGACGTAGGCTACTAGGTCAGGGACGGAGAATGTGACCCATTTCTTTCCGCGATCTTCAGTGCGGTAATGCGTGAAGGTATCAGTCAATACGAATGCCTAGAGAGAATTAGGTGAGATCGAAAGCCACGTCGGTGTGTTCGAGGCAGGATGAAAGATACACGGAAGAGAGTATGGAAAATAACGCACCACACGATTGTTGAATGGGTGTTCGATGAACATTGCAGCATCACCAGGTAGTATGCCATCTGCGCGATCCCAGGTCTTGCCTTCGTCCTGAGAAATATATATGTTCCGGGAGACGGCATCGTGGTATATCGCACTCTAGAAGACAAAGACATGGTAAAGTGAGCACTGAGACAGATATGAATGCCTCACAGGCGTATCATGGAAGAAGAACAGTCGGACGGGTCCATTGTCGAAGTAGATTATAGCATGTTCTGGATCAGCAGCAAACACAACACCAAGATAAAGAAATGCAAGAGTTGACCATACGAAAGCGACCGTCCCGTGCCAGGCAGCCATACAAGGATGTTGTGAGCAAAGAAATGTATAGTGTAAAAAAGACTGGCGCTTCGACTAAAAATGTCGTAGAGGGTAGACAAGCCTCGGAAGAGGCAGAAAGGGAGAGGTAGGTTTAATTCGACGGGATCTAGAAGTAGTATGGAGTTAACAAGGACATGCCGTACAATGCACAGCTGTCTGTAGTGTTGTGGGCAGAACTGACGAGTTCTGCCAACCGGTTTGGCAGGTTCAACTTGTTGTGCCTGGCAGATGGCAGAAGTCTGCGAAAAATTGCTGGCAGAACTTGGCAAAACCCAGGGTTGTGTGGGATATCACTTGATTGTGCCAAATGTAGCTGAAGCAGCTGGTCATTATTCAGAGAGTGACGTTTTTAAAACTTTGGCAAGTACTTACTATGTTCTGCATAGCAGAAATGATATCTGAGACCGCGGAAAGATTTGTGTTCTAGTGGACTGTCTGCATGTCGTTTGCGAGACGTTGATAAGTACTACTAGGTATAGCTCGGATGTGACATTATTTGGCTCTGTTGAATTCTAGAGTAGATGCTGCCAGTGGGCTACCGTACTCTGAGCTTACCGTTGATGCTGGGCTGGCAATTGTGGCCGCGACGATATCTGATATCTGATACTGAATTGATGATGTGTGAGTTTGAGCTTTAAGTTTTACCCTATAATATGTATATATTCATCTTGTGTAGGGGCCTCACTAGGCGTGCCACAACGTAGCCAGTACTACTCCGACGACTGATTTGATAGCGGCCAAGCGTGAGTTCAAATTTTACCCTATAATATTCATCTTGTGACCGACAGTTCTGATTCTGTAGGCGTGAATGCAACGTAGCTAGTACTTGGGATACTCTCAAGTCTCAAACGCCCTCATGATATTGGAGCAATCTGTAAACAGACCATCAAAGATTCATCATTTGAACGGTGCGTTTTCGTTCTTCCATTTCACTCCTTCCTCATATTGGCGCATAAGATATCAAAGATTACCTTTCTTTTGCCTCGTCTTCCCCAAAAATCGCTGCCTCAGCCAAGGTACTACCACATACACGCACCCTTGGCAGCACTTTCTGACCCGGTTTCTATGTATCAGTAAACTACTCTAAGAGACCTTCATCCCCAACGAGGTCCTTAACGAATTACCTGAGAGGTTAGTGCAACCCTCTCGTACACCTCCACCTTTCACAAGAGGTATCCTCCGAGTATAGGATCATGGCACCGGCACATATTGGTTTTTAGGTCCTCATTGCGTCCTAACGCGATATATTGGCTGTGACTTGGAATAATTGTGATCCCTTCGGAATAGAAACCATGTGGAATGGATCTCGAAGGAGGAACTCGAGGGATACCTGTTCTCGCTAGTCACAGTCTCGCTAGTCTGATCCAACCCGCTCATTACCAGGAATATGGTGCACCTTAGCAAGGATTATGCGAGCCAGGAAATGACGTCGAGCCATTGAAACTCGCCACGAAGTTGTACCACCATGCTCAAGCACGCACCGGGCAATACGCCTCTCTAAGCTTGCACACTCGGACGCCGGTGGCTGCAGCCACGCATGAAACGACCCATGATTCCACCTATACAGTCGTGATGAACCGGGGTAGCATATTGTGGTCCCGCGTTGTCTATGCCACGAATATGTACGCCCCTTATCCCCTTCCCTTCCTCGTGGGTCCAGATGGAATTATACGAACTCGAGCACAAGTGTTGGCCATCCTTGCTTCCGTCGGTACAGATCAAATTGTTTGATACGTGGGGACATTGAGAGCGACTAATGATCGTAGTTTTCAGCCTGCTATGGATCACATTCTGGAAACCGATCCGAGCGCCGCTTCTCCTGCGAGTGCATCGAGCAGCGCAGGGAATCCTGTTGACGTCGATGTTAATGTCTCCAGCGCTTGATAGGAACTACTAAGGCTGGCCCGGGTGCTATATCGAACGCTAAAACAAAGGCCCAAGGTACGTTTATTCCAATCGCGGCTTTGGAGCCTCTATCTTCAGCCCACTCACTTATTAGGATACCAAATGCTCAGAATGCGGCAAAGTATTTAAGAACACGGCGTTGGCTAATTACCATGTCGAGAAGAGTGGCCATGATCCGTTTGAGGGGTCTGCGGAAGAAGTTGGCCGCGTGGCTGTGCGTGGAGTATCTCTAACCCCAGATGACCCTCAGATAAAGCCACTTATGGGGGAAGAGAAGCAACAGAAGTTAGCTGAGCTCCGCGAAAAGATAGCTGCAAAGTGCAGCGTGAAGGCTCAACAAGAAGCCATAGAAGCACGTGCGAATCAAGCTATTCGTTTCAAGTCTGGCAAGGTGAGTCTAGTCGCGTACTTGATGAAATTTGTGTTTCAGAAGTTAAATCAGATCAGGACATTAACAAACTGAGAGATGAGCTGAAGGCCGAAGAGATTGTGAAAGAAGGTGAACAGAAATGTAGAGGTGGTTGCCATGTGCGTGGATTCTATCTATATTAATCCGATCTAACCGCGTGCGGTAGAGGAGTTTGAGGATGCCAGAGCCAAGGCTGCGGTAAATTTGGCCCGGATCGAGGCAGATAAGAAAGTTCGTGCAGAGAGGGCCACAAAGGAGAAAGCTTTACGTGACGGCCAATTAATTATTGACTCATCAGACACTGCGTCAGCGACCCAGCACTAACAGCGCCCTCGTCCAGCGGCACAAATGGGAAGGACTTCAAAGACACTCGTCTCCAAATCCGTATGGCAAGTGGAGGAACGCCTTACACGACCACCTTGCCGAGTGATGCAAGTATGTCTCATCGCTTCTCTGCATACACGAATGTCTTGTGAACTGACACATCTTGCAAGCGTTACGTGAAGTCGCTGGATTTTAGCTGCCCAAACGCTTTCTGTCGATATAGAAACCGTCACATTCGCCCAGGTCAGTCTGTGTCCCAATGGGAAAACATTCTCTCGCGATCAGTTTAGCAAAACGCTGAGGGAACTCGGACTGACGTACTTTTCCGAGTATGGGATTATGGCACGGCACATATTGGTTTCTAGGTCCTCATTGCATCCTAACGCGATATATCGGCTGTGACTCGGAATAACTGTGGTCCTTTCGGAATGAACCTAGCAGGAACGAAGCATGCAGTTGTACACCGCCGCAATGAATATTATTTCGTATATTATTGGCCAAGGGATATAAAATGACAATGATGAGAAAAAAATGAGTTAAATGTGGGTATCGAGAAGAATGACCATGCCAAAAACACGGTAATCAAACAAAGGCAAATGAAGGAACCAAGTTAAGAATATTCGAAGAGCGTTATCGAACCGTTCACATAACCAACCGCAATTCTCCCGGACTCCTCATCAACTGCCACCTTGTTCCACAGGTCGTCGTCTCGTACACGAAATATCATGGTATCATGTGAGCCATGTTGGCTAGTTGAAAATCCTCCCGTAGCTGTCAGTATCCGTCCTGCAAGTCGCTGACCGCAGTCGCTAGGCCCTGCCCAGTCTTCGGTATGGCTGTCAATCCAGAGAACAGTACCATATCGTCCGAGAGCAACGGACGACGGAGCAAACAAACGCACTGGAGAGCCTATCGTCTGCACTGGAGTGGGCTGCATCAAGTATGGAAGGTTGTATAGAGAAGTCTCCCGCCCTGGGACGTACGCGGGATTTGGGTTAAGCACGAAATGATGCAACATGTTCACCGGCCAGGGATAGACGCTTCCAAATCGAATGACAATGTTGATCGGCGAGGGGTGGTGGGAACGCGCAGCATGCCAGCTGACTTGCTTTGACATATTGACGGTCTCTGTGAGCCATTGGAAGGTGTGCTGTGCGAGTGGATAAGAGATTGGCGCTCCTGGCGTTGCAATGATGTTGGGTCGGGGAATGGTCGAGTAGAGCTCGACAGTCTTTTGGCGGACGATTACCATGTAATCATCGCAAATGTGCATTGCTTGGCAGCGATCGTTCTGTCAAATCATAAAACTCAGCAATGTGCGGAATTACATGGAAAACATAAGCCAACCTGTAATAGAGAGGGGTTCACCAACTGGATTTTTTCGCAAGGCTGATCGCCGATGTCCCATATGCTCACTTCTCCACCCTTTTCTGGACGCCGGGTGACGAGGGTACTCCCACTGAGTAGGTGAATCTCTCTAATTCCGTCAATGACACTCAACGGAACGAATGCTGACTCGGGGTCATCCTCTTCGAAGTCGATGGCGAGTATCTCCGTTCTATGATAGATGATCAGCAAGAACGTTAGATTGGGTGTTACTATTTACACTCACAGTGCCGACTGCATCACTATAATGGCTGGAGAAGAGGGATCGTCATTGATAACGATACCGCCATATGGCCCCTCCATGTGTGTCAGTTCTGCTATGCAGACGGGTTGTAGGACAGCAACGTCCCAGCACTGGATAACATATTTTCTGGGTTGCACATTCATCGTGACAGAAATCAGCCAGCGATTTCCTCTGCCAGGAAGAAACTCCATGAAAATGATGCGCGAATCTGGCTCGGTGGGCTTGTAAAAATCAACTTCTCTCTTCGCATCCGGATCGGGGTTGGTCCAGTTGCTGCGAAGAGCGAGTGCGCAACATGTAAGCCGCTCGAGCTCCAAGGCTGACAAACAGTCGAAGGATTTTCTATCGAAGGAGGGTATAGGGATGTTTTGTTCGTGGACAAGAGTCCGCAGAAGGAGAGCCCATAGACTGCGCAAACGGGTGATAGCATAAAAACTTTTACTAGCCTGGAAGATAAAAATCAGATTAAAAATCCCGTGAAATGAAATTGGGGGGGGGACAAACCTGCCGTAGTGCCAGGACGCTTTGGATAGGAAGATGCTGAATTATATCGAAAAGTATGTCGAGAGGAATAGGAAGGGGTGGCGAGTGATCCCATGAGCCAATATTGAGTTCATCCATAGTAGACAGACGCTGGTTTATGGTGGGTCAGATGAGGGATGCTTTATTGTATTTAAGTGGGAAATGCGGTGATGTGAAAGTGAAGCAAGGATGTATGTAAGAGTAAGCAGCTGGAGGCGTGTTTTGAGCTCGATCCGATTGAAACGAACAAGATTATGTTTGATGCTGCCAGTTGCAACGTGTAGTAGACTTGGTTTTTGTCTACTGGAGGGTTTAGTGAGAAATATCAACGTGGTAAACGTACAAAACATGTCGGTCATACTTATAGTACGGTGGGCAAGCGATGTTAGAAATGTTGGCGGTGGTGATGATGATTAGCACCGATGAGCCTACAATGATAGTATATTTGAACGAATAGAGTGAGCTTCTGGAATCATGATCACAAAGAAACCCACGATGTTTTCTCTCTTTGTTGAGCCATATTCCGTGTGCCTCGCTCTTCCAAGTACGTCCGTGAGAGGGAAGTATAATACCCTCGCGACGGCGCATTTCCAGTTCGTTAATCTGGATATGCCGTAGTACGCAGTCAGTTCATGACCCTGGAAGAACTTAATGGCAACACAAATATTGCGTCACTGGCCTCGCGGACTTGTGTTGGGCGAGTAATAAATCATGCGAAATTCGCGGGCCTTGCATATAAAAAAACATATTATTTTTTTTATCATAAATTTCCTTTTTTAGCTTTCATGTTTATGAACGCGGTCAGGTCAGGTCCTGTACCAGGAACGATGACCAGGTTGACCAGGTTATCCAGCTGTACCTGTTCGAAACGTTGAACATGAAATCGTCGCTGATTAGATTAGATTCATCCGCTTACCATTTAATTCTACTTCGGGTCCCATCGACATACGGCAGGCATCAAGGGACAGCGCGGTTATAATTGGGGGTTTGGTCATGCCGTGCCATGTGTCCAAGTCTGTGTTTTCGACCGCCTCAACACCTACTATTATAACACTAGCTGATTTTTGCAACATATAGTTAATTACCAGCCATCCGGTTCCAATTTCGTGTGTGGTCCTCTTCTTATGGATCTGGTCACATCAGATTTTGAATCTCCCCGTCGTCCTTCACTTGTGCGAGACCGTCCCTCTCGGCCTCCGTTGCCAAACGGCCCACGCTTGCGCTCCCGCACAAAAAATTCAGTTGATATGAACAGTCCCCACGGAAGCTCTAGCACCGACGGATGTTCTTCTGTCGTTACCTCCTGCTTGACATCTCCTGTAATCACCTCTCCCTCCCTCCGTCCAGCCTCCCTAGGCCCGTTGGATGAAAGCCAATCATCTTCCCTCGATGCCTCGCTCCCGCAGTGCTTGCCACAATCGGGCGCTTTTTTACACACACGCGCGACATCAGACGTTGGTGTTCAAGTTTCACAGAATTTGGCCTCATGCCCTCCCTCGTTACCGCCTGCAGCGACACCCCCAGCTCAAAAGCTAAAAGTAACGCTCAAGTCAAAACCATCGGTAACAACATTCCAGCCTCCTCCTCCTCTTGCGCCCCCACCTACAGTTTCATTCGAATCCGTGCAGATTCCTTGGAAGGGCCTTCCCTATGAGGCCGCCCAATGGACATTCACCTCGCCCGAACTACAGGAGATAGTCTCACGTGCTATCAGGTTAAGCGCAAAAGAATCCTTCATACGTCTCCTATCTCTCCAGGCGCTCGACACAGACATGGTAAAAGAAGCAGAGCGGCTCGAAGAAGAGCGCCTAGCAGCGCAGGTTAAATGGAGATTCGAAATGAATAGACGAACCATGCTCATGCAGGCGCTCAATTCATGTGCGGGTGTATTTGCCAGCTCGGGAGAAAGTGATAAAGAGAATGTATTGGGAGGCTTAATATCCCAAGTTGCGACTTCTATTGCTTCGTGCGACTCTATTCTTGCATCCGTTTTGCACATGTCAGACCAACAGGCCCAAATTTCGGTGGTTCAGCACCGACATTGGGCGTCGGCTCTCGGGATTGCACTCCGCAAACTAAACAAAGCATTCGAGCGTCAGGGAGAAGACATGAAACGCGCGCTATCGCGTATCCAGACGCTCGAGGATGAGCTCGAGGAGGCCTGGAGAGAAGCGGAGGGCATGGCTGCCGAGATTGATGAGATGGATCAGAGCGACGAGGAAGTGGATGATATCGATGACACCCAAACACTGGGAGACATTACCATCAACACTGACATCGCACAAGTCATGGGTGTCACTGCTAAAGCTGTGTTATCCAAAGCCACTCTCGTCTCCCAAGTGAAGCATGTACCATCCGACGTCAAGTCTATCAAGTCTTTTAAATCCGTAAAATCTTCTCGCAGCAAACGATCTAAAGATGGCCCAAACCGGCTCTCACGTCTATCCGCAGCAAAGACACGCTCACGCACTGCATCCAATGCCAGTCTCCGTTTACCCAAGGGCTTGCGCACCCCGACGGCATCTCATTTTCCACAAGATGAACCACCGCCCATGCCTGCACTTCCAGATGCCCTACAAGGATGCTCGTTCCTTGATATGGACAGCGGCGCGGAGTACTGCCGCCCACTAAGAAAACAGCTGCCTAACCGTGCGTATCCTTGTCGTGTTTCCATCACTCTCTAACTTTGGCATTGCAGGCGCTCCGGAACCGACAGTCTCCCTTCCTGAACCTCCCCATACAGCAGGTCTTCCTCGAACTGCCATTCCCTCGATTTGGATAGACGCTGACTCAGGCCCCGGTTTGCGACCGAACGGCCTCGATCGTTCACACTCCATGCAGATCTCCACCTCCCTCCGCCAAGCCCGGAGAAGCGAACTCGTGATGAGCCTGTCACGGTCCGATCCCTCAAACTCACCTGTGGAGAAGGCCGAACCCGTTTTGGGCGGTACCGGTGCTGTAGCTGTAGTGAATAAACCACTTCCTGCGGACATACCTGTGCCTGTTGTCGACCGGCCACTATCAGCCGTGGATAGGTTGGTGTCTGGGTCGATGGATCGACCGCGTCCGAGTGTGGATAGGAGGAGTTCTGGCTCTCACAAGTTAATACCACTACTTGAAAGGTCGTTAGGAATCCCTGCGACTCTTATCTCCGGCGGGAGGTATTACTCGCGCGGATTACCCAGTTACCGGACAACGGATACTGTTTCTGGGGGCAGGACCCCGCCGCGTGTATGAACGCTAAATATTGGTTAGGCCGGAACACGCCATTGGTCCAGCTACGCACAGTCTAGGTATGTATGCTTTCATCATATGGACCAACCAACTAAATGTCTTCAAATAGATATCATTCACATTCTATTTTTACGCACATATGTTCCTTCACTCATCTACGAATATCACTGACCCACAGGGATTCGCATGCATAATTATACTTGCTGTATAAGACACTACTGACTTATAATTTTCTTGTTGTCTGTTACTGTTTACACGGCACATATATACGTACCTAGATAATCGTCCAGTCCAACAGAACATTCATAACACTAAAACCAAAAGGATCTCTGAACTACCACAACGATGAATCACTCCTGCCCAAGAACGAGCGCGCCTTTGTTATCTATCAAAGTAAACCACGCATCTTCCTGTCCTGCCTTAGTAGCACCCACAGCGGGCGGTAGGCCAGATGAACCCAGGATGCCTGCTTTCATCATGGCATTTGCGAGAACGGGAACGTGAATCTCCACGCTGGACGTAAAATGCGACGCAGCGCCCGTCACGTAGCTTGAATTAGCCAAATCAACATTGAAATAGAATTTGAGGGAGAAGAAAAAGCGCACCCTGCTATGGTCTCTGTAAACCTTTTATTGGCACGTTGAGCTCCTTTGAGGAAACCTGGGCGGAAAACGATGGTGTCCGCATACCCAAGGACGTGCTATGCCCAGTTCTGTGAGCCCTTTGGATCTGAAGGAAAACAAAGTCAATAAGGATTAAGGAAGAACCGACCGTGGTTATGTTTGCGTACCTCGGATATAGGAAGTAAGAGGATGGGTTAGCACCACCAGACTGTATTTCACATCAATTCCCATCATGCGCATTACGTGTTTTGGGTGAAACCCACCGACAGATACACGACACGTTGTGGATGTTCCGGATCATCTGTCTTTGCAGCCTTACAAGCGTTCACCACATACCTATATACGACACATGAGATGAAATCGAGTATGACAAAAAAAGAACTCGACTCACTCTCTGTCAATCTTCTCAAACATTTCTGCGCTCCCTGCATTCGCGCGAGTCGTCCCGAGGGTGACGAACACGACATCCCATCGCCCATCCTTCAGCCCTGCTGCTTCCAGATTCTCAAAGTTGATTGTTTTCTGCTCCAGTTTGCCCCTATTCTGGGGAAGGTCGGCTTCGGGGGTTACTCGTCTCCCATATTCGCCGACTTTGGACCATTGGTCGTTTGCGAGAAGCTCGCGAAGGAGAAATCTGCCTGTTGCGCCCGTTGCGCCTAGAATGAGAGCTGTAGACATGATGTGGAGTTGTCAAAGTATCTCGGATGTGGATGACGACGTCTCGAGTCCGCCGACGTGCACGTGTGCGTTCGGCGCGGTGCCAAACATGACATAACATCACAAAACATCACTTTGCCGCGCTGCAGTAACCAGTTTTGTGCTCGGGTTAGCGATGAGTTGATCCGCAACTAAGCTGGCAATTGGTATTGGTGGTATATGTATATGATGAGCCAGCCTGCGCACCACGCATCAACTACGGTATATATAGAGGCATTTCCAACATGTCTCTACTGAGCCTAGCCTACCTCCAGCCACCACCTGCTAATATTATCATGTTCTAGAATGAGTTGACATCTACATCAACTAGTCGCAATACAGGCACCAGGGATCACGCCCGTCCATCGGATACTCGAATCGGGCGAATAATCCTTGGCAGTGTACTTTTCGGTGAAGCCTAGCGTCATTCAAACTAGCGATGGATTATGATATATTCAATGCCGCACTGCACAGTAGACATTTTAAAGAGCGTAATCGTTTCGTTCTCAACAAACCATTACAGGTATTTAACACAACATAGACAAGCCATCCATCGCTACACACCAAAAATAAAAAAAGGGGAATTACAGCTCTGACCAAACGAGAGCCGGGGACAGTGACTAAATCCGTACAACAACACTTAGAACAAGATTTCAGCAAGTTTTTGCCAGAAACCCTCGGGAGGGTAGTATGGCCCTTCTGTCTCCTCTGGGGTGGGAATACCCTAATCTCACCCGTCAGATCGAGCCGAAGAGTAGCCGCCAAGACACTTACCGTCACAAAGTCCATCTCTTCTGGTTTCCAGACCTCAGTCTTTTTCATAAACTTCCAGCCAAAGTAAAGAGCGAAGAACAGCGGTATGTTGATATCTGCGAGAGGTAATTGGGATTGTGAGTCTATCAAGACTTTATGGGAAAATGAGCAGACGCACAGGCAGTGAGGAAGCCGGAGGCGGTGAAAGTCCAGAAGACTTCGAAGCCGTTGATGATGATGAAGAGAACGCACCAACTCAATCCCCAGATCGCAAGCCATGGCTGGAAGTAGTGTCAGCACTCGGCGAAGCCACGTATCGATAGAGGGTACGTACTTGGAGGGGGTTCCAGTAGTGGAGCTTTCTGCGGTCAATGCCTTGGTACTTCATTCCGCGATCTGCATATTTTATGAGACTTGGATTGGAAAGGGAGATAAGCGGACGATGGGCTTACGGAAGAATATGTAGGTCAAGTTGATAGATCCCCAACCGAAGAAGCCGCCCACAGTTGAGAGGTTGACGAACCAGCTAAGATAAACGTGAGTATCGATCATACACCACTAGGAGAACACCTACTTGAACACTGTTGCGCCACCAGACTTTATGTTCATGAGCGCGAGCAATGCAAATATGCTCTTTATATGTAATCAGCGCCATGCAATAGTTCGATGATCATGAAGACGACGCACAGAGAATGCAACAGCGATGAACGGAAGTCCCGAGTTCGTGCACCTTGCAAAAATCTTGGGTGCTTGCCCTCGGAGAGCAAGACCGTACAGAATACGAGATGAACAGAAGAGGAACGAGTTTGCAGCACTGAATGCACTCGTCATGACGCCGGCGTTGATGATGCTTGGTAAGACTGTCCGTGTAAACATGAACAACGATCGGGTCCGGATCATCGTGAATGTTACCTTTAATTCCAGCATTCGTCATGGCAATGACATAGGGAGACTCAGCAGCAGTACCCGTGGCTGTGAGGAATGTATCAGACCTGCCTTGTAAAGCTCGAGTAGTGAGAACTCACATTGGAGTAAGTTGGGATCGTTGTAAGGAACAATAAGGCCCGTGACAAAGATACCGAGGATCTGCGCGCACCCTCCATCAGGACCTGCATCGTTCCAACCAAAATGATAAAGGCTTACATAGAAAACCAAAATACGGAAGAATACCCTGCGTACGGCTTTTGCGATGTTCCGGCGGGGGTTTTCGGTCTCGGAAGCAGCACTATAAATCGATTTGATAAATGAGCTTCTTTTGTTGGAAGGGAAGGGTATACTTACATTGCGACGAGTTCCATGCCTTGGAATGAGAATGATGCTTGAACAATAACACTCAGAATGCCCAAGAAGCGGTCCAGGCCAATATGCTGTGGTTCTAGTCCAGCACCTGCAAAAATACCGGGATTTTTCCAGTACTACCCTCATTGTCAGGACAAATGGTTCATTTCCAGTTGATTTTGATACCAACCTGGAAGCCCAGCCGGTGGTGATTTGGTGAACCGCCAAGATCAATGATCAGACCAACAAGAATGAGACCGGTGATCATCGTGACTTGGGATAGTGGGTAAGGCGGATATACCACGCCAGCATTAGGAATCAAGCTTACGTTTAATGATCGAGAACACGAATTCCGCTGGTAGATTATATGGTTGAGTTTGACTGGAGCAGCTTCAGAAATAATCACTTCTAACCTTCACCAAAATACCTGAGGGAAGGTTGTGAGCATGCACTACACGGAGCATAAATGCCACATACCGTACACCGAAGATGTTCGTTGCGCAAGCAAAAACAATGATGATTGCGGTGTAAATACCAGCATGATTTGGCTACATGATAAAGCTTCATCAACATGGTTGAAAACCAATTGTTTGCTTGGCTCACATTAGAATCCCAATAAGTGATAAGAATCTGAGCGCCTGTGATTTCCACCGGCACAGTTATCCTGATCGCGTGTGAACGTAATGCCAAGAAAACCAAAAATAAACATACACGTTGGTCTGTGGATCCGATCAGTACATTGTTACGTGCAGGGACGAATGATTAGCTCACATAAAAGTAGTTCTGAAAATATTGCGATGACTGTCAGAAACGGCATGGACCGCGAGGGAGTTGACTTACCCATCCGACCTAGACAGCAATCAATTAGCGATAGCGCACTTCAATCGAGGAACTTGATACTTACTGCGAAACCAAGTGCAGGGTCGACCCATCGTGCGGCTGAGTTGCGTCGATCAATGTCACATTTCAAATGATACGAACTATCCCACATACCAAAATGGGGGAATGTCCCTGAAATTGGGGCATGAGACGTCATTTCACCGATGGAACACAGCGATCTAAAAAGCATGAGACAGGTTTGATGAAAGGGTGTGCGGGCGTACGAGTATGCCACTGAGCCTACGAGGGCGTATGCGATCAGGGCACCGAGGGGGCCTGCGCCACTGAGAGCTTTCCCAGAACCCAGGAAAAGTCCTGTACCGAGTGTTCCAGCTATCTACACTCTTCGTGAGTCAACTTGCAAGGGTAATACCGTGACACGACATACAGCAATCCTAATAAAATCAATGAGCTGGCTATAACAAAATAAAGATGGACATACATCTGAACATGGCGTTGCTTGAGTCGACGCTGTACCAAGTCGATTGAAGCGACATCGAACTGGTGCCTTCCGTCAGCAACGACGTGAACTCCAACGTCGGGGTGGTTCTTCTCGACGCTATTAACATCATACTTGTGGTCCTCGCTACTCATGATGGAGTCAACGAGGGGGATAGTGCCAAAGAATAGCGTACTGAGATGAGTGGGGGGTTCAGAGGGGGAAATTTATATTCGGCTCGTGTGCCATTAAGTATGGTAGGGAGACACAGCACAGCGTGGTGTCAAGTGGTGCCTGATACGGATCAGAAAATATTAGATAGGAACCATAATGGTGGAGCGTGTTGATAGGAAGTTTTACTGCAATTTGTTTACCGACAATTAATAGCCATGTCAAGAATGCGAACACGTCCGACATAACGATCAATACGTACACACGGGTAGCTGTGTATGATGTTACAGGAAGACTGCTGAGCACTAGGCGACTTCTCAGTCGGGCACGGAGTTTACCGGGTTGTTCGGAAGTTCCCAATAATATTAGTGGACTCAAGTTAAATCTGGAAGGGGTGTTCCTCATCTGAACCAGCCTGTTCTAGGTTTGAGTCGACGGGTACCTATCAGAAACTTCGAGCCTTTGACTTTTGCTCGAAGCTCGATTTTCAGCTTGACTGAGTCTCCCAAATCACCCTTCTGTTGATGATAGGCTCGACGACGACATCGGAGACCTTGAAATTTTCTCGTGGTACGATAAACGATGTCATCGTTCCATGTGCCGAGTCGGATCATCTAACAGGTTGCAGGTGGCGCAAGCAGTACTACTAGTAAGTACTAAACAGGCCATGCTAGAATCGGTATATCAATGAGGCTCGCGGCCCAATGGCTACTGGGGAGCTTTACTGGAGGTGAAACAGGGCTTCAAGTGCAGTGAGTACCAAGTACTGCGTAACACCCAAGTATTAATGAAGTTCTCCGGGCTTCTAGTTGGCTCACAAGTTAACAGTCTCGATAAAGATATCTTGGTAAAAACTGCCTAATACGGCCTACTACGCCAACAAAGTGCGGTAGGTACAATCGCCGCATGATGCAACTCTCAGGCAGGTCCCGGCACACCTGATTATCCGCTTTTCATATGCCAACCCGTGTGAGTCACTGACATCGTTTGAAAATGCCTCTAATGTGGAGTACCCTCAAATTAATGGAAGGAAGTCGCCACCATCTACTCCTTCAGGCTATCCGAGTCTTCCCCCACGTTGAACGTAGCGATTTTCACCACCTATATCATGATGTTGTTCCTTGCTCATCCACACACTTACTTGAACACTCAATGAATGTCATAATGTCACAGCCTCCGACGGCCTCCGAGATCGTCCGTGGAGTTGATATCGGAACGTTCTGTTTGTCAAAGTGGCACAAAAGCCTTACCGAGCTGCCAAACGAACCCCGCTTGCCCCGGAGCTGTTATGCCTGCCAGATGCTCATTAAAGAAACCCCAGTTCCCTCCCTTCATTGAGCCAGTAACAACCGGCGGGCGATGCGCCGCAGTATCGCCAATGACAGCTCATCTAACTCGCTACTCCGTTGAGTTCAGCTGAGCCATGACGGGTGTCTCTAAATTAAATCATTCGGCTCAGTACGCGCACATGGACCAATCTCACGCGCATCATAGTCCTTACAGTCATCGAATGCAGTGCGCCGCCGTCGTATTCAGACCACAATGTGAACATTTCAACACTATCCGGCGCGCGCGGGATCATCACGAACCTATTAATGAATGCGAAAAAGATAGCGTCAAGGTGAAGGCTGATGATTTGTATATTGATTGGTATGGTGACGGTGCAGTGAGGAGCGCTGTCAGCTGAGCGCTAGCGCCAATGCTCAACAACAGCATAGGAGCATAGAGTTGAAAAACTTACTTGTTGCGCACCCGGTATGCAGTCGGGCCGAGACATTCATGGGAATGAGATTCCCACCTCTGCCTCCGCAAGAACGCGTCAATGCATATGACGAGTCTGCCCCAGGAAACCATCTACTCCCAAATTACCAATGCGAGTTGTTGGAGGCTTCCTGTATCCCTTATCTACCTCATCAAATCTCATAATCGAGCCAGCGAATATACGAGCTCTTGTCTCGAGTGCCACTTGCTTGTTACCTTAAATTTTGTTATCTTCTCATGCGAACTCCATTGAATTTTTTTGAGTTGGTGTAGAGATAGCGTTTCCACGGCTACCCCAGGCCACGTCGGTATGTCACGCGTCGCGCTACGCTCCATACTCGATCACAGATCACTATATACTTGGAAACAGCCTTTTCGGGTACATAACTCCGAGATAGCTTCTCGTACAGAACCTAGCCCTACGCGTACTGCTGGACCGTTATCCTTGTGTTCCCGGTCTTCATGTGATGCCTCGAGCATTACAATGTCTAGAAAGCGGTGATACATTGAAATTTTCATTCAATCCCGTCCTCGACGGCTCAAAACCCTGTACCATTACACTTCGGTATCCCTCTACTGGTCGTACAACTCAATGTAGACCCACAAGTGATGTTACCGAAGCCAGCGCGTTATCTCCAACCAAGAACTTCTATCAGATAAGCTACATTCCCGAGCCCGATCATCTGATGATCATGATCATGAATCATGATGCATATGTCCAACCTGTTCAAATACCGGAAAATGTTGTCCCAATTCCAATATGGCCTTTACTGCACTCATGCAGTCGGACCTAGCATCCGAGGCGGAGTGGGTACCTCGCATCCCAGTGACAATACTCATGTACAAGGCTGGGTTCCTTTGTCGTTCACCTTTCTGGTCCCCCAAATGGCACATGTCCAACTTGTACCACAGCATCTTTCGAGCTCACCACCATGTTTGCTGCTGCGCGATAACATGTGTGGACGTATCAGCATGACATGCGGGCCTGAAAATGATTCTTTCTTGCCGATATCACGCGACGTCTGATGGTGCTTTGCGATAGCGTCAGGTCCCCAGTTATCGGTGATAGGGAGACATGATTAATGATTCTTGAATGAGACCATACCGTGACATAGTCCAGGATGCATCTCCTATTTTCTCCCGCGATTTGGTCAGGAAACGAGTAAGTACGACGAGGGGGCTGCGACATCGCGAGGATCCTAGATATGTGCGCGAACTCTCCGCGACGCTTTAGCCCCATTGGGAAATAAGGTTACGATAGAACATACCTGGGCAACATTGAAGTATTTCTCATACAGGCTCTGTTAATCGAAAAACTTGAGACTAATCAAACGATGAAAAATAAAGCAGGCTTAGACACGACGGACCCCCATTTGTCTGCATGTTAGGGGGAACCAATTGCTAAAGCTAACGGCAAAGGCGAGAAGGCGGCCATTTGATGAGATACTTTAGATTAAATAACGAGGTTCTAAACACCGCGCGAAGTCATCCAGTGCTACGACCAAGCATGCCATCGAGACATCAATCATCTTCGTCTTCTCCAAGTACATGCGCTGGTGCCGATGTCCCTTCCTCCCTTGATAGAGGCGTATACCACTTACTTGCATCCGTATTCGACAGCTCAATGCCCTCGGCGGAAAAAACAACATTGGGCTGCTGCACAGACGATGCGTTCCGCCCAGACGCGGAGTAAAGGTGCAGCAAGAAGACAGTGAGGAGGTAGAACAGGAACGCGATGCTGTGAGAGAACTAAGCTGACAAGCATTGACGCGAATTCATAAAGGCCCCCACCTATACATCGACAGTACATATGTGACGTGATCTATCCCTTCCTCGTGAGCAGCTTCGAGTTCCTCATCCGTAGCAGACATAAAAAGTAACCTGGATACACAGTTAAGAAGCAAGCATGGCTATGTCATGGTGGCAACATACCCAGAAGCAACCATTAACTATTGAATATTACGATGAGTACTTTCACAACAATCGTTCAGGAATAATACTAACAAACTGGCGGCAAGTGCCTGAATGCCCGGACGGCATTCAGTTTCGCGGCAACACCAGTATCTTTGGGCGCAGAGGGTGCCAGGGTGTGCTCTGAATCATTGTCATCCAGTGGAGGTCTCTCCGGTAGGGGTGAGGATGGCAACGGTATGAAACAAACCTCAAGGACACGTGCAAAGCCGGCGAGCATCAGCGAGTATCCAAACATGGAGTGAACCTGAGAATATGACCAACATCAGTACACACGGATGGTGAATATATGCAACCTGACATGATTCTTACCTTCGTGGACAACATCAGAGCCTGGGCATGGTCAGACATAGCCCATCCTGTTAATATTATGCTAAGCGCTTATCAGACCATCGACCAGCCAGTACGAGAAAGCGAAAAGACGGACATCACGCCGGGGACAACATTTCGCTGTATGCAGAGACAAGCTCAACAATGCAATAAAATCGACTGGATAGGTACCTGATTATTCCGAGACAGGAAGATGCCAAGAGCGCCCCCCGCCCACCAGAGTATCCCAAGAATCCTGCGTAGGCATGGTTAATCACTTGACCGATACAATTCTCGGAACAGACGTACGTATGCTGCATATCTTTCACACTCCATTCACCACCGTGGTGCTCAGTGAATGTATTGACTATGCCCTGTCACATACTTAGCTCGAGCACATTGTACGTCCGTGATAGGCGCACCCAAAGCATAATCACCCAGGAATCCCACCATTCTGGGCTACGGCCGCTGCGGCGGACCCAGTTGTCCCCGACAACGAGTAAAAGCGCCATTATCATACCATAGCCAATGAATCCACTTCCCTGAAGATTTGTATGAGCACTGTCCGAAAGGGGTCATATTACACGTGGACCAACCATAATATAGTGCGCAGCACATTGTCCAGCTCCCACCTCGCCGCAGAATCCCCTTAGCGTGATAACGCCAAACAAGCCCTGAACCCAACCAAGAATGGGCCATACACGTCCTAGGATGCCATGGGCGCGCACAGCGTATGGTCGTAGGGTACGTTCATGAATATGAAGCTTGAGATAGATTCCAAGGCCCAGCTGGGCGAAGATAGGGACCAAAATCCATGATCCGATATGGGAGTGGACAGAAGAAGGGAACTGTCGACCGCCATGTGCATGGCCGAGGACTATGCCACCAAAAGTCAGGGCAAAGGCGAGACTCTGTGGGTAATTTCCTTGATCAGAAGAATCACAGAAGGTAAAACATTGCAACGTACTTGTACTGGAACATGCCATCTACTTCGCGCAAGTCCAAGGACCATACCTACTGGGAATATGAAACCCCATACGATAGCTTGGAGGGCAATATGGATCCAGAGAACGGCATCAACTGGGGCATGCAGTTGTTCTTCTGTAAGGTCTGCTCCGTGATGTTCATGAGCAAGCACTGGCACTATCCAAGTTAAGACGAGGGGAAGTAGTAGGGGTGTCGATGAGAACAAGTCGCCTGCCATCAACAACGTTGAGCGACCTTGAATCTGCTAGATATTGTGCTTATAAAACGCTTCGAACAACTTGAATCAAGGTGTGAAATGACACGTGCATGTCGGCAAAGTGTAATATTATGTAATCAACGTTTGCATGGTGATGACTCCCAAGCGCGCACTATCCAAATTCAAACCCAGTTTTACTAGTCCAACATCTATCGACAGTTTGCCTCATAGACGGACCAGTCACCACTGACCAGTCCAACAACGTCCTCTGGGAAAGGTTGTAGTAATTACCGATGGAAACCACTGACTACAAGGCAACGTGTCCACCGGGGATAATCGATCAACGACCACAGTCCGAGAGCCGCCTGTGACAGTTCCGTACCACTGGTTGGACTATCATACACTGGCAGAACGGATATATATTATATATATTCAGGGTGGCCGTCTTTTAGGGTCAAGTACAAGGCTACCAGCCATAAGGGTATATCACTATGAATCTATGACTGTATCCTGTGATGCTGTGACACGAGGGAGAACAGCAGTGGTAAAGTTTTGGTGACACTTAGTGGTGCCGGTGATCATCATGACACCCTGAGACAACTTGAAATTACTAACCGCGACAGATGGCCGTTCAAATTGGGGGAGCCTCGGCATATGTATCGGTGGCCCATCTGTCTATGGAACTTTTCTGACTGTCTCTCAGGCCTCAGGTGTGCACGCATGATCACGAGGAGATGTGGACGGTCTGTATACCTTATGAGTGCGAGGCCAACTTGCCAAGTTATTATATAACTCCGAGACAAGTTATCTTTTATCATGACCTGGCTACTAGCTGTGTCATAATCTATTACGAGCTCGTTACACTCCGTTGCCAAATCATCAAAGGATGGCCTGCGGAATAAAGGAGCTATAGGGAAGCCAGGTATGCTATAATAATATCTCTATAGCTCAATTGACTTGTGAAATAAGCAGCATACATATGATACTACCGGACACTATGTGGCTCGCGATCGAGCGACACCATAACCCCCCGGCTACGACCGCCCGCCAATTCAGATCACCGGGGTGTTTTTTTTTTTTTTTTGAAAAAAAAAAATCCAGTTTATCGTCCTTTGGGGTCGTAGACCTATGTTGGACTTCGCCCTTTACTCGGGGGGCTTGGTCCCGTTCTACTATCGTAGTATGTATAACGGCGAGTTGAGTTATGTATATCGCACATATTGCTTACAGGGAGGAGTTGGACTATAGTTCAGTCATCTACCCGGGGACCGCACGGTCCGCACCCCAAACCTTACTTGACAGCTTATGGTTTCACTCTGGTATACTGTGTTTCAGGCTCACATCTACATGACCCGCCATGAGCTGGCAATGGGCACGTCTTTCGGGCAGAAAGCCTGGTATAAATTGTGCTTCCTCTTGAAATTTGGTTTGAAAACGCGGATCATATTCTCTCTCCACGCCAATTGAGGACTGACCACTGTCCAATGAGACATATCCTGACAGGCTTGGTGCTCTCGATCACGTTTATTGCCTGTGCATGGGCTGGGCAACCAACTCATATTTATGGTGTTAATTTGGGTTCATGGTAGCGTTACAACTTACTCTACGTCTCTGACCGACTGTGTAACTTAAGTGGTAGCGCAGGTTAGTCCTAGAGCTATGGATGCTCCCTCAAGGTGATAAACCGATGAACTATGCAAGTACGTGTTTACTGAACAAGTTTCTTTAGGGTGGGTGGATATGGGTGGACAATTATGTGGTTCAGATTGTTCGACATGCATTTCAACCGAGTCGTACGTTCCTATTCTATACTATTTGTATGTGAAACTCGATTTGTTTTGTGATGATCTAGGGCATTTGCACAAGCGTATCCAGACACTGTCAATGCTACATTCGCTCAACACTGGGATACATGGTTTACACAGAGTGATGTCGACACATTGAAGGCAGCCGGTATTAACACTGTCCGCATTCCTGTGAGTTGATTTCAAGGCATACCGCGAACGTGGCTAAGCTAACGCTGGACGGCTTGATCCGCTTTGCCTTTCTCATCCCGTGCGGACTCGTGTGTGTTGTGCAACGCGTTCGTACATAGCTGGGATATTGGATTGTGGAGGATTTAGTCAATAGGCCGCACGAATTATACCCTCAGGGCGGTCTTAACTATTTGGTGAGAAGCTCTGTTGTAGCTCAACCTTCTAGTTAAACCCAAGCTTTTGCAACTAGCGCCGGGGCTTGGGCTGGCTGCAAGACGCCGGGATCCAAGTAATCTTGGATCATCATGCATTGCCCGGAGTTCAAACGGCTCAGCAAATGTTCACTGGAAAGTAAGTTCCCATCCGTTCACTATTGGTTCGGTACTGAGAATGATTTTTACCAGTTGCACTACTGATGTTCAATTCTACGTGAGCCCTTTTGCAGCTGGCAGAAGCAATAAGTATGATAACCTGCATACAGACTCCATACAACTACCAGCGTGCACTAGTGTGGACAGCGGTTATGACTACGCTTTCTCACCTGGACCCTAATTTTGGAAGTGTTTTTTCGATCGAAGCAGCCAATGAGCCCATTAATGACGCGTCTCAAACACCTGGCTATGGCACATGTATGTATCACTCATCGAAATTTCTTATATTTATGGTCTCATGGGTTCTGAATCTTCATACAGTCCAAGAGAACTTCGTTCAGACAGTCCGTGCCGTTGAACTCACACTCGGAATCTCTGTGCCGTCGTCTAATTTATCGGTATCTGTATCAGCCTCCGTCTCGAACAACTTCACCGCTGCATTGAATGAAACATCCTCGGCAACCATCTTCCCAGCGGAGGTGCAAGCGGCACTTTCAGAAGCGGTTCCGATTATTATGGGGATTGGAGCAACACACGGTTTGCAGACCATATTCGAAGCGTCACCCTTCAAGCAGTCCGGTACTCCATTGGTAACGAAGTAAGTTTGCTACATGTTCTTGCTAGGATACATTGACAATGGCATGCAAAGCTTCATGGATATGAATTGGCAGTACAACAACCCCTCTAACCCAGCTGATGTTGCGATTGGCCCCCAAGCTTACGACGACCACTTGTATTATTCGTGAGTACGACTACATTGTATTATCATGATTTCTTAAATTCTCTCTACAGGTCGGCCGTACGTCGTGTGCATGTAACTTATCGCTTCTCATTGACAATTTTATAGGGAAATGATTCGACGTCATACATGACCAGTATCTGTAGTACGTATTCTTCATTGATTCGACAATGGCGTACTCATTTGTGGTAAAGATCTTGCAGAAATCCAGACTGATGCAGCACTCGGCAACTCTCCACTCTGGTTCGGAGAGTGGTCACTCGATACACAGTTCAATGCCACGGACGAGTTCCTTTACCAATGGGCTGACGCACAGAAGTTGGCTTACAGTAAAGGTGCTGGATGGATTGTACGTGTCCCATAGTATTTGATCAAGACGTGGAACAAACAAGAATCCTTTAGTACTGGAACTTCAAGATCGAGATATCAAACCTTACCAACGGGAATGCCCGTGCAAAGCAATGGTTAGTCAAGGCGCAGACCAGTGTACTTTATGAATGACTTGACGGTCATCTAGGTCATACCTTGAGGGGTTGGAACTCGGGTTCTTTACCCAGGACCCCGCGGCATTCCACAATCCAAACGTGTGTGCTCCATATACGAACAGTACTTCGAACAACACTTCGACCAGCGTCTCGAACAGCACCTCGAAAGGCACTAGTTCAAGTGCGCCTATATCGATCCCTGCCACAGGTTATCAACCACTCATTTATTTTATGTTCTTAATATCGTCATCATTAATATTCCTTTAAGCATGCCAGAAACGAGGTTCGTTTGCCATCGAATATTCTTTTTAGACATGAGAGGGAGGTTACATACACTTGATAAATACCCGACTACCGAACTTCTCCAGCAAGACCCTTCTTTATCGTTCCTTGGACTGTTTGTATCATAAATTGGTATTTGCTTTCACAACATCTTTGCTCGAGAATCCTTTGTGGTGATTAGCGACATGACCGAATTCTGAATAAGCATCAGCAAGGCGTTGAAATCTAAATTAAGAATTTCCGACAGAGGCCTCCTTTCTCGTCTAGTGAGTCAGTGACCCAACTTGCGTCTGTCCACTATGAATGAACTTACTATTGGCTCACATATCAGGCATCGCTCGCCATCCCTTGATACTATTCCTCTCGACATACTTTTCGATATATTTCAACTTCTTCCTATCCAAAGCGTCCTGGCACTACGGCAGGTTTGTGCCCCTGTTTTCATTTCACGGGGTGTTTGTGTCTGATTTTTACTTTCTAGACTAGTAAAAGTTTCGATGCCATCACCCGTCTGCGCAGTCTTTGGGCTTTTTTTCTGCGGACTCTTGTCCAGCAAAACATCCCTATACCTTATTTCGATGGGAAATCCCCTGAGTCTCTGTCAGCGGTTTACATGTCGTGCACATGCTCTTCGCATTAACTGGACTAACCCTAATCCGAATCTGAAGAGAGAAATTCATTTTGGGGGGGCCGAGAAATATTCGAACGTTTTACTAATGGAGTTTCTCCCTGGCAGAGGAAATCGTTGGTTAGTTTCTGTCACGATCGGGGCATTCAGAGAATGTATCATCCAGTGCTGGGACCTTACCGTCCTACAACCCGTGTGCGTAGCAAAACTGACGTACAAGAACGAGGCATACAACTGTGTTGTTATCAATAACGATCCCTCTTCTCCAGCCATAATGGCGATTCAGTCCAAGCCAGAAGTGTGAGTGTAAATAGTAACACCCGCTTTAACGTTCTTGCTGATTGTCTATCATAGAACGGAAATAATAACCATCGACTTCGAAGAGAAAGACCCCGAGTCAGCGTTCATTCCGCTGAGTGCCATTGATGGACGTAGAACGATGCACCTACTCAGCGGGAGCACACTCGTCACCAAGTGTCTAACACGTGACGGAAAAGTGAGCATATGGGACATCAGCGATCGACCTCATGAGAAAATCCAGTTGGTGAGCTCCTCACTATTACAGGTTAGCTTGCTTTTCCTGTGTAATCCCGCACATTGCTGAACTCTATGATTTAGGAGTACCATTGCAGAGCAATGCATCTCTGTCACGATTATCTGATAATATTTATCAAGGGGACTGTTGAGCTCTACTCGACCATTCCCCGACCCAACAACATTGCAACGCCGGGAGTGCCGATCTCGTATCCACTCGCACAGCACAGCTTCCACTACGAGATCAACTACGAGATCATAGACAATGTCAATATGTCAGAACAAGTCAGCTGGCATGCTGCGCGCTTGCACCGTCCATCGCCGATCAACATTGTCATTCGATTCTGGCCGGGGGACACATTGCATCATTTCGTGCTTGACCCAAATCCCGCGTACGTCCCAGGACGGGAGACTTCTCTATACAACCTTCCATACTTGGTGCAGCCCACTCTAGTGCAGACGATATGCTCTCCAGCGTTGTCAAATCTGAAGTCGCACTTTGCTCTCGGACGATATGGTACTATGCTCTTACTTGACAACCATTACCTAGACTTGGCGGACAGGATGGAGTATAGCGACTTCCTACATCAGCGACTTTCAGTACGGATACTGACGGCTACAGGAGGATCCTCGACTAACCAGCATGGCTCACAAGATTCTATGGCATTTCGCGCACGAGGCGGCAGCTATTGGAACAGGGCAGCGATTGATGAGGAGTCTGGGAGGATTGTGGTCAGTAATGTAGATGGTACGATAACACTCTTCGAATATCTTTAACTTGGTTTCTTCATTTGTTTTGTTTTGATTATTGTCTTGACATAGACATTCTTCTCCACACGCACATCAAACTCACATCTAGCATATCTCACCATTTTCTCGTCTGTCACTTTATATCCCTTGTCCATGTTATGCGAAAGAAAATTCATGGTGGTGGTGTACAACTGCGTGTCTCATTCCTGCTAGGTTTCCATTCCGAAAGGATCACGATTATTCCAAGTCACAGCCGATATATTGTGTTAGGAAGCAATGAGGACAATATGTGCCATGTCATAATCCTATACTCGGAAAAGTACGTACCGCCGACGGCGTCAGTCCGAGTTCCCTCAGTGTTTTGCTAAACTGATCGCGAGAGAATGTTTTCCTATTGTAAAAACCATGAATCCTCGGTACGGGTATACCACGCAACAAGATGCAGACTGACCTGGGGAAATGCTGGGCGAATGTGACTGTTTCTACATCGACGGAAAGCATCTGGGCAGCTAGAAATTCAGCGACTTCACGTAACGCTTGCAAGATGTGTCAGTTCACAAGACGTTTGTGTATGCAGGGAAGCGACAAGACATACTTGCATCACTCGGCAAAGTGGTCGTGTTAGGCGTTGCTCCACTTGCCATACGGATTTGGAGACGAGTGTCTTTAAGTCCTTCCCACTTGTGCCGCTGAACGAGGACGCTGTTACTGCCGGAGTCGTTGACGCACTGGCTGATGCGTCAATAATTGGTTGGCCGTCACGTAAAGCTTTCTCCCTTGCAGCCTTTTCTGCACGGCTTTCTTATCAGCCTCAATCTGGGCCTTTACCGCGGCCTTGGCTCTGGCATCCTCAAGCTTCTCTACCGCACGCGGTTAGATCGGATTAATATGGATAGAATCCATGGGCATGGCAACCACCTATGTTTCTAGCCACCTTCTTTCACGAGCTCTTCGGCCTTCAGCTCATCTTTCAGTTTGCTGATGTCCTGGGTTGATTGAATTTCTGAAACACAAACACCACCAAGTACGCGACTAAACTCACCTTGCCAGACTTGCGGCGAATAGCTTCATTCACACGTTGGACTAGGGCAAAAGCAGTGAGGAGGGAACTCGATTCTGTGTGACAATGTGCTACACTATGAACAGAGCTGTCAGAGTCAGTCGGACTGCGTGCGTGCGTCGCTGACCAAGCTACGGAGATCGCCGAAGGACTGACTGCCTCTTGTCTATGTGACTTCTCTCTGTCTATGCCTTGGGACCTAGACTCGTGACCAGTCCATCTATGAGACAAGCCATCGATAGACGCTTGGGACCCCCGGTCCAACGTGCTTCCTCTACTTCTTGTTGAGACTTTACGCTGCGCTTTGCAGCTATTTTTTCTCTGAGGTCAGGCAACCTCTGCCGCTTCTCTTCCTCGATTACTGACGCTTACAACGTTCCTCCGGGTGCCTTTCGAAAATCAGTTCCCGTCATTCGTCCGACTTACGTAATTTCCTTTTGGCTGTCACGGTGAAGGCTCTGGATCTCGAAAAGTCTTTTGAACAATATCGCAATGTCCACTTATCTGCTCGTTCCCCAACATGTTGGGTTTATCAGAACTCTTGGAGATGTGAGCTCTTCCACTCTTACTCAGTCAACTGATTGATCTCTAAGCTTTCAAGAAGAGCAAACATGAGCTGTCTTATCATCTCTCAGCTCACCTAAGGATGAACGCAGTGTACTGGGGCCTGACTGCTCTTTCGATCATGGGACATGGGGACGCGTTGGATCGCGATGAGATGGTAGATTTCGTTATGAGCTGCTGGGATGAAGAAGCAGGTTTGTCACCATCAAGCGATCCATGCTATCTCAGGCTCACATTCCGCAGGCGCTTTTAGCGCTCATCCTGATCATGACGCGCACCTACTTTCCACTCTCAGCGCGATACAAATTCTGTTGATGCAGAATGCGCTCGATAGAGTCGATATCGACCGCGTTTTGAAATGTGCCGTGTTTTTCTATCCTCGAATGATTTACATCACTAACATGACTCAGTTATTCTATCTTTGCAGAAACCGTCTGGAGTTTTCGCGGGCGACGCCTTTGGGGAAACTGACACACGGTTCGTGTACTGTGCGGTCAATGCCCTCTCGCTCCTTGGCAAACTTCATACGCTGGACGTTGAGAAAACAATCACATACATCAGGCATTGCAGAAATTTCGACGGTGGATTTGGTCACGTTGCGGGTGCTGAAAGTCATGCTTCACAAGGTGAGTCTCCCAACGCACACATGATTTCAGAACGTTGAAGCGCTATAGTATTTGTTTGCGTTGCGGCACTCGCTATCCTGGACAGATTGGACGAGGTTGATCAGCCAACCTTATGTTGGTGGTTATCGGAGCGACAACGACCAAATGGAGGACTTAATGGGCGCCCTGAAAAGCTGGAAGATGTGAGTTTCTGTATACATGATTGCCCTTCAGTGTTACTAATTCTCTGTTTATAGGTTTGCTACAGCTTCTGGGTGTTATCCGCCCTTGCTATCCTTGATAAGCTCGCATGGATAGACTCAAGTAAGCTGGAAGCTTTCATTCTCTCCGCGCAAGACACCGAGTCGGGAGGTATTGCCGACCGCCCGGGCGATATGCCTGATGTTTTTCATACGATATTTGGCTTGGCCGGTGCGTTAGGTGTTATAATCTCAGAACTAACCTCAGAACAATCTTCTTGACAGGTCTGTCATTACTAGGATACCCGGGACTAGTGGACCTTGACCCGGTGTACTGCATGCCTGCGAGCATCATCGAAAATTTAGGTCTCAGGAAGGGGTGGAAGGCTTTGCAGAGAAGGACTTCGTGATTTGCGCTGGGATTATATGGAAAGCAGGACAGCGGTGCTCGTTTTTTCGTGTCACAAATCCCTATTAGGCGGTAGGACTTCGGTCATCTCATGTGCGTCGAGTATTGTTGATAAATAGTAGTAACCAACGGGGCATCTCGAGCGGGTACTAATAGTGTTACCATACTGCTAGCATGCGGTACGCTTCGTTTATCTACCTACTCTATGATTCTGACTACCCTTTCTAGATTTAATCTGGGTCTCAGATGCAGGCCTCACCTCGGTCCTCTCACTCAATATACAGATCGCACCCGCCACCGGTAGCATGTCATTTTCATCATTCGAAAAAGCTTCTAAGGTCTTAGAAGGCCTCTCTAAAGTTGCATCCCTTGTGTATTAACTGAACGTAGGCAGGCAGAATTTCCCGGAAGATATATACTTCTGCAGGGTCAAGCCTATCACGCGACTCGTATGCGTTGCATTCTTTCAGTTGAATCACGCCAACAGCTCCTCAGGCGCCCTCTGAAGAAATCCTGGACGAGGGCGGGAACGTATTGTCAGCTATATCCCGACAATATGCTAGCTAGTCGCGACCAAAAACAACGTCACTACATGCATGTATGCGTGATCGACCACGACAAACGAGAAATCAATCGAAAAGTTGAGAACGCCATCCAAGATTTGAAAATGAGAGCACAAATGGGAATATCAAGCACGGGGTTGCTATGTCGAGGACGCCGAATGACAATTTGCGATGTTACAGAAGAGACATAACGATAGGAGATGAGCATAAAGGTATGGAATGGATAGCCACAATACTGGTCAAGCGTGCGCGAACCTGGGTATGATATATAGGCAGGGCGCTCGAAGGCTGTACTAAGTGTCACACCGTATCTATCGATAGCTCGTCTAGTCACATTGCTTTTGGTTGAGTTGGTTCCTCACTGGCATGCCAGTGAGCGCTGAATTCACTTATGCACCGGTGTCTGCATCTCGAAGAGATTCTGCAAGAAATCTTCAAAAATGCTGACTATTTGTCGTTGACGGTTCTTGCCAGGACATGTCGATTGTTTTACGAGCCCGCCCTGAACGCCATTTACTGGGATCTTCCAGGGCTCCAGCCATTAATTGAGCGTTTACCCCACGATTTGTGGTCAACCAGGTCCGGTGAATTGGTGAATGTTCAAATGAAGATTTGAGAGCTCTTCTAACTAGCTACCATTGTCTAGGTGATCCGAGGACCCTTGCGCCCCAATGATTGGGAAGTGTTTGCAAGCTATTCTCGCCGGGTTCGTAGCCTACGGCTTAGATGGTTTGCGAGCGATGCCAAGCTTTATCGCGCCCTTTTGTCGCCTCCTGATCCCTCGTTTCTTTTACCCAACCTTCGTACATCACCTGGCACTGTCTCAGCACCCGCTCTGCTGGACTTGATGACATGATCGCCTTCATGCGTCTGCTCTTCTGTCACAACCTCGCGACAGCGCAGCTAATCGTATCTGAATATGCTCTTGCTGCATTCTCCGATCTTGGATGCACCTCGCTTAGGAAGCTAGTCATCCAAAGTCATAAAGTTGCTATCAGTGCAAATGTGACAGAAGATGCGATATACAAACTCTCTGCTCTGAGATCTCTCGCGTGCGGGGAGGTCTCTGTCAGAGCTCTCCATCACTTGGCGCAATTTCCATTGTTGAGCCGCTTGACCATTTGGCTCGGAAACGATATCCCATCCACACTCACTTTTCCAAGGTTTTCATTTAGCAAACTTCGCTATCTGACAATCAATACTAAATCTATCGGTCCGTGCCTCTCCATGCTCAAGGCGGCCAACTGGAACATACGCTGCTTCCACCATCGGATGGATGCGGGGTATGATCCCGCTGGACGCAAGGTGCTTCTGAAACTGCTTCCCTTGCAGCTCTCGCACGAGTCACTGAATTGCATTTCCCTGCAAACCGCCTCTCCTTATCAAGACGATGACTCTACCACAAATCCCTTTTCATTGAAGCCACTTTTTAGCTTCAAGAATCTGTTGATACTAGAACTCAACATGAGCGGAGCTATCCTCCCAGAACTGGATAACGACAGCTTGCGACAACTCGCTGTTTCGTGGCCGCGGTTGCGGGTTCTCATCCTGCATCAGAACGCAGGAGCGTATCGTGTCCCACAAGTAGATCTCACAGGGCTTGTTATACTCCTGGAACATTGCCCCGAACTACATCAGCTCGTCCTTTCCGTGAATGCAATTATCGACACCAAGGCGCCTCCCACGCCTCCGATAAGCAACAGCAGCAATAAGCTCATTACCTCCATCAATTTTTCCAATTCGCCGATTACAAAAACAGCTGAAGTTGCGGCGTTTCTGTCTGCTATCGTGCCCAACCTCCGAGAAATGTCATCTTGGACAGGAGAGGTGATGTGCACTGCTGGGAGCGTTCAAGAGTATCGAAAACGGTGGGACGATGTAGCAGAGTTGGTCCCTGTATTTGCAGAGGTGCGAAGGCAGGAAAGGGAAGCCTGCATGCACTCACTGAAGAGTGAAGTAGTGCGTAAATAATCTCCTTGTGGACCACGTCGCTGCTGGGATTCCATGGTCCAGACGGCATAAGATGCTGCACTTCTTGGGTTCTTCTATTCATCCCGGAGTGCAATTTTGGGCATCTGGTCCAGATGCGCAGGACTGTATCATCTCATCTTTCTATATCATAGTATGTAACGCGGAACTTTCTTCGATACAATTGCTGTTGTACGTTATTCCAGCACTTACCCCAAGCTTACAATTTTTATACGTTTATGTATGTACTTTCACATATGTACCGAAAGTACTGGTAGACTTCAAACAAAGCGCCGATCGATATGAATATTTTAATGGTCGTCAGATATATAAAAGTTTAATTTTTGGTTTTGGAAGGTTATCGAAGGGACGGGAAAATCGATTAGGTAGTGCAATCACACGTGGCCATCTATTCAGACAGGACGCGCGTCGCTTCCTCGCCACTACAAAAGCTGACCTTGTACTTTAACATTGTTAACTCTCTCCTTGCTAGACTATCATAATGGCTGACCCCAGCGGTGCTGCACCACAACCAGGTCCAAATGACACTTCTACTGCAATTCTGCGGCCAAAGAAATCGTATGTTTACAATAGACATCTCCCATGACATACTCATCTGAGATCTACAGGCCAAATCGTCTTATTGTCGACGAGGCTACTTCAGATGATAACTCCGGTATATATGTATGAATAAATACTAATGGATATTTGCCTGATCTTTCATGGACAGTTGCAACTTTGAATCCTGCGACCATGGAGCTTCTCCAACTTTTCCGGGGCGACACTATCATCGTGAGGTATGCATCGTGAACTCTTTCCACAGCAAGTCATTCTAACTAACGTGACATGCAGGGGAAAGAAACGTCGCGACACCGTTCTCATTTGCCTGAGCTCCGATGATGTTGAAGAAGGTCGTATCCAGGTGAACAAGGTTGCCCGAAATAACTTGCGCGTGAAACTTGGCGATCTTGTCAACGTCCATCAATGTTTAGACATCAAATACGGCAAGCGGATACACGTCTTGCCATTCGACGATTCCATCGAAGGTCTCAGTGGTAACATCTTCGACGTCTACCTCAAACCCTACTTCCTCGAAGGTATGTATGCGTTGGTCGATAAATGTGGCCAATGAACTTATTCCGCCTAGCATACCGGCCAGTCCGTAAGGGTGACACATTCCTTGTTCGTGGCGGCATGCGGACAGTAGAATTTAAAGTCATCGAGACTGATCCCGCCGAATTTTGTATAGTGGCCCAGGACACTGTCATCCATACTGGTTTGTTTGATTGTGTGTCTTGTCAGCATGTGCGCTGAACATTCCACAGAGGGTGATCCTGTCAAGCGCGAAGACGAGGAAGCAAACCTCGCAGATGTTGGCTACGATGATATCGGTGGTTGTCGGAAGCAGATGGCCCAGATTCGTGAACTCGTCGAGTTGCCATTACGTCACCCACAGCTCTTTAAGTCCATCGGTATCAAACCACCTCGTGGTATTCTGATGTTCGGTCCCCCTGGTACTGGAAAGACGTTGATGGCACGTGCGGTAGCCAACGAGACTGGCGCATTCTTCTTCTTGATCAACGGCCCGGAGATCATGAGCAAGATGGCCGGTGAGAGTGAAAGCAACCTACGGAAAGCTTTCGAGGAGGCCGAGAAAAACTCGCCTGCTATCATCTTCATTGATGAGATTGACTCCATCGCTCCTAAGCGTGAAAAAGTACGTGAGAATGAGTATTTATATTGTCGTCTCTGACGATATCATAGACGAACGGTGAAGTCGAGCGTCGCGTTGTATCGCAACTGCTCACTCTTATGGACGGTTTGAAGGCTCGGTCCAATGTTGTTGTCATGGCTGCTACCAACCGGCCAAATTCCATTGACCCTGCCCTTCGTCGCTTTGGTCGTTTCGACCGTGAAGTCGACATCGGTATTCCAGACCCTACTGGTCGTCTGGAGATTCTTCGCATCCACACGAAGAACATGAAGTTGGGCGATGACGTCGATCTCGAGCAGGTAAAGCAACTGTGAACTAGTATGCCGTGCAATTCCTGATGCTCCTATTCAGATTGCCGCCGATACACATGGCTACGTTGGTTCCGACGTAGCTGCTCTTTGCTCGGAAGCTGCTATGCAGCAGATCCGTGAAAAGATGGATCTCATTGATCTTGACGAGGACACAATTGACGCCGAAGTGCTGGATTCCCTTGGTGTCACTATGGATAACTTCCGCTTTGCCCTCGGTACCTCCAACCCATCCGCACTTCGCGAGACTGCTGTCGAAGTGCCCACAGTCACCTGGGACGACATTGGTGGTCTGGAAAAAGTCAAACTCGAGCTCCAGGAGACAGTGCAGTACCCTGTCGAGCATCCCGAGAAGTTCCTCAAATATGGTATGTCACCGTCGAAGGGTGTCTTGTTCTACGGCCCTCCGGGAACGGGTAAGACACTCCTTGCGAAAGCCATCGCGAACGAATGTCAAGCCAACTTCATCAGCATCAAGGGGCCTGAATTGCTCACGATGTGGTTTGGTGAATCAGAAGCCAATGTTCGTGATGTGTTCGACAAAGCCCGTGCTGCTGCACCTTGTGTCATGTTCTTTGATGAACTTGACTCCATCGCGAAGGCACGTGGCGGCTCATCGGGCGATGGGGGAGGTGCAGGGGACCGTGTTCTTAACCAGATATTGACGGAGATGGACGGTATGAACGCCAAGAAAAACGTTTTCATTATTGGTGCCACCAACCGTCCTGATCAAATCGACTCTGCCCTACTCCGTCCCGGACGTCTTGACCAGCTTATTTACATTCCCTTACCTGATGAAGTCTCTCGCTTGGCTATTCTGAAGGCAGCCCTGAAGAAATCCCCCATTGGCCAAGATGTGGACCTTGGGTTTTTGGCGAAGCAAACTCATGGCTTCTCTGGTGCTGATCTCACTGAGATTTGTCAGCGTGCCGCAAAGCTGGCCATTCGTGAAAGCATTGAGTCTGATATCAGGAGACAGCGTGAGCAGAAGGAGAAGGAGGAATCCGAGGACGCCAAGATGGAGGAAGATGAGGAAGACCCTGTTCCTGAAATCACAAAAGAGCACTTCGAGGAAGCGATGAAGTATGCTCGTCGGTCGGTGTCAGACCAAGACATCAGGCGGTACGAGATGTTCTCCCAGGTATGATCTCTCACTCGCTATACATCAATCGGCTAATCTATCTCTCCAGAATCTGCAACAATCACGTGGATTTGGTAACAACTTCCGATTCCCAGAAGAAGCCTCTGCAGGCGGCGCTCCATCAGCGCCCGCTGGCAACGCTGGTTTCGCAGATGACTCGCAGGATGATGACTTGTACGCGTAGGGAATGTTTCACATGTCTGTTTTCAATAAATCATAGACTGCTCATCCATCCACTTTGTATATTATGAGAGGAGTAATATTGAAACTTTGGACTTCTGTACTGTAGATTGGCTTCTGAGCGCGGAGTCGCTGATTTGGCGATGAGAAAACACCACATGAAATATGAAATATTGCGAGATGTTTCTTGACAGTACAGTACTTATTCGGCCTGGTTATGATTGCTGAGAAACGTTATCCCGACGCCTGAGTACTATTTGCATTGCGATGAAACATGAACACCCAATTGCAGCCATGATCTGTATTGGCTGAGCGGTATTCATCGACAAGATATGGTACATCTCACCCCATTGAAAACTGCGCCGCGCCACCAAATGTAATCATTTGTTAATAATGCTCCTGATATCGGTGGGCCTGAATTGTACATCTTGAATCAGCAAAATGAGTATCACTCATGGGATGTCTATGCACCTATCAACCCTCCGAGAGCTAAAGTTCATATTAGCACAGGATCAAGCTGAAAGCACTCTAGTATTTACCCATAAAGGCATAGGAAATGCCCATGCGGGCACTGTGAACAGTCTTACATTTCGTTGCAAACGTGCTTTCAGGAACAGGCGTACCCTAGGTCAGATGGGTCTGGCGATAAGACAGCCAGAATTGGTGCCCATAACGCTTGAACTATAGAGAAAAGCGGTGAGCGGGTATGATTAGCCAGGATGTGCCGACTTACAAATTCCAGCGCTGTACCCATAAAGAATACCAATTACCACCACACTGGCTAGGGTGCGTAATCCGATCAAAGAAAAAAGTAAGACAGTACCGGCAAATGTTGAAACCGTCAAGACTCTCGGGACACCAAAGCATTCAACGAGCAAGCCACTTGTTAGCTGTCCCACGAAACTCGATGTGTTCATGATTACAAGCTGACAGGATCAATACATCTCCAAAAATGTGGATTATTGAACTCAACTGAATAAAAAGAGAATGTTTTGCTGAGACCATGCGTAGCCGAGTCGAGCTGGAGGTAGAATAAGGGGTAATAGAATCCAACAGCAAAAATGGTTAAGCTAATCAAAATAAAATGAGTCTACCCCTTAATTAATCTGCGCGAACGTACCCCGCAGTCCCATATATATATGGGGGGTCATGAGCACATTTCTTTGCGGATGCAAGAAATGTTGTTGATGCCTTAGACGGGGGGAACCTAGGCTTGATGAGGAGACATGCTATGAACAGCAAACCGCTGATGAGGGCAGCGCTAGCCCTAACTCCATTTGCAAATCCCAAGCGGCCATTCAAGGTATTGTTTAACATGATCGGATGCACCACAGCGCCTAAGCAAGCTCCTGAAGCAACGAAGGTCATCACCAATTCGCGTCGTTTGCGAAAATACTGCGAGACAACAGCCATGCTGGGGATATAAAGCAAACCGCCAGCACAGCCTGACCCGATGCCCTGCGAGAGGAATACCTATCACTATAGTCAGTAACTGATCCGTAAGATGAGTAATATGTGCTTGCTTGGTAGTACTGATCAGGTTTGGCAAGTGAAAGCATGAAAAGCGAGATTACTTGAAGGAGAGATGCGCCTATAACCAATTGACGACTTCCGACATTTCATACTTATGACTACCGTGTGAAGACTACGTTGCAGATTTGACTTACACATATCCTCGATCATAAAGCTGTCCACTTATCAAGCCACAGATTTCGAAAAGAAAGGCGTTCACACTGCCGATCCAGCTAGAAGCAAATCAAAGGAGAAGCGTGGGTGCGGGGGGAGTACGACGCACGCAATTGTTGAGGGAGACTGGTTCGTTAAATAAGTCTGACCATAGAAATCTTTAAATCAGAATTATGCCCTTGGAAAGCTAGCTCCTTTTGAGAACATTAAATCTTACCTTGATAAACACCAAACGAAATAGTGTATCTGAAAACGTTCGACAGAACTGCCTCGTGAGATTAGCTTTAAAACTGACCCGTACGTGCAAAATTGCACAAGAAAGCTATGGGAAAGGGAGATTGTCATAAGCGTTGCTGCGGTAATGAGTAGCCATCTTACCCTCCGAATGCAGTAGCCCAAGCTCTGAATCCACCTTCTGGAAAATAGTCAGGTGGGCACTCCTCTAGGCTGAGGGGCTGTTTAGAATGATCCTGACCCCCGGTTGTGATGACGGGTAAGTCTATGTGACCCATTTGGCACTTGAGATGACAAAACACAGTGGATAAACGTTTATCAACGCGTATCAATGTGTCCGCTGCCCGGTTTAACTCGAAGTTGTCGAGCAATTTGGGGAACCAAAACGGCGAAGTGAGTCTTGCCACCGGCTCCGGTTATGTCGTAATAGGCGCGTGACTTGATCAACCTCGCAAAAGCTTACATAACTTCGAATACTTATTCTTTTATGTTGCATCTGCAAGGTATATGTACATACATATACGTCACAGTGTCTTGGTGCGTTCAAGTGAAGGCCCTTTTGGACATAAGTCCTCAAAGGTGATTGGTACTGTCCAATCACAACAGTGACTGGGCTGCTAGCCGCAACCATCGGATTCACTGCGGCAGCACACGTTATCTGGATTCTACTGGTGCCGCTGCACCTAATGAAGGTGTGTATGACTCCAGTATTTCAATTTAAACTTACATTGGACGCGGAGCTGATTTGCTGAAATGGCCGCGGGCCAAATGAACACCACGAACGACGTCACGTCACATTGTTGAGGGCCTCATTATCCCGTCCACCGGAACCTAACTCATCATCTGTAAATTTGTTAGGATGGGACAGCGATAGCCCTATCGGGGTTTCTAAGTTTTTCCGACATTTCCTTGCATTCTCTCCACAGGAAACTTCGTTTTGGTAGCTTGACTTGCCATGATCGTTTCCCGCAAGCTCCGTTATTATGAGACAACCGGTAAACATATCGCAATCACATTCATGCAGTGATCATGTTAAAAGTCGCTACAAGTGCACCTCAAGCCCCATCAAGCTTCACTCTGTCCGACCATGCTACGGCTGACCGACTTGCAGTTGTCTAGTCACGCTCAACTTTTCGTTGCCGCAACTTGTTTGGGTGTAACAGCCTTGATTTATTATGCCTACCTTGCTAGCACAGAGAGTAGCTTCTCCTATCCTCCGTCTCCTCCCACGTGGAGACTTCGAGGCCACCTCATACCCCCTCGCAAGTGAGTGTCGATCTCACTGCAATCTTCATAGTTTCACATTGTTATCTAGTGGATTTATGACAGTAGAATCATGGATTGAAGAACATGGTCCTCTCATCACCCTACGCGCAGGAATCAAGAAGCACGTTGTTATCGGTCGATATAAAGTATATTCCACTGTGGGCACCGGGTTCTGAATGCTTACACGTATACGTTGTAGGCTGCAGTAGAAATTATGGAGAGACATGGCGCATCGCTGGTCGACCGACCTCGTTTCATTGCTGCAGGAGAGTTGCTTTCCGGGGGGATGTTAATTCCATTTATTCGCGCTGGCGAGAGGTTCCGTCGGCTGCGCAGGCTCGTCTTTTGCTATAATGCGGAAATACCAATCTAATGGCTCTCTCTCTGCTCTTTACTATAGAGCGATACACACGCATCTACAGCCAAAAGTAGCTGAGGCATATCAACCGCTCCAGATCTCATACGCAAAGAACACTGTCATCGGCATCCTTAATGATCCACACAATTTCCAGGATCATGCGCGAACGTAGGTTCCAGGTCATATAGCGTGGCATCGCTGACCAACGGACTGAAGTTACGCAGCAGCAACGAGCATGAAGGTTGCATATGGGAAGACCACACCTACATCTGCGACAGATCCCGAAGTGAAAAGGGTCGCTAAGTTTGCCGAAAAATTCCGTACTGTATTGCATCCTGGCGCGTACCTTGTGGATTCGATTCCGTGGCTGAAATATCTTCCTTGGTATGCACGAGACCTACGTGACGGCTGTCGAGACTCGCAGGAGCTCTTCGTCGAGCTATTCGATCGTCTGAAACAGGAGATAGTAAGTATCTATAATCCAATCCAACGATATGCTAGAATGCTCGGTAACAGGGAGGTGATGAAGCTGGTCCTTCGCTCGGAAGATATCTCTGGGAAAAGAGAAATTCTAACGAAATGCCCGAGCTAGAAATGGCTTGCCTTGCTGGTACTGTCTTTGCAGCTGGATACGACACGGTGAGCTCATGCATCACCGCTTTTGAATTTAGCAAGACTCAGGTTTTGTAGACTACTCTCGCGATATGCACAATCCTATTGGCAGCTGCCTGTTTCCCCGAGGAACAACGTAAAGTTCATGAAGAACTGGATGCGGTTATCGGGATCAACAGAGGTAAGTTGATCGTGTGTGTTATTGGAGCATCTATTCATGAGCTGACTCACCCTAGTACCCGCATTTACCGACAAGAAATCACTTCCTCGCCTTTGTGCCTTCGTTTCGGAGGCCCTGCGATGGAGGCCGTTGATACCTATGGGTAATCATATCCCTTCCTTCTAGCTGATGCCTATAGCTGACCTGCATGAAGGTCTACCACACCGCACGACACAAGTGGTTGTTTTTGTGAGCACCCTTCGTCGTTCTGTGGAAGTCGGATCTGACGGTATAAACAGGAAAATTATCGTATTCCAGCCGGGACAACGGTATCTGGCAATCACTGGTCAGAGCGTTCCTTTTGAGTATGACTGATCTAATAGCCATCCCAGGGCCATCTCTCGTGATCCAGATGTCTTCCCTGACCCTCACGCATTCAAGCCTGATCGTTGGCTTGATGCCGAAGGGTGCATGAGAGATGACCTCAAGTTCTTTGGATTCGGCTTTGGTCGGCGGTGGGTGCCTTCTTTGTGCGGTTGGTCATGTCCTCATCCTCTTTACTTCTAGAGTGTGTCCCGGACAACATGTTGCAAATAGGTAAGGTCACACAGTTCATCCATATGCCCATGTGTCCCAATAAATATACGGCATAGCTCGGCGTTCATAAATGCGGTTCTTGTCCTTTGGGCCTTCCGGCTCACGTTGGATTCACACAAAGCCGTTGGATGATATGGCTTTCATGAATGGCAACTTCCAGAACGAGCAGCCATGTACGATTGATTTTCAGACGAGAATTCCGGAAGCTGAGCTCAGGCGTATGATGGGGAGGGACGTCGAGGACTTTTGAGGAATCATGTACCTGTGGTCCGGGCGTTCTAATTTCACTAGACTCACAGCCAGTCTGCCGTGTGGCCCCGTGCCAGGCTGGTAATGGACAACAACAGATGCTACCGCTTTCGCCTCGAAGTACATAGTTATTTCACTATGTAAAAAATCAGTAGTCTTGTAAAACCTTTCTTGCAACTCAGTTATGCTGTACACAATGATGAGGACGTCTGGGAAATGGAAAGTCTAGGTCTAGGACTATCGCCAGTTGGGGGTGGGGGGTTTCGGGTGTTGTCTGGTTCGGCTTTTGCCGGTCAATGCAGACAGAGATACTCACCGGGTCGACGAGAGAGGAGTGAGGTTTTCGTCAAAAGCGAGCAAGAGAAGAATAGACCAGGCTAAAGGATACAGCCGGAAACCCTCAAATGTGAAGCATAGGTTTTCTGAAACACGACGTCACAACCCAAAAACGCTGCTATAGAGATGTGGTGGGTGGGTGAGAAATCTGTGGAGCGAACGACGCCGTTTATGTAACAAAACGCGTCTTGTTCGCTCGCTTAGTAAGCACTTGTTGGAGCTAAATATTGATGTTCGCAGGCTCGCGTATGGCTCGCGTATAGCTCTAACTTACTGCACCTAGACTAGACCTGGACTTGGACATCCTCGAAAGTAGCTAGCTTGACCGCATTCGTTAAAAATAAAGGCGGACAAGTGAGAAGATAGCTGCAATTACCTGGCGAATGCGTGGAGCGTCTTGAAGTCTTTTTTGATCTTGTGTATTCGCCACGAGGATTCAGGCGTGAGTGCGCCTGGCCAGACCGCCGGTGGCCAATGATCTAGATAGAAGTTCAAGGTCTGGCCAGCGCTCTCCATTTTCTTCGGTTCCCCCTTGTCGCGAATTAGCAACATGCATCTCAATATTGAGATGACAACAGTCAATGCCTCATCGATCCGCGATGTCATTGGTGCACTACAAAACATTGTGAGTGCCGAGTCATAGCCTAAGGTATATGGAGATAACCGTCGATTTAGTTGGCACATTCACGAGTGATCGTATGTTGATTTCAACGATGCCTTCAAGTTGATATGTTGTATTGACGATGACTACTGCAGATTCCAGATCTAGAAACCCCGTACTCCCTATTTCCCAATATCGACCACTCTGCCATCGGGCGTGGTGACAAGAGCATCAGCGCTATCATCACCGAACGCCAGCAGCAATTGGATGCAGTTGTGCAAGAAATCTCAGGGCTGGAAAGCGTCATGGATAGAATGAGGAACCTTCACCAGCAGCTCCTCAAAAAGAAGGACGAAATCATCCAGTCCATGAACTTGCATAGGGGACTTTTATCGGCTCTCTGGCGCTTGCCATCTGAGATATTATCCCTTATTTTTGTTCGCTGTCTCCCGGAAACCGAACACTTGTTGCCCTCGCCAACATTGGCTCCCGTGCTATTGACCAGAATATGCCGAAGGTGGAGGGATGTTGCTATAGGGATGTCCAGTTTATGGTGCGGAGCACTGATTGTGGACAACAGTCACAAAGAGTGGCAGCGGGCAGCCTTCTGCTATAACACATGGTTCGAGCGATCGCGAGATCTTCCACTCTCATTAGTACTCAAGTGCTTCAAAAATTACACGACCCACCTACGAAGCCTTCTTGAGCCTCGCATGAGCAAAATCTCGTCTCTTCATATCATAATATTCCTCAACCCCTTCGATGCCGATCTTCTGTTAAATGACCTCCTGGTACTGCAGGAGCTTACCATAACCACATCTGATCCTTTGTGGTGCACCCCAAGATTCGCACAATCCATCTCGGGACTACCGTCCACCTTGCGCAGGCTCAGGGTAGCCGGGCCGTCCGCATTCGACTTTGACCGCATCACTTCTTGTAATCCCGTATGGGCCCACTTGACACATGTCGAGATCGCCATTTGTCAGCCCAATCTGATCCTCCAGTTGCTCCAGCTAGGTCCCAACCTCTCCTCGCTAGAGATTGGCCTAGGCTTCTACGACGAAGTTCCATTAACGTTTGAGCCATTCATGCATGCGAACCTTCAATTCTTCCGCATCAGTAATGCATCCCCGATGCGCATGGGAAATTTGTTCCCTGACTTGTTCAACGCACTCACACTCCCCAATTTACGCATACTTGAGGCTCGCTATATACGACCGTGGCCACATGAGGAGCTGAAGACATTTTTGGCACGGTCAAGTTGCCCTCTGGAGAGCCTAATTTTCGGCACTGGAGTTACGACGACAGATGAGCAGCGAGGGGAATACATTGTTCTTGTTCCTTTCCTTGACGTAGTAGTGGACCACAGGCGTAGTGGTTACTTTGGATATCGCCGCTTGAGATAACATTATGACATTGGCGCGAAACACACGACCTCGTGTTGTAGAGTAGTCATGCAGGCCTAGCTACCAGTAGTTGTTACAGAGTAACTTCGGACATTGGTGTTTGTATGTGGCATTCATCACTAGCCTGATGTTGAGGTGTTGGGTCTCCGAAGCTAGTAGTTGAGGTCATACCGTTTCCGAGTCAGTCTGCCAGAAACAGGCCAGTCACTGCGGCTCCAGCGCCAAGTATTCAAGATAAATCAATCTACTATGCATATACTAAGCTCCAGCCCAGTCGAAGCATACGGAAATCAGCCCTTCACTTGACCATCTTCCGAGACAGCCTTCATAACGCGCCACGTGTCATCCCCAGGGTCGCATTTCCTCAGGTTGTCATAGTCGTACCAAACAAGCACGCTATCCGAGTCCGCCACGATCGCTTGCTGCGCATACGAATAAAGCGCAGCGTTGAGAGTGAAATGCGTGCGGCTCGAAGAGATGATTGGCTTGTGACCAATCAAAAGCTACCCATAGTCATAAAAAGACATCTCTAAACAAATTTCAAGGAAATCTCACGGTGTCAGGAAATGTTACAGGTCTTCTATAATTGACGTTCGTTGATTTGAGTATGAGTGAGACGCCTTGACCTGCGAGCATTGCCTTGACACGTTCTTCACCTCCAAGAACTTTCCCGAGGGCCATTAGCCACACCATGCGACCCTAGCCAAGCTTTAGTGCATACGACGTTGACAACAACTTAAGCATGCTAACCGATTCAATGAATCGCACTGCATATTGACAGTGGCAGATTTGTGAGCGACTCTTATAGTCCCTGTTCAAAGAAAATCGGAACCCTTACGGTAGTGTGCATTGTTAACGTGTCTATGATAAGAAAGACAATGAGCCCATCCTTTGACGTCTATGAGGTGCTTACCGAAATGAATCATGGTGCCCCCATACAATACTTTGCTCCCATAATGACCCTGCATCATAACCCATAGAAAGCAGTTTAGCTCTCCCATTCTCTGCCAACGAGCCAACTACAGTGGGGTTGCTGGACTGAGATGGAGTGGGGTCTGGGGGTGCGGGAGGAGAATCTGGAGATTCAGGACCTGCCTGTCCTGGTGCGATATGAAATGGCGACGATGGGTCCTTGAAAGCATCTTGAAGGGACTATAGCAAGCAGAGTTTCAGACTCACACGAGGACGACCGTGTTGTTTTAATCACCTTAATTGATGAGCCACTCAATGATGCTGTCTGTGGCAAAGAACACGGTCGTCTAGAGCGCAGCAGAACGCGTGCATGTGTCAATGCCGCGAGTCCTTTCGAAGAGAACATAACTTGAAGTACCAGTGCCTGAGAGTGCCTGAGTGCCGGCGCAAGAAGAATACAAACAGATTTCCTTTTCGGGCAGATCACTTCATTAGCAGAATGGCAGTCTGGTCCATACTCACTTTTTTCAATCATCACATTTTCTGAATCGTATGGATCCCTGCTGATCGATAGTTTTGTTGTCAACTAGTGCTATATCTTTTTCTGTGGTTTTCCGAGGTTACTCTCAACTTGAAACACAGCCCTCGGCCATCCGAGGCTCATCGAAGCCAAGTTCAAGTTGGTGACTCCAGACCGCACTCATGAACTAGTGTATCCGAACTTCGAGCGATATTGAAACTCTGCGCCTGGACCCATTCTACTTTTTTTTTGGCATCAGATTGAGTCCTTTGGGGTCGTAAACCCTATGTTGGACACATGCCGCTTTTCCCTCGTATATGTTTTGGTGGTATGGCACTATCAATCTATGTTTTCGAACGCGTAAATCCATTCTACTTATTTATTCTGCAGCCCACCACCAGCTGATGGTATTGCGCCCATCGATATTCCTACATTCACATGCCAATTTCCAATTGCTCTGGTTCGTCGAAATTCGGTCGAATTGGTGAGCTGGATCAGTGGCAATTGTTCTAGCATTTTCCCATCCAAGTTCCACACTTTCATGACTTGTTCTGCATATGAGGGCTGCAATGAATCAGCGAGCTTCTCGAAAACATTCATTGGACAGACTCAGATATCATGCGATGCGCGATAACGATGTTTTAATCGATAACGCTGTACAAAGCTGCACACAGAATTAAGTTAAAAGCTCGTGTCCTGTGCTTTTCCTCAGACCTCTTGTCTGACCAAATCCTCATAGTATCGGTAATACAGTCCTACTTTCTCATTTATGAAAGGTTACTGACGATAGTTTGTAGCGGTAGCCTTCAGACGCCAAATGCACAAATGCCTTCAGATCGCAGAGCTGTTCGATGTTATTTGCAAACGAGTTCTTGCGACTGGGCATCAAGGATCCCTCGCAGCCCTCTGTAGAACTTGTCGCCTCTTTCATGAACCTGCTCTCGATGTACTTTATAAGTCACTGGAAAGTCTCCGCCCATTGCTTTTCTGCATCCCTGAAATAGTCACCATCGGAAATAAGATTGTGAGTGCCGATCCACGATAGTTCGCGACAGTATGCTGAAATCAGATATATGTAGACTATGTTCAAAGAGTTACGCTTTTCAGACTGGCAGCGAATGCAGTACTACGCCAAAAGAGTTCATTCGCTCAGGGTCAATGACCAAGAAGAGGTAGTCATCGACAAGACCATCCTACATGCACTAGCTACTTCACCCTTCACACCCCCAATGTTTACTCATCTCAAACGACTTTGGTGGTCAAATAATTCTGCAGATGCTTTACCACTCTTATGCTCTCTAGTCAACGCCAGATTGGAATGGCTAATTTTGCACGATCTGGATCCAGTGCTTCTTCCGCGTGTTGTCCCCCACATCATCTCCAGTAATTCTCTCCACGTCGCGTGTTTCCCCGAGAAATATAGTATGAGGCACATACGTCCTGACGTGTTCCAGAGCTGGCGCAACTTACAGAATCTTGTCTGCGGTCTAGTCAATGATGCAACGCTCTATCATCTCGCAACATCTTCTAAGCTTACGCATCTCACCATTCAAGTCGACGAGAAGAACAACTACAGTGCCCTCATGAAACTGGCTGGCCAACCAGTGTTTACCGCCCTTGAGGGGCTCGACATCACCGCGACTCATACCTTGCATTGCATCCCTATCCTTGAAATCGCAGAGCTACCATCGCTACGCTCCCTCCGTATTCATTCAACAGAAACGGGCTTAACAGATGTTGAGCTGCATCAGTGTTTCTGCCTAATCTCACGTCACTGTCCAAATCTGAGGCATTTACGGATGAAAGATTTGCAGGTATCTCCGCCGAAATTCCCTGTTGGCTACATCATCACGTTTGATATCCTGAAGACGCTCTTCTCCCTGCGCTATATGGAGGGCCTACATCTCGACACAACTTGCACGTTTTCCCTCGATGACAATGAGCTTGCGCAGCTGGCTGGCACGTGGCTGAAACTGCGTGCACTTGAACTGGGGACTGAGAATGGCTGGCGGCAGCCAAGCAAAATTACTCTGCAAGGGTTTGCAGAGTTGTTGCGGCGTTGCCCGGTGCTATTGGTAGTCGGTCTTGCTATGAACGCCTGGGCACCAGATATCGACCATCGACGACCTGGAGGAGGGATCCGCAGAAACGGTCTGGAAGTTCTACGAGTGGCTGATTCCAAGGTTACGGACCCATTGTCCGTCGCAGCGTTCTTGTCGGATGTTGCACCGAACGCTGAGATAACGGGCTACGAGGTCGGGTTTGAGATCGGGTTTGACATGTATGGGACGTTCAACACTCGGATGTTGTATCGGGAGAGATGGGAGGAGGTTTCCATGTTGCACCCTCTGCTTGTCAACTTGAGGAGACAAGAAGTTGTAGGTTTGGAATCGGACGAGTACTCGAGAGACTGAGAGTAGGAGTGAAACATCACTAGACCTGTGATAGCTTGTAAGTGACACAGTCCATGGAGCGATGTTACGTTTGTCACCTTTGTACATATACATACGGAACCTGGCCTCGGAGTTTGACGTTGGACAAGAGTTTGTGTCCCAATGCTCGGTGCTGAGATTAAACGAACCTGGCACGAAAATGATGCCTCTGTTATGCTGGTAAATTCAAGAATGTCACATTGACGCTCGAAGTTTTCCAGGGGGCTGAAGTGGAGCCTTCTGATTAGTGCCAGTGGAAAGGACTGAGGCGGTATGTCCCTCAAAGAAGCAGCGATATGAGTGAATCAGAGCAATTTAAACTTCAAATTTCAACGTTAAATGATCAGATGCCAGTCCCAGGGAAATCGACATTCTTTACATACGTCTTGTATTAAGCAGAGTGCACTCAAATTCGTTCATCTCCAGGTCCCCGGGCCATTATTCTTATCATCAAATCCAAGCAAGACACGCAGCTCTCGTTGCAGTGCTTAAATTTCGACTGCCCCAGCCTGAGGGTTTCAGTACCTATAACGACGTGTCACTGATAAATGGGATCACAACGCAATTTTTCCTTACCGTGAAGTTTGTTTGCGTTAAACAACCATCAGCTTCGATATTGAATGGTTTGGACCTACAGGCTGAGAGATTTGGCTTAGAACCCAGCAAGGGTTTTGGAGAGTGTTCGATTCAGGCTGGAAGAACGGTTTGTCTTATAGGCTGTGCGGAAAACTCGGTGTGTTGAAAGCATATTATGTAATATTACTTGTAAGTTGGCTTAGCCGCTTACTGCTTAATAAGCCAATGATCAGTTGCTGCAAAGCCGACCCGTGACAGCTCCACTTCCACCGTATTATGATCATGTGACTGGTATTTTCGCCTCTCTGACACGTGAGGTAGATATTCTAGTATCATGATGTTGAAGTCATTCGAGCGTCCCTTACAATGCGCATGAAGATTTCAAAGACTGACCGCTGCTGGCGGCGGCTCTCCGCCGGACAAAGCCTCACTTGGCAAAGAGAAATGATTGATGACTAATCAACACAAGCATACGCACTCTATGAGTAGTGTTCGAACTTCGGACGTAGATTCTCTCCGACAACAGTACTATGTATGATGGTCCCATCAATTTCAATGCACCCATGTCTACTGGTTTCAGAGATCCTTGTCAACATATTTGCAGAGGTCAACGAGCGCGACGAAGAGGAGGCAGCTAGGACTTTGGCCGCCCTCTGTCGCACATGCCGCGCATTTCGGGAGCCTGCGATGAAAGTCCTATGGGCACACCTTGGAACTCTAGTCCCTTTAATCAGATGTATCCCTTGCGTCAAGATTGTCAAGAGTAAAGGAAAACCACAGGATGATCTCCCGACTTTGGTGAGTCTGCAAAGTTCACTGACCTCGCTGGGCGTCATCTGAGTATTGCCCGCAGGTCCTTGAAAGAGAGATGTCCTCTACAGATTGGGAGATATTCCTTTCACACTCGCGTCTTGTACTCACTTGCGGTTATTATGTTTCAAGAAGAGACAAACATCCCGTCCTTAACTCCCCCTCACACGACATCGGCGTAGACATCTTGCGTGCACTATCATCACCTCCACCTTCCTCCATTGTTTTCCCTCACCTGAGGAAGATCAGATGGACTGACTCGCGGAAAGATTCCATTCGATTTTTTCGCCTAATACTGACACCTGCTCTCGAATTCCTTGATATGTCATCTATAACTGACCCAGTCTATTCTGTCGTAATCCCTTCTATCAACGATGCCTGCCCGTCCCTAAGGATCATGCATCTTCCCAAATGGCCCTTTCTTCATCTCCCTGACATGTTCGACAAATGGCCGAATCTTGCCTATGTGACCTCCGGGCCCCTTGCGGATGCTACTATCCAATCACTTGGTCGGCTAGCGCATCTTGCAAGTATGGATATTTGTCTCCACAAGTTGCATGACATAAAGTCGCTCGTCGAGAATCCCGGGTTTTCTACCCTGCGCCGGCTGGTGCTTCGTGCATACAACATCAACCTTGCCACGGCTTTTATGCGGCAAGTCAAATCTACTCATCTCCGCGAAGTGAAGTGTTACCTACCACATGGAACAACTGCAACGGGTATACAGGAATGGATAACAATTCTTCTGGATCGGTGCATACCAAGAAGACTAGAAATTCTGGAGATCGAAGACTACGCTGACGCTGGCGCAGACTTCCCCGCTCAATTCACGCTCACCCCTGACATACTTAAGCTCTTGTCTCGCTTTCGCGGACTCACAACACTGGATCTCGCTACTGCATGCACATATTCGTTGGACGATACCGCCTTAACGCAGCTGGCGATTTGTTGGCCCAGTATGCAAAGTATTGCGCTGGGAACCCATTGGGGTTGGAGGCAACATAGTGATGTCACCCTGAAAGGTCTTCTGTCTTTAGTGCGACAGTGTCCTCAGCTAGAAAGTATCGGCCTCGTTATGAACGCTATAACTACAGATATCACATCTCAGAGGCCTGGGGGCGGCATTCGAAGGCCCAAAGTCACCAGTCTAAACGTAGGAGACTCGAGAGTTGGTGACCCGCTCGCAGTTGCTGCATTTCTATCAGGACGTTTTCCCACGTTTATTATCAGTTGACGCGTTTAATCATTTGGGGGGCAGGCGGAGACCCATACCTGCTGCGAAGGAGCATGAAGACAAGTGGAAAGAAGTGGAAAAGCTTTTACCTGCATTCTCCAAAGTTCGCGCCCAGGAGCACCCTCCTGTGGGACCAAGAAGGAAAGCCTTCTTTCTCGAGGAACTCTATCTTGCTTGAAGAAACTTTTTGTGTAATAAATAAAGATTGCGGAGTATCTATGAAGTAAAGGTATGTAATACGTGATAGTAAGCAACTATGTTCTGACTGGCCACCAGTGACGAGTGCCTGTTCTTTAGCGCATGCACATATGCACGCGTGTAACTGTTCCGTACACCTGGGACACGTTCGATGGACAGATACGTGAACATATTTATTTCGAATATGTCCCCCAATTTGAGCAGCATCTATTGCGCAATGCGGACTCAGGCTCTTATTTGGTTCAGGTGTTAGCGTATGCACATATATGCACGTGTGTAATTAATTACTCATCCTCGTGCTGGCAGCTGTTTTTATTGTATTTTACGCGAACCACATCACCCTTTTTGATTGGACGCCATGTGATCGCCTCTTCGACGTACTGAGTCTATATACGCGACCTTCCTATTTCAGTACGCACATTGCTTCTGATCTATTCCTGTTCGGTGATGCACTGTTCGTTCGAAGGGGCTGCACATTTGCAAACTCATGCCCAAGGCAGTACTTTTCCACGATCTTGTTGTTGTACTCTTCAGATGCTAAGCTGTGGTAAACCATATGCATCATGATTACGGCGAGTGCCAGGTAAGCGATAATTCGTTGGCTTCGGGCTACCTGTGACGATCTGTTTAGATCGTCGGTGCATCTACATCAGAATACCACGGATCCATGACATTGAGGTCATATGCGTTTCAACACGCGTGGTCGCATCACAAGCTCGTTACTATGCCGTTCAAGCGTTCAAGAAAGCGAAAACAGCCCGATTTACTACGGGAACCTTGTGCTTACGGGACTCTATTTCTGGATGGTATACTAGTAGTATGTATATAAACACGAGGCAGTTGTGCTACTAGTGCTAGTATTCCAACACCAGGTCAACCTGTTCTAGTCGAGGCAAAGCTGCTATGGCGTCCATTGCCGCTGTCATCCTGTTTGCCACCGCTGTCCAGGCATTTCCGTCTCTCAGCACGCGACAGAGTATCACTGCTCTGGCGACATCTCAGATCGACCAATTCACTCCGTATACCTATTACGCTAGCGCAGGGTACTGCACAAACACGCAGACGCTCGCATGGGATTGTGGCAGTGAGTGATCACAGCCCACTGGAACGTGTTACTCTCTGATGACTCTGATGAATGATCTTCGTACAGCCAACTGTGATGCTAATCCGGGATTCAAACCGGTTGCCTCCGGAGGTAACGGTGACTCGGTTCAGTACTGTGAGTATCATCGAGTTAAGCGTTCTGTTGAGATGTAATCTCGATGACCGAAACAAACAGGGTTCGTCGGATATGACCCAAATTTGGATACGGTGATCGTCTCTCACCAGGGCACTAACCCCTCAGAAATGTGAGCCACGTCTTCTAGCTCCCTGAAAGTCTGTACTGATGTACGCTCGCCAGTCTGCCTCTTGTCACGGATGCCGACTTCTTTTTGACCACCCTGGATTCGACATTGTTTCCGGGTATTAGTTCAGATATTGAAGTTCACAACGGCTTCCAAGACGCTCAGACCAGGTATGTACATAATTCTGCATGATTGGCTATACTGGCACTGAGTTCGTAATTCCACAAAGTACTGCCACTGATGTCCTCGCCGCCGTCGAATCCGCCATGTCCACCTACGGCACCACGTCGGTCACTATGGTCGGTCACTCTCTTGGTATGGTGTATTTCTCGTGCTGGACTTGGCCTTATATTTATTAAATATTCACAGGTGCTGCGATCACCCTACTTGATTCTGTATATCTTCCCCTTTGGCTTCCTGCGGGAACGACATTCACTACCATTGGTTATGGCCTTCCTCGTGTACGATACCCCCCAGGTCTCATCACCGCTCAGCTAATATATATAATTCTTTTCAAACAGGTTGGGAATCAAGCATTTGCTGATTATGTTGACGCAAATCTCCATCTCACGCACATCAATAACGAAGAGGACCCAATACCCATCTGCCCCGGTATATTCTTAGACTTTGTACATCCTGCAGGCGAGGTGCACATCCAGGACTCCGGTGAATGGGCTTCTTGCCCCGGTGAGTTCGTGCATCATATGGTCTGATAAGGGAGTGCTAATAATTGGGCATTAGGGCAAGACAACCCAAGCACTCAGTGCATTGTTGGTGATGTACCCGAGATCTGGGATGGTACGTATTTGATAGCAGTACTGATTGTTTGTGTTGCTGATAGGCCGTGCAGGTGACGAGTCTGACCACGATGGGCCATATAATGGTGTCGAGATGAGATGCTGAACTGGCACGACTTCACCTGAAAATACCCCTTTTAACTCTATGTATTACTTGCATTCTCGGTATTGTACTTTTCTTTGGTGTCCGGAGTCCATTGGTTCATTAGAGTGCAATATATATATCGGCACTACACTCGATGCGATCTGATGCGCGACCATGCGGTTAGAAAATCGACCAGAGTGAAATGAGCCAATTTCGCACCATGTCAAGGGTCTTTGGAAAGTGCCATATGCATGAACACACGACTGACTGTGCGATAAATTAGGGAGTGCGAACAATGCATTAAAAATCGTATGTTAGTCACCTCATTTTAATTTGAGCACGTGGGTTCCAATGAGAGGGGACACCCCCATGCCCTAGATATACATAGGGCTGCTCAATTCTAAAAGTTCGTGTTCACTTGGGAGAACTGGGTATACCAATTGAAATCTATTTAAGTTTTCAGTGCGCCTCCGTAAATTAGTCCCAAGCCTAGAGAAGGCTGGATGTGTCTGATCAACAACAGTTATCATATGGACATGTTATGTCATACTATGATACGGGCATGGACAATATTCTGCTCCAGTAGGCAGTTAGTAACCGAGGACCGGGTGGTAGTGCCTGCACACACCCCACAGTTCTAAAACCAGTCCCAAGCTCATGGGCGGCTTGCAGGGAGTCGCCGCCACGAATCCCATAACGAGGGAAGAGACACGTATTGATAGCGTACAGGTCACTGCGGTTTCCTCCCCGTTGATTCAAAGAACACAGCCAATGTAGTAATGTACTGGTCAGAACAGAATATAAAATTAAGATATCCCCATAATCTTGCTTTTATCACTGTGCAAACGGGATATTGATCAACCGATCACCGTTGAACGTTGAACGTTCGAACTTTGAATGTTGATTTGAACGTTCTCCGGAACCTTGAGTGACGCGTTGAACGATGGGAGCGGATGACGCGTGATTTTCGAAAGGCACCGTTGTCCGGTTGAAAACGAGGAGTTGTAAGCGTCGGTAATCAGTATCGTAAGTGAACGCGAACCGAATGAATTGAGCTCTCACTGGAAAGAAATGGACAAAAATGAGGATCTGTTCGTGTATGATCACGTGCCTTGAGATCGGCCCCTTTCCTTTTTGAACTTTGAATCAACTTGCACCAGTACTGGTGACGGGCACTCGTAGAATGAGTCTAGGACAGTAGGGCCCTCCAGCTTAATTCTCAGAGGACCCGCAATCAATTTAAACATCGAGAAGTGACAGCTCCTATTACATGAAACAGAATCCTTAAACTTGTGTAGACGCTAAGTATCTTGATCAAATCTTCTGTTAGCCATGACACTGAGAAGGGGACTGATTCACTCGTGCATTGCCTCTTGGTACCATTCGCGAACGTGACTTCCACCGCATCTTCGCTTGCTCGAATTCAATGGCTTGATGGCCCCACTTGATCTCGACGCTATGCTTTTGGGCCGTGTCGATTAAAAGCTGTTGAAACTCTGGGTGCCGCACTCCAATATTGGGAAAGCCAAATCGTTCTCGCGTCGTCGCTGGAAATATCGTTAGTAGTAGTCCATCTTTCTTTTCAATAGGCTCACTGTTCTCTACGATGCCGCTGGTCTTGATAGGAATACGAGGCTGCGCTTTTATCGGCAACTTCCCTAACGCCCAGCTCTTGGTGTCCAAGAACTTCGTTCTCTAGATTTAAGCGGAATGTGGTGTATGCCAACTCGCGAAGGGTCATGCAAGCGATGTCGTTTGTGGCATATCACATGGTGAGTAGTAACTCGAGGGGTGTTGGCGGTAAGACCACATGATAGTGGCAAGAAGAGAAGGAACACGCGAGTAAGTATGTCGATATTGAGGCTTGCCAAAACTGATGACCGTTGAATTGGTCTCTGCTGACTGGTACTAGTTTCAAGTTTCAACTAATATTGATATTCGGTTCATCCATGACGAGACGGCGAGGGTCCAGGTGATGAACGTTCTAACATTTAGCAATGGTACTGGAGCAAATACTGTATTCAGCTTTCAACCATTAATAGGTAACATTAGGTCCTCACGAGATTTAGCCTAGCAGTCATTTGACACTTCCGTCGCGACCTGAAGCCGAATTGCTTGGATATGACAAAGGAGGAGAAAGAGAGCACCATCTATATCGTTGCAGCTCGGAACAGGTGTGTTCAATTGTGCTGGAACCGAGATGTATATGTGAGCGCTTGGGCGGCTGCTGACACCGCTTTCCTCTACCGATTAAAAAGAGCTCAGGCTTGCGAAGTAAGGCGACCAGATCTATGAAACCATCGCATTCACTCAAAGACATTACTATGTGGAGAACCGGAGGAAACGAGAAAGCTGTCAGGGATTTGGGATATGCGGGGAGCAGTACCAAACGAAGTGGACGAGGATGATGCCTTGAAAAGTCCGTGGCTGTGCCGCTTTATGTCATTTGAACAACAGTTATGTCGGTCATGTGGAATGGCAGGAGGGCACCAGACAGTGGGAGGGCGCAAGAAAGCGAGCGGCGGGTGGGATGAGACGGAAAGGATGTCAACGAGCGAAGGGGATGCATTAGCATGAAAAGTAAAGGGTGCTACAATTGCAGCAATGATGCATCGATGGAGCGCTACAGTTAGTAAGTTACAGTGTTTGGTGCATCAATATGGCACGAACCTATGAGCTTGGGATGGTGAACCAGCGCCGGACGATGAAAATGATGAGTACAAGGAGGGTTGAGATGAACCAGGGCCATAGGCTACGTTCGGGTTGTAGCGATAATATTGAGAATTATGGAAGGAGAGGGAATCGACTACATAAATGATGGTCAAATCTAGATTTAGTACAACATGAAGACCTACAATCAGATATTGATTCAACTACTTCTATATTTAAATTTAATCAGAGATTCGGACGCAGTTAGAACTTAGAAGTCATACCATCAAACACTTGACTGGCTGCTTGCCAGCCTATTAGTGTGACTTCCTGAGCTGCCGAAAAAACATATAAATAAAGATCTTTCATTTTAGTTTCCATTTACCTTGCATGTCTTTCACTTTGATTTCCAACTCTTGCACACGCTTCTGCAGCGCCTGGATGTCGTCCCTCAATTCCTGTCATTTGTGAGTAAATATTGATACAAATTATGTAAGGCTTACCTTGAGGGTCCTGTCCGAAGGACTTACAGGAACGTTGTGGGCAAGTCCCATCGTGCGCTATGTCGGAACGACTGTTAGGCTCTTGACTAAGGTAGCCGTCCTGGGCATGATGAAGGATTAAGTGAGGATGACTGATGGTAGCAGACTCAAGTATCAATGACAGGAGCACTATTAGGCTCTTGACGAGGGTAGCCGTCCTGGGCATGATGAAGGATTAGGTGAGGATTTAGGCCCAGTGAAAATCGGTCCTAGCGATATCTACGGCAAACGACGATGATATAAAATATATGCCAGGAATATTGTAATAACTACGCAAATCGATAAATGTAAACAATATGTCAACAACGCTCGATCAATTATCAAATGGGTTTCAAATACACATTTGACAATGCGCTCAGTAAATGTTGAACATGTTGAAATTCTTTCAACTCTGACTTGACTTTGCTCAATATTTCAACGTTTGAACATTCTTGCGCATCAGCTGCGCACGCACCATCACTTCACGCAATGACGTCAATATGCAGCGGACCAATATTGGGACATTCCATCCCTACTCGCTTCATCTCAGCTTTCTTCTTCCCCTCCATCATCTCATCTTCCTCTCAGCAAAACCTTGCCGTTGACCTCAACCATCCTGGCATCATCTGACACATAACTTTCTCATGGCCACTACATCAGTAAATTCACGCATTGCTTGACTTCCTTTTTCGAGACTTGCCGCCGGTCAATAAATATTATTTACCACTTATTTACATTTATTTGATTGAGTGTCTTAGTCGAAAGAAAGTGCGTGACAAACAAGCGCGATAATGCGCAGATAAGCATCAAAAGGACACACATTTATTTCAAGGCACAAAACTACAGTAAGTGGTGCAAGTGTACTTATAAGTATGATGTATTGACGAGATCTCGTTAAGTAAATGGCAGCTTCAAAGTCTTTTGATAGCGTGCGAGGGAGGAAGCGCCAATGGATCGATGTTGCGATCAGGGCGAATGAGGCGATTCGGGCTGAGGCGGAAGCAGAGGAGGCAGAGGCGAATGCGGAGGTGCCAAAGGGCCTTTGGGAAAGGGTGAAGGGGTGGATCGGCGAGAGGAATCGAGACGGAACGAGTCGCTCGTGATTCCAGCCTAAAGTGAGTCCTAGGATGTCTCTTAATCAATGAAGACTTACCTGGTCCTCATAGTGTCGTTTTCGCGACTTTGACCCGCAAATATTCACCGTCAGCGTTGTATCAATGTATAGTAGATAGAATAAACACGTACCTTCGCATGCCCCATTGTGAACTCGACCTCGACACCCAAGTCTGACGCTGGAGTACTACGACCAGGCGTATCGGTTTCCTTGAGAAGCTTGTTGGCAGCGCGTCGTTCTTTCTTGCCACGGGCACGATCGACGAGTTCCTGCAAATCTTCACCGTCCTCCACAGCCTAACATCCCGATCAGCATGCATGCATCGCGACATCCTACTAGACGTACCATCGCCCACTGCTCATCGCTAAGACAATTGTTATAATTGACGACATTACGACGACGCTGACCATGGCCCTGGATAGCATCATCAATCTCCTTCGGCTCGAACAGTTCATCCGTCTGATAGCATTCAGGCAGCTCTTCAAGCTGCATGAGCGGTAACGACGGCTTCCCCCTGTTGCTGATCGCACGCCATGCGTCCAACGCATCCCGTTCTCGCTGAAGATCCATCGTGCGGAAAATCTCATTGAGTTCATCGTCATTCATGTCACCGGCCTCTTCGTTCTCCTCCTCTTGATCTGCTTCGAGGATGGACCGCTGCATACCACTCATTTAGCTATTCGTTATGTGAGAGAGCTGCTGCAACACCTACCAGGAATTCTTCCTGCTCTTCCTATGTTGATTTGTTGTCGAATCGACCGGCTTGGATGACCTTGTCGTCGATATCGAGCTTGTACCGCGCACGAGCATACATAGCTTCTTCGACACTCTTCCCTGTGATGAAACGGAGGATTCGGACAGCCTTTGTCTGGCCGATACGGTGAGCACGATCTTGAGCCTAAAGATCAGCATGGGGATTCCTGAGACATCATCATCAGTACGTCTTTCCAAACGATAACCAGAAGCTTATTCACCAGTCACTATCAAAGCTGCAAACCTATGCGTCAGCATAGAGAACAACTCGACCGCAAGAGACAACGCACATGATGCCATCACCCCATTTTGTGCGATACAGTGCATCATCTGGCTTGGTATCGGGATGAATTTGGAGCCTGCCTTCCCAGAGAGCAGCAGAGGACTTTGAGGGATCATAACGAGCAGGGTCAGACGGTGTACCGCGTGATTGTGGTGCCCAGCCAGCTCCGATGGAAGATGCAATAAGCGTCGGTATCATAGTCATCAACGAGGGGCTAGAAAAAATTAAGGATTCCATCTCACAAACTAAACATCAACACATACAGAGGAACACGTTTATCTTCGTGCAGTCTAGCCTGATGGCTCTTCACAACAAATGAAGACGAGTGAAGTCGCCCGCCCTGCAGGTTAGCGAACGTGGCGAGATTGTCACGCAAAAGTTCAATCACAGAGTTCCATTCAACATCTGGGCGAACTTTGAGAAGACCGCCTTCGGGTTTGGGGAGTAAGCGCATCATGATGAAGAGGCGTTCAAAGGGTCTGTTGGGCAGTAGGTGGATGAGCGTGCCCAAGGGGATGGATACGAAGCCGAGGGCAAGTGAGATGCCCCATTTACGACCAGCAATACGTGTCACCTGGAATGTGGTGCCACCGATGAACACGATGACCACTTGAACAGCGATCTCTGCAAACCAGCCGTGAGGGTAGTCCAGTTATGAGCACCTTCAGGTTCCGGACCAGCCAAAAAAACGGCATTCCTAGGTTTTCCCACGGTCCCATTTCAATAGCCAGACGATTTTCAAACCTGGCCTTCCGGGACGGCCGCCGTGCGGCCCCCCAACATGGCTTCCAGAAGGGTGAATTTCAAAACCTGGCCTTCCGGGACAGCCGCCGTGCGGCCCCCAACATGGCTTCCCCAAAAGATGAAACCCCACAATCTCAAAACATACCATGGCCCTCTCAGTAGATGGCCGCCGTGCAGCCCCCAACATGGCTCCCCCAAAATATGAAAATATACCATGGCACTCTCAGACGGCCTGCCGTGCGGCCCCCAACATGGCTCCCCCAAAATATGAAAATGTACCCCATCCCCATCCCCCACAATCTGAAAATATACCATGGCACTCTCAGATGGCCGCCGTGCGGCCCCCAACATGGCTCCCCCCCAAAATATGAAAATTTACCCCGTCCCCGCCCCCACATTCTGAAAATATACCCGCTCTCAACATGGCTCCCAAAAATATGAAAATATACCATGGCACTCTCAGACGGCCGCCGTGCAGCTCCCAACATGGCTCCCCAAAATATGCATGCCCTTTTATATCAACATCCCCCCCCCCCCCCCCTTGACAATGCCGCCACCACTGTTTGACCATGCACGCAGTGGCACTCTGAGACTGCCACTCATGCATGCACTTCACCATCCACATAAATAATTCTATCTACCAACTCCTCAGATACCATGCATGCAGCAGCACTCTC